AATAAGAAGATGATACTTGGATTCTTGTGGACATTGTATCGTAAATACCGTATTGCTGTGATTAGTGAGGGAGACAAGAGCTCGGAAGAGGGTCTGTTGTTGTGGTGCAAGAACACAACGAATGGATATAATGGCGTCAATGTTACATCGTTCACAAAGACATTCCGTGATGGTCTGGCCTACTTGGCCCTGGCACACAAGTATGACCGAAGCAAGTTCAACTACGCAGACTTTGAGAAGTTGGACCCACTGGCCAGATTGAACGCCGCCTTTGAGTTTGCCGAGAAGGGCTTGGGTGTGCCCAAGTTGCTCGAGGCCGAGGCCGTCCTGCGTGGCACCACCGACGAGCGTTCGCTCGTACTCTACACCTCACTGTTCTTCCACGCCTACCGTGCCAAGGAGGACAAGGAGCGCCTCGAGCAGAACAAGTCCGACCTGGCCGGCAAGCTCGCTGGCCTGCAGAACTCGCTCGCCAACGAGAAGCTCAGCAGGGAGCAGCTGATCAAGCAGAAGAATGAACTGAAGGACATGTTGGCTTCACTCGAGGCAGAGGCTGCCAAGCGCGAGAAGTTCCTCCGTGAGCTCGAGGACAAGCTCGATGACCTGCTAAGGAACCTGGACTTTGAGCGCCAGTCCCGATTCGACCTGGAGGCCCGTCTGTCCAAGACCGAGAAGGAGAAGGCATTGTTGGAGCTCAAGCTGGCCGAGGCTCTGGCCGACAGGAAGAGGATGGAGGCAGAGTTGGAGGCCAATCGTAAAAGGGCTGCGGCTGAAGCACAGGCACTTGGACAGCTGCGCCAACAACTAGACCGTCATGTCCAGGACTTGCTCAAGTGGCAGAAGGTCTCCCTTGAGAGCTCGTCCACCACATCACTCGACTCACACATCATTGACGAGGTTGTCGGACTACCATTCGGCGACCAGGTCAAGCATTTGGCTACAAAGTTGGAGGATGAGAACAAGGCCATTCAAAAGTTATTAGTCACCAAGGAGGATGATCTCAGGGCCATGGCAAAGAAGAAGAAGGCATCACCCGCCACCAAGTAATCTAGTGACTCAGTGTCCCTACCCACCATTCAATCAATCAATATAAATCAATATCAACATCCAATAAACTGAGTGATTAGTCCACTCAATGTACAATTCCAAGTATTGAAGTAATATAGAATAGAAGTTGTGGTCTGATTATCTCAGGAGTGTCTCTTTAGCAAATGGGTCGCTTCCTGCTTCTAAGATGTCAGATGGTATCCACATCACCACATGGTTTCCACTTCACTCAATCACTTCTCGGTGGTCACATGTGCCCCGCAGCGTTCCTTTTACCAAGATGACTCTAACTCTAACTCTTACTTTAACTTAAGCACAACTCATTTTACATGTTTTATGTACACTATCAACTGATGTTGACACATCTTGTTGGAAGCTTCCTTTGTGATCGATTGAAATGATCGTGTGGGCGTTCTTCTCGAACATGGGGTGTGATTTACCACCAACTAATCGATCACCCCTTTGAGAGATTCTCTAAATGATTTCAAATTGGAAAACGAAGGACTTTTGGTCGTTCCATTTGGACAAGCCGGTCATTCTCTCCCGATGTCAACCTAATCAAGTTGTCTATTTAAGTACCCAGTCAGACCACCATCAACTTCAAATCATCTGAAAGCCAAAGATAATTACAATCAATCAATCATCCAATCAATCAATCAATCACATAAATAACAATGTCCAACCCAACTCTTTACTATGTATGCGCCAGATACCCTACCCTCGACCCTTACCCCCGACCCCAACCCTAACCTCAAACCCTCACTCATACTTTTAGTTCGACGCCCGTGCTAGAGCCGAGGTCTCCAGACTCTTGTTGGCCTACACCAAGACCACTTTCACTGATAGCCGCTCACCATTCCCATTGCCACAGGAGGTCAAGGACAAGACCACCTTCGGTCAGCTCCCATACTTTGAGGATGCCAACAACCAGCTCTCTCAATCCATTGCCATCGAGCAGTACATTGCCGAGCTCCACAACCTTGCTGGCTCCAACCCCATTGAGCGCTCGCAGATCCTCCAGTTCGCCCTGTTCCCAGGCGACCTCTACCAGCCATACTTCCTCGCCAAGGATGAGGCCTCCAACCTCAAGTTCAAGGTCGAGACCGCACCAAAGCTCTTGGCTCGTCTCGAGGCCATCCTTATCAAGGCTGGCGGCCAACACTTTGTCGGCGACAAGATCACCTGGGCTGACATTAGCATATTCAACCTGATTGATTTCTTCCATCTGCAGCACGACAACCTCGTTGAGGCTGTTCAAGGTTTCCCAACACTGTTGGCCTTCCATAAGAGGATCGCTGCCATTCCAGTGTTTGCTGAGTACCTCAACAACAGAGTCAAGACCAGACTCTAAGCCTTCTCCTCGTTCATTCACTCACCTCTCACATCCAATAAACACAACTATCTGTACACATCCATCCATCCATCCATCCTATTGATTGTGTTCCAGTTTTAATTTAAAGCTATCACTTGATCAATCAGAAGTCACGTGACACCAATCACGTGATACCAATCAACAGTTCGTCATTGGTGGACAAACAACCAAGCACACGATCCACCTGGACTATTTGGGTAAGTTTCCCGCCATATATCCCAATTGGACAAGTTGTACTATGGTGTATACAACTGCGCGCACGACAACGGATACCAGATGCTCATGTTTGGAGTCGCTTTACATTAGTTCATTTACCTGTCCCACTGCTTCTACAAGGTGCAACACAACTTTGCCTTCAGAGGGTAAACGTTAAACATGTCGCTCACACTCATTTTAACCCACAAGCAACACAAAGGAGATAATAATATCTGTATACATATAATTCGCCGAACTACACGTTGTTGACAATGGCGACCGCACTCGAGAGACTTGTGCTTCAAGCTCTGATCGAGCCATCACATCCGTGTCTGAGCCTCGCCGTGCTCAAAGAGGTCTTTGCTGTGCACAGAGAGCATTTATGACAACTGTTGCGTCACTGATGTCGAAAGAGCTAGGATACTCGCAGGAGTTCTACCAGCTGCTGGGCTCGCTGTCATTGGTGTGTTGGAAATGGTTCCGCTACATTACGAATCGCTTCTTCACGCATCTCTCGCTCGATCTCAATCACGGTTGGGAGCAGCCCCAGTGGCGGTGTGCGCTGCCCGAGACGCCGCTCTCTTTTATCATGGTCACCAACATCTTTCTCGACAACTGGCCACAATACTATGGGATGCCTCCCATAGTCTACGGCGGAAGCAAGTGCACACTACTCGCGCCACACAACATACTTCGACTCTCTGTCCATGTCACCGACCAAGAGAGCGATGCGGCCATCACAGTCGATATGGTCAGACTTTGCACCAATCTACAGACTGTCGATCTCTATGCCCAGCTGCACCAATCTGCCAAAGTGGACAATATTGCCAAAACACTCCAGTCAATCAATCCACTCTTGGCGATATCGCTCACTGTAGCACATGCAGACCTTTGCAACCCTCGTGCCGATGACACTGGCCTCTGGCATCCAGCCTTTACAAACTACCAATCTGTCCATTACTTGGCTCCTACATGCTTTGTTGAACTTCCTCTCTGCATTAGACCTTGGACACCCAACCGTTTCACCTTTGTCAATGAGTGCCAGTCCTGGATTGGCTACGACCACAATCTCATTGGCGATCGAGAGCACACTCGGCTTCTCATCGCGCATATCCTCCAGACTGCACCGTCCCTGGCCGAGGTTGACTTTGGAACGATCCCCATTGAGCTGGAGGAGCTCACTCAGACAGTGTCGATGGCCAATATTCGCTCTGTTACCTGTAGACTCGAATTGGCCAACAACCTCTTTGCAAAGGAGAGCTGGCACGATGGATACAATGCTTTGGAGGACGCGAACCCTGGAAAGACCAGCTTGACCCCAGACGACGCTTGCTCCCTGGACGCAAATGTGATCTTGTCCGAGCTGCGCCACTTTGACGTGCTGTGCAAAAGCCTATCAACTTCATCCATTGAGCGACTGACCTGCATCAATAACGGGCCCGAGTACAACCACTGTGGCTCCAAGATCGAGTCGGTTGCCCTTTTCTTCATGCAGTTCTGGTTKGCCAATGTGATTGGCRAGAGCAGGTTGTCCCATCTCCACCTCTGCGGCCTTCCTCTGGTCRGYGATCGATTCTTTGACAATATTAATGGCTCTGCACTACTCAGTCTGTTTCTGACACATGGCGCGATGCTCGACAACTACATCGATTCTCTCAACGATGCTATCAGTACGAACAAATCCATCTCCATAATCTCGCTCCAGTGCAACCATATCGGTCTTGACTTTGATTGAGCAAACACCATGGTGACCGAGACCATAACGGTGTCCACGTTCCAGCAGCAACTGGTTCCATCTACTTCCTCTGCCATCGTCCACCACCGCCCACGTCGCAGGCCAAGGTGGCCTCGCCCTCCATGATGGCGTTCATCCACAGGTCCAAAGACCTGGGCATCAAGCTGGCCCAGAAGATGGGCCAAAGGAGGGAATATCGAGGCCCAGGGGGCGCGCTGATCAAGTGGACCGTGTACCTGGTGTGCGGCCTCGCGAGTGTGAAGCACGGCGACGATATTTGTCACTGGGGCAATTGCCACGGCTGCATTCTGGCCAACGTGATCGAAGATATTCGCCAGACCAAAAGCAACAACAACAACAATATAAGCAACATAAACAATCGTAGTGTCTCACGTCGAATAGACCAAGTCCAGTTCTGGTGACGTAACAACTCAGTTGTCAATGTTTATTTGTGCCAGTGGATCCTCCTCCGCCAGTAACCTCTTTGATACAGTTGTTGAGCGAGTTTACATAACTCAAGTCGACTGTCAATGTCTTGGCACTTGACTCTCCAAGTTGTTGATGGCTCCTCTTGCGATTGGACCATAGACCATGGGCCATGGACCATGTTGCATTTGGAAGAGCTAAGATTGAGTGAAGTCTGGCATGGGTATTGGCCACATCCCATTTATTCGTTTGATTAATTAAGTTCCTGCATGGATTCTGGATGCTGGATTGTGATTGGAGTATGATCAAATAAGGTCGATATTCTGTGCAATTGTGTAGAGAGATGGAGAATGATTGATTATATAATATTGTGTTGTTGTTGGTTATGGCGGCGGCCACATCGTTTAAATGAAGTGCTTCTCGTATGAGAACAAGGAGTGAACGCTTCCCTCCACTTGGGCGGCTGTGCTTCTCACCTCATAGCGCACAACTCCATTGTAGACGTCTGAGCGCAGGTTGTCGACGGAGATGCAACCCAGATCCTGGAGACCGTGCTTGATACCCTGGATGAGGTATGGCACGTACTTCTTGACGGTTCCCTTGTCGACGACGCTGCCAGAGACACCCTGGGCGACCTTGATCTTCTCGGTCTCGGAGAAGTAACGCTGGTCACCTCCCTTGACCATGGCCTCGAGCGAGCCCATGCCTCTGTACTTCTTGAGACGCATACCATCCTTGTAGAAGTAGTCGCCTGGAGCCTCCTCTGTGCCGGCCAGGAGCGAGCCCATCATAACGGCGGACGCACCGAGCGACAAGGCCTTGATGATGTGACCGATCGAACGGATACCACCGTCGGCAATGATTGGGACGCCAAACTGCGAGGCGTAGAGACCGGTCTTGAAGACGGCGGTGGCCTGTGGACGACCGCAGGCCATGACCTCCTGGGTGGTACAGATACTGCCCACACCCATACCAACACGGAGCGAGTCGGCACCGGCGGCGATCAAAGCCTCGGACTGACGGCAGGTGACGACGTTGCCTCCGATGACCTCAACGCGTGGGTAGTTGATCTTGATCCAACGGATCATCTCTTGCTGGTAGGTGCTGTCTCCTTGCGAGGAGTCGATGACGACGACGTCGACACCTACGGCATCGAGGGCGGCCAGACGCTCCTTGTCGGTCTCACGGGTGCCGAGGGCGGCTCCGACCAACAGCTTCTTGTTCTCGTGGTCCTTGGTGGCCAGGGGGAAGTCACGGTTCTTGACCAGATCGTCTCTGCTGGCCAGGGCAACGAGCTCACCCTTGTCGTTGATCATTGGCAGCTTGCCCTTCTTGCACTTCTTCATGATGTTGTTGGCCTCTTCGAGGGTGGCGTTGGCGGGGGCGGTGACCAGGTCGGTGGTCATGATGTCGGCCAGCAGGGTGGAACGGTCCTTGATAAAGTCGGTGTCACGGCTGGTGACGATTCCGACCAGCTTGCTTCCGATGCGGCCCTCCTCGGTGATGGGCACGCCAGAGAAGCCGTACTTGGCCTTGATGTTGTCGACGTCGGACAGACGGTGCTTTGGCGACAGGACCATTGGGTCGGTGATGAAACCGTTCTTGAAGCGCTTGACCTTCTTGACCTCGGCGACCTGCTCCTCGATGGTGTTGTTGTAATGGATGATTCCGAGACCTCCGAGCAGGGCCATGTTGATGGCCATCAGATGCTCGGTGACGGTGTCCATTGGCGACGAGACCAAGGGCACGTTCAAGGAGATGTTCTTTGTGAGGCGGGACTTCAAGTTGACCTGGTCGGCGGAGAAGTAGATGTGGCCTGGCAACATGATCAGATCGTCATAGGTGTATCCGTGCTGCTTGTTGAACAGAGTGAACACATCAAGACCATCCTCAAACATGTATGGCTCGTAGGCCTTACCACCTGGCATCACAGTCTTCTTGGTCAGAGCGTTGTTGTTGTTGGACATCTTTGTAGGTTTGGCGGTGGCAATGGGTAGAGAGAGAAAGAGAAAGGGAGAACGAGAATGAGAATGAGAACAAGAAGTGAGAGAAGATAAGAATGAGAGATTTGGAATGTTAGTGTCCGACCGACTACCCAATCGCACTCCCGACCCTTCGTCTACCAATCCCCGACATTCACGACAACACGCCAACCAAGTTCACATGCATGACTTACCTTAGCAAAGCAAAGTAAATGGATATAAGTATTGTATAATATGTATATATATATAATATAATATAGATAGTATATGTATATTTATTTGTTTGTTGTGAAGGCTCTTAGTTGAGCGAATGATAATCAACTCAACTGTGTTCTATTTATTGCCACCGATTGAAACCAGAACACCTCCTATTCACACATCGTCAAACGAACGAAAGGCACGAAGTTAGTCAACTTTGTTGTGTGTTTGAGTGTGAGCAAGAACGGAATTGGAATGCATCGTAGTTTCATTCCCGAATTAATTTTTAAAATCGATTAGGTTTGTCAAACATTGTGTCTATCTTTCCCATTGCATGCCTCGGTGTTCAATGACATGTGAGTGATTGACGTCCTGCCGTTGCAACTTCATTGAATGTTGTTGTATTACTACTAACAAGTTATATGTTAAATATATATATATATATATATATATATGTTTGTTTGTGTGTGTTCAAGTTTTGATCGACAATAACTTCAAGTTGATAATATGTTTGATTGGTTCAACGCCATAAACCAAATACCAATGCCATTTGTTTATCTGTTCTGTTCTTTCATGTGTTGAATGAATTGAATTGAATGAATGATGATTGTTTGTTGGTGGATGTTTTCAATATGGAAGAAGACATGTGTACTTGGATTCGAAGACGACAATGTATGATCGATCATCAACAACAATTCAAGGAATCTTAATCACATACATAGGTTGCACCACTCTGAATGTCGCGCCCTCTGTGCCTCCCTCACATTCTGTACAACATTCTCCCTGGTTGGTTTTCGATGTGTGAGAGTGTGGAAGCTGTGAATTTTTTAAATGTTAACGCCTTTGTTTTTTTCAATCTATTTCATGTCTTTGGTTCAAACAACGTCTTCTATCTATCTATTTATCTACATTTCATAAACATAAACATACAAATAATAACTACAAATATATATATATATTGTATTTGTATTTTTAGTAGTATTAATACATAACATCTGTATATTATATATATAAACAACCTCACTCACACACTCAATCACACATTCAATCAATCAATCAAATTTATATTTCACATTAGTCATCAACAGACTTGACAGACAGCTAGATATACAACAACAGGATACATTATATTGATCTCGAGATCAATTAAACAACAAACAAATATAGAGAAGAATGGTCAATATATATATGATTATTGTCTCAGTCGTGGTAGTAGCACTGGTTATGTTGGCCAGTCTCTACTTGATCGTCTACTTCCAGCATCCAGACGATAAGAATGTGGCATACTTCCCGAAGGTAGTGGTAATACTCGGGTTTGCATTGGCAGCGGTCAGTGTGCTGATGCTACCGCTCGACGTGGCCAATCTGACGACGAACGGTGGCTTCCCCATGGAGACGATGTGGATCGTGGTCTACATCGTCATTGCGGTGTTTGCTATCGTCATCGTGCCATTCGCCATGTTCTTCTACGAGTCAGAGGAGGCCGACGGCAGCGGCAACCAGTTCACTGGCGCCATCAAGGGCACGTTCGCCATCCTCTTCCTCTTTGTGGCCATCGTCGTCATCCTTTGGTTCCTCATTGGTATTGCCGACATCCCAACCATCGTCGTCACAAACTCGCTCACCACCACCACGCCAGCCTACTTCACCAGCGAGTCGGCTAGGAAGTGGTCGCAAGAGTTCCCAGAGGGTGAGCCATTCGAGGCGGCCTACTGGTCGTTTGTGTACATCACCGAGAACAACGGCCTAAAGACCGCAGCAGAGGGCGGCCCCCGACACAACAGAGAACATGCCACCCTATGCCAAGGCCTGGGGTGCCGCCGCACAAAACACAACCAGCCCTCTGTCGTGGACCAACATGAGGAAGGAGTATCGTTCGCTCACCGAGTTCCTCTCGTTCCGTGTGTCGATCCCCCTGTTCATCATCACGATTGTCTCATTCTTTGGCTGGTTCCTCTTTGTGATCTTTGGAGGCATCGGCATTGCCGCACTGCCAATGGACATGATTGGCGACTTTAAGAACCGTCCGCAGCGCATTCCCTACGACAAGTACTTGGAGCGCAAGACCAAGATCGGTGACCGTGCCACCGAGCTCGTCGCCATCGGCAAGGAGATCCAGTCCAAGCTTTCTGGTGGCATCATGGGCAGGAAGGACCGTCGCAACTACAACCGTTTCAGAGCGGCCGTCTTCTTGTTGGAGGAGGACTACGAGATCCTCAAGATCTCCTACCAGCGCCAGGGAGGCAAGGTCATCTTCTACTACGCCCAGTTCTTCCTGGGCTTCATCGCCGCCGCCCTCTCACTCACATGGCTCATGCAGAACATCCTCTTCATGTGGACGCAGCCCGAGCCCTTCTTCCCATTCCTCAACCTGCTGCTCATCTCGCTGGACAATGCCTGGGGCTTCCTCGGCACCATCACCTATGGTATCTACTCGTTCTACCTGCTGTTCTGTGTGCTCAAGGGCAACTTCAAGTTTGGCCTTCGTCTCTTCTTCCTCTTCCCCATTCATCCAATGAAGGTTGGAGGTACAATGATGAATGCATTCCTATTCAACGTCGGCCTGATCCTCATCTGCTGTGTCAGTATTACACAGTTTGCAACAATGGGATTCTCTGGCTACGCCAACGCCACTGCCATCAACAGTATGTATATCCACATCTCTTATCCATCGTCGTCGGCGAGTATACTAATCCTCTCTCCATCTATCTACTCAATCAATCAATAGCAATGTTCAACACTGCAGTGCGTAACATTAGAGTGTTGAAGTGGTTCTGGGTCATCTATATCATTGCCTTCTTCTGCATGGCCGTGTTGACTGCCATCTTCCTGTTGGTCAAGCCAAAGGATAAGCCCAAGAAGATTAAGTTGAGTAAACCATGTCCACCTGACCATGGTCTAAGATAACAATATATATATATTCACTCTATCCATCCAATCCCATCCCATCCCATCCTCATTCAACCGATAAAGTAGTAATAAACAAGGTTACAAAGTAGCCTTTCCAACTTTGTCGCGACAAACTCCATCATGCATTGTATTACTTAAGACTGCTGAATGGCAGGAGTGGCAGCATCCAGGGGCTTCTGGAACTTTCCTCTGATCCATACACGATACATTGATATCATCCTCTTGCGATTGCGCAGCTCTCTGGTGTCGTACTTGGAGACCAATGTGTTGAAGCCAGCCTTGGTGAAGAGACTGGACAAGACGTCGGTGGTGAAGAAGTAGGTCCTGGTGCCATCGGAGCGCAGATAGAAGTTCTGATCGATCTTCCTGCCCTTCTTGGACAGGAAACGTAGCTGTGTCATGTCGTACAGGCCATAGTCTCGCACGTATATTATGCCGCCAGGCTTGAGTGCGCGATACAGTGTCGACAGCACTTGATCCATCCTCTCGAACGATATGGCCGACAGCACGAATATCATCAATATAATATCGACAGAGTTCTCCTTGATATCCACTGGCAATGGTTCATTGGCAATGTCGCAGACGAACGCAGTGACTCTGTCCTCATTGTAAAGTGGATGTGCCTTGTTGTTGTTTGATTGATTGAGGTGACAGGTTAGTTGGTGGATGCTGCGAGGGCTAGGCTTTGTCGGACAGGACATACCTTAACGAGGTTGATAGCATGTGGAGAGAAGTCGAAAGCGTAGAAGTACTTCTCAGGGTTGAGCTTGAGCAATGGGAACACTGAGTTGCCAGCGCCACAACCAACCTCCATAACAACCTTTGTTGCAGTCTCCTTGTTCAATTCATTGATATGCTCCCACCATCTTGTATTCATCTCCATGACATCACCATTATGTTGTTGTTGCAAAGTATCTGATTCAGTGGTTGTAGTTGTCGTGGTCGTGGTTGTGGTTGTGGTCATGGTCAATGTGGTGTCTACGCTGTTGCCGCCAGTTGTCGTGTTTCCATTTCCATCGACTGCCAGCTTATTGTTGATAAAGTTAAAGAAGTGTGTAGTTTGATCTCTGTTGATATTAAGTGGATTGAGCTCTGGATACTCAATGTGAAGATAAGTTCGATCCTTGAAGAACTTGTCCTGATTCCTTCGATAGAACTTATCCCTTTATGTATGAGTTAGTGAACCTGCATCGACCAATCAATCAATCCATCAATGATTCATTCATTCTTACCAATAGTCCATTGCGTTCTCCTCGTATTGTTGACGATCTTGCTCGGATAGTGTGTCGGTCTCTGCTTTGATGAGTGATTCGGCAATCTGTTCTCTGATGTGATCCCAGTCAACATCTTCCCATGATGTCTCCTTTTGTATTACATGCTCCTCTACCTCCTCCTTCTCCTTGACCTCACAGAACTTATAGTTCACATCAGTCCACTTCCTATTTGCATCTGTTGTGGCAGGTGTTGTTGAAGTAGATGCTGTGGATGTTGCTGTGGAGGTGGTTGAAGTGTTATCATTGACACTCTCTGTCGTCGACGTAGTGTTACTACTTGTATCCATTATATATATTGATACAATTTGTGAATGAATGGTTTAACGACGAGTCGTCTGAGAAGTCGTTTTGACGAAAATGTCCAGAAGGTCCATCCGAAGTGTGGCACTGAGGTGTTTATTGGTCTGGCAAGCCAACAGTGAATGGTCACTGTATTGTGAATCAGTTGATGTTGATTGATTGCTCACTCATTCATGTTTATCTCTATTTCTTTCATTGATCAGCTTTATAACTATAAATCCCTATTGATAATAATGATTGCATGGCGATATTGTGAGTGAATGGCTGTCCTCTTGCTCACTATTCCAGTGTCATTCAACAATAAGACAACTTACAACACCAATAATATGTACAAATATTATAAGAGATATCAGCTCCTCAACAGTCATCACATTGAGTGGTGTCCACATCTTTGTTTGTTGGTTGTTTGAATGTAAGATTGAATGAAGTATTGTTTGATTGTCTGTATGTTGGGGCCAACAGAATGATAATGATTATGAGGGAACACTCACTTTATCAAATCAACAACTAAATTCGAATTGGCTTGTCCCCTGGTTGTTTGATTGGTCCAAACCAATCAAACAAATAAGTTTTCCAAACAAGTTGATGAAGTTCATCAGTTTACTGATATTATTACATTCAATCAATCAATCAATGTTCAAACCAACGACCAATCGACGGTTGAATCTTGAATTGCAAACGTGGCGGTAGCATTCTGGCGCCAAAGGGGGTATGTTTGTTTGAAACTATGATGAAGAGTGAGAGATTGAGTGAGTCAAGCACCCCAAACGACCAAGTCAAGTTGGACTCTGCCTCTTCTCTCACTCACCACCTCGTACTAATAAATTTTTAAAAACAAACAAGTCCAAAAATTGTATGTGGGCGAGTGTGTTGGTTGTTTTCAACTGACTGACTTGAACAATGCCCTCAGCATTTGTTTAACTTGGTGCAATCATTCATCCTCACTCATACATATATATAACATACTATTATTATTATTATTATTTTTCATTAGTTGTTGGTTATTCATTATTATTACATATATTATATTATTATTACTTCAAACTATTTGAACTTTCGACTTGAACAAACAAAGTCATTGTCGTTCTCGGAAAATTGAAAATGGTAAGTTGAGCTGAGCGCAACTTCAACAGCAACATTGTTATTGTTGTGTGTCTCGTTACGTCATCAATCAAGGAGTTGAGTTGGAACCATGAACTAACATGAACAACAAATATACAATGAATGAATAGAGCAAACCAATGGTATTGGGTGAGAATGATCATACTGATATGATGACCACTGGTGATAGTGATGAGGATCTGCCACCAGTGAAGAAGCAGAGGAATACGACGGCACAGTCAACACCTTTGAAGAAGGTTGAGGATAATAGACAACCAATTGTTGGTGTATTTACAGATGAGGCCGGTGCCAATAACTCATCGACATCAACAACACCAACTATATCAACACCCTCTTCTAAAGAGAATGGCAATGTCAATGTCAATGGCAACGTCAATGGCAATAGCAGACCAAATGGATTCGCAACGGCCAAGACATCCACCACTTCAACTACAACAACGACTACCTCCACAAGTAGCACACGCACATCCACCGCCACCAATGGCAGTGCCAAGAAGACCCCAAACAAGAAGGCCAAGAAGGACGATTCAAGCAGCGACGACTCAAGTGACAGCAGCAGCGATGACTCTGACAGCAGCTATTCATCAAGCGACGACTCGAGTGACGACAGCAGCAGCGAGGAGGATAACAAGAGGAAGAAGACTCCAGTAAAGAAGGCACCGGCTGCCGCACCCAAGAAGGCTGCTGCCACCGCCACTCCAAAGAAGGAGGTGCCCACACCTGCCAAGAAGAAGCCTGCACCTGCCAAGAAGGTCACCAAGAAGAAGGATGAGTCCTCAGACTCAAGCAGCGACGACAGCGACTCGGACAGTGACTCGGACAGCGACTCTGACAGCAGCAGCGGGGAGGAGGTCGCCAAGAAGAAGAAGGACGCTACCCCAGTCAAGAAGGAGGCTTCAGTCAAGAAGGAGACCGTCTCCACAAAGAAGGCCCCAACCAAGAAGGTCCCTACCCCAAAGAAGACACCAACAAAGAAGAAGGCTGCGGTCAAGAAGGAGCCCGCCAAGAAGAGGAAGCGTGGCGAAGGAGAGGAGGACGATGGCGAGGAGGAGGAGAACGATGAGGAGAAGGAGGACGAGTCGGAGCAGTCCGAGGAGGAGGTATACAAGTGGTGGCTCGAGAAGCCACATCCCAACGGAGTAAAGTGGAAGACGCTCACTCACAACGGTCCCGTGTTCCCGCCCGCCTACGTACCACACGGCATCAAGCTGTACTACAAGGGCAAGGCGCTCGACCTAACGCCCGAGCAAGAGGAGGTGGCCACCTTCTACGCGACCTACCTCGAGACCGACCACGTCAAGAAGGAGATATTCCGAAAGAACTTCTTCACAGAGTTCAAGCGACTGCTGTCGAGCGCGCAGAAGAAGCTGGTCACCGACTTTGACAATCTGGACTTCTCTCACATCCACAAGTTCTTGGCCGACAGGAAGGAGACCAGGCTGAACAGAACGGCCGAGGAGAAGCAGGTCGAGAAGGACGAGAAAGAGAGGGTCAAGAAGATACACGGATACGCGCTGATGGACGGCCACAAGCAAAAGATTGGCAACTACTTGGTCGAGCCGCCCGGACTGTTCCTGGGCCGTGGCGCGCATCCCAAGACCGGCATGCTCAAGACCCGCATCTACCCGTCGGACGTCACAATCAACATTGGCAAGAATGAGACGGTGCCACCCTCGCCCATCCCCGGCCACAACTGGAAGCAGATTGTTCACAACAACAAGGTCACGTGGCTGGCCTTCTGGCGTGAGAACGTCAACGACGGCTTCAAGTACGTGTGGCTGTCCGCCAGCTCCAAGCTCAAGGGCCAGGCCGACATGAAGAAGTTCGAGACGGCACGCAAGCTCAAGGGCTGCATCGATGGTATCCGCAAGAACTACAGGAAGAAGCTCTCGTCGTCCGACCCCGAGGAGTGTCAGCTGGCCGTCGCTCTCTACCTCATCGACAAGCTGGCGCTGCGTGTCGGCAATGAGAAGGGCGAGGACGAGGCCGACACTGTCGGCTGTTGCTCGCTTCGTGTCGAGCACATCCAATTCCCCGAGGACGAGGAGAACACAATCACACTGGACTTCTTGGGCAAGGACTCGATGCGATACTTCAACACCGTGCAGATTGATCCCGCCGTCTACAAGCGACTCAAGTCGTTCCTCAAGAACGGCAAGAAGAACAAGAAGCCAGACCAGAACCTGTTCGACGAGATCTCTGTGGGCAAGCTCAACTCCCATCTCAAGACACAGATGAAGGGTCTGAGCGCCAAGGTGTTCCGTACCTACAACGCCTCCATTACACTGCAGGAGGAGCTGGCCAAGATGCCCGACGACCTTGAGACCGTCGAGGAGAAGATGCTCTTCTTCACTCGTTGTAATACTGCCGTAGCCATCCTCTGTAACCATCAACGTGCTGCACCCAAGAGTCATGCCACAGTCATTGGCAAGATTGATGACAAGGTATGTTTCATTCATTCATTCATACATTCGACTCACTCACTCACTCAATCAATCAATCACAATCAATCAAACCAGATACAAGAGTTGAAGGACTTGAAGTCATTGTGCAAGAATGACCTCCACAAGTTAAGCAAGAAGCAGGGCAAGGCACTGACAAAGGAGAGAGCGGCAGAGATACAGGAGCGCGAGAAGCAGAGATTGAAGGACATGAAGCAGAAGGCTATTGACACCAACAAGGACGAGGACAAGAAGGAGAGTGAGATCAAGGAGGAGGTGGAGACCAAGTTTGAGCGATCCAGGAAGCGTCCAGACAATGTGGACAAGCTGTTGGACAAGATAGAGAAGTTGAAACAGACCATCAAGAAGAATGACATCCTCAAGACTGGCAAGAATGAGACGTCCACCGTTGCGCTGGGCACATCCAAGATCAACTACCTTGATCCACGTATCAGTGCCGCCTGGTGCAAGAAGGCTGGTGTGCCCATCGAGAAGGTCTTCTCCAAGTCGCTCCGAGAGAAGTTCCCTTGGGCTGAGGATGTGGATCAGGACTACGAGTTCTAAGGTGGCGGTGGGTCGTTTGACATCATGCCCCTTTGCACCTGTACCCATGCTTGTACCCCTGTCGCGCTACACATCCTGTGCTGGTTGGACAACCAATCCAATAAACACCTGAATGACAACAACACCATCAATGGGTAATGACATGCTGACTTGTCATTGTCGTATTGCGCGCATTTATCATTGTTGTTGAGTGTGTGGATGGGATGGCTGATCGGTTCCAGCTCCGTCGGATACCAATAAGGTGGGGCAGCAAAGTAGCCCAATACGCTGTCGACGACATCTTATGTAATACGCAAACAATAACCTAAACAATCAATCAACCAATAACACTGTTTCCGAATCCATATTTTTAATGATGTGATAGAAGTGATGGCCCAGATACTGAACAATCGGTCAATGATGGTATTTGCAGCACTTATCGATCAGTTCATACGCATTTTAAAATCTGGTCGACCATCAAACACCCTGTGGAACTGATGGTGACAACGCGCAGAACACCTTAAAGGGATGAGGTGATTAGGACTGGCTGGCCACATACTCACACGTTTTGACTAATCGCAAGTTTCTCAGACCATCAGCATTGCTTGTGATGGGAGTGGGACCACCCCCTACTGTTGACACGACATCATATCTTAATTTTGAATCCAACTGAATGATTTTCAAACCCATGCAGTGTGTCGCGTTAACACATGTTGGGCTGAGACCTCCTGTTTTGCGACAAGTCCAACTCCGTTTTTCATTTTAAAATAATACTCTTGATGTGAAAAGTGAATGATGTGATGTGTGTGGTGGCGCTCTCTGCCGTGTGTTCGCTTCGGCAGGTCTATAGGTGTGGTTGGATGGCCTTGCTGTTGTCAACAACATCCAAACAATGTTTGTGAGGAGAGTTGGTGAATTAAAATGGAAGGGCAGAAACATTAGTTGGACAGTCATACAGTTCACAATTTGTCACAACCACCTTTTGTTATATATATAACAAATAATCACATTTATACATATACACACACATACAGCTATCTGTTAGGAGTATCAGCGAGTTGTCAACAATCTTTGTAACTATATTTATTTTGTAATATAACCAACACTCCTTCTTTATATCCATACTCATTCATTTGTAATTCTAAATTTATATTGATCGACCAGAAATCGACTTAATGTATGTGATCATTCAAACAATCAACCAAACAATGTTAAACATAATTAATATGTTTGCATGATCAATCGATCAATTGACCAGTCACACTAACTCATTCTTCGCCCCCTTTTCTCCCCTCTCTCCCCAACCCCAACCCTCACTCACTCATTCATCCAATCAATCACTTTCAATCAAATCCAATCAATCAATAATATTACATAGTCTCTGGAAATAACAAACAATCACATCATGCAATTGAGATACATTGTAGTGTTGTTGGCAATGATGACTGCCATCGCCATGGCCGATGTGTACATGCACTCGCCACCAGGCTCAAACGACAGAAACCAAGAGGAGAGCACCAACAGAAACAACGACAATCGTCTGTTCAACTCACAGAACAACGCCAAGGGAGGCTACTGCCGCGGTGGCATCCTCAGATGGTACGAGAAGTCCTACTTGCCAATCGAGTGGACCAACCAGCACGGCTGTGGCAACGACCAGACATCGTGCAACATCATCCTCCAGTACATGTGCGGTAGCACCGCCGACGACTCCACCGTGCAGGTGCGTGACGGTACCACCACCACCACCATCCCCAACGACATCAACCAGGTCGGCACTCTCGACAACAGCGAGCTCCAGTTCGGCATGCACGAGTCCTACTACTACTACCAGAACTGCACCTTCCGTGAGAGAAACAAGGGACTGTTCACCGCCAACCAGAACCCAGGCAACTCTGCCCGCTCTACCCGCCAGCAGCCAGGCACCACCCAATACGGTTTTGAGTGCCCAGAGGAGCGCGACTACTACCCATACTGGGCCCCATCCCCATGGAAGGATATTGCCGTCTTCACTGGCAACACTGACGACTGCCACATCTACCAAGGTGAGTCCCAGAACGTCAAGTCCAAGTGGTACTGTGTGATGCCCGACACCACCAAGCTTGCCCCCGTCGGCCAATCCAAGTGCACTGAGCAAGGTGGAGTTTGGACCGAGCAGAAGGCCTGGGGTATCAGCGCCCCAGAGTGCATCCGCGCCGAGTGGAACCACGTCAACCATCTCGGTCTCTCCCAGTCACCGGGCAAGTACAACTCCTACAACTGGTCGCTCCCACATCAGGGAATGGAGCCATGCATCTCCGCCGGCAACTGCCGCTGTGTGCTCCGTCTGCGTTACAACATCTCGTCTGCTGAGATCAAGGGCTACGGCAAGTCCGCCCTCGACAGTGGCGACAATGGCCAGAACTCGCCAATCCGCACTGACCCAACCGTCCAGGTCGCCGGCGACAACGTCACCCTCAACATCAACGAGAACCAGTACGGCCGTACCTTCCAGGACCGTTCGCACACCTTCTCCATCATTGCCCGTACCCCAGAGCTCAAGAACGCCAAGATCTGGAACCTTTTGGTCAAGGGCAAGCGTGGCAACATCGTCCAGGTGTACCCCGCCATGGAGTACCAGTTCACTCCAAACCAGCTGCACATGAAGATCAACGAGCACGTTCACTTCCAGTGGACTGGCTGCGACCACAACCCAGCCGGAAACACTGGCAACGGCCGTGACCAGCTCGACCGCTCCAACATCGTCCAGATCCACTCGCTCAACGAGGGCAAGCCATTCAACGACACCGACTACAACGGAGACAACGCCCTGTTCACCAACTCGGACGTCCGCAAGCGTTTCGCCACCCTCGACCAGAAGGGCTGTCTCTCGTACGCCGACCTCTACGCCAAGAACAACGGCAACAAGGACCAAGTCGAGCAGGACCCACAGAACTGCGCCTTCCTCAACGCCGCCCCCAACACCTTTGACGGTGGCGTGCACCAGATGGACAGAACCGGTTCGTTCTACTTCATGTCCACCCGTAACAACGACTTCTCCAACCGTGACCAGAAGGGTGCCATCCACGTCGACCCACTGTTCAGACCATGGCAGATTGCTTTGATCGCCGTTGGTTGTGCTCTCTTTGTCGGTCTGGCCGCCACCGGTGGTGCCATGGTCTACGCCAAGCAGCACCCACACTCTGGCGCCAACCGTTTCTTCTCCAAGGTTCCAGGTGTCAAGAGAGTCGTCGCCTAAACACATTGATGTTCCCAACACAACGCATCAAACAATCGACCAATCCAACGTCCGTCCCATGTTTATAACAACCCCTATCCCTTAATAAATATATATATTCCATCATCGAACATCACATTGCGTGTCACTAGTTGGGTGTGGTATAAAGTTGATTGATTGATTGATCTGCCATTTGATGACCATCTCCATCCTCACTGTTGCCACCCAAGTCAGTGTGGTAGCTTTAACATTCAAGTAGCATCACTAGTAGGGTGTCGAATGAGGTTGATTAATTGATTGATTGATTGATTGATCTGTAGTTTGGTGTCGTTTCGTTTCTAGATGGATACTTTGGGTCTCAACAACCTTACTCAGAATCATTCTCCATTTAGTGTGAAGGATCGTCTTTGGTTGGTGGTAATTGCTTGATGATCAAAACAATTAAGTGGGAATTGTAATTCAATGATCCAGGGGAATGAAAGGTGTTCAGATATAGAGTAGGTGGAAATATATAAATACCAGGTCCAATATACCATTCATTGATTCATACTTTGATTCATTCATTTATTTATACTTTCTTTATTAATAGTTACCTAATACTTAAATATGCAACCTTATGTTTTAAATTCGGACACTGCCATCTGGGTATTATCTATTTTATATGGTAAGTAAAGTATACTTTTTAGAATTATAATAACAATAATAATAATACTTTTTAATATTTAAAATATAACAATATTAGGTTTTTTTGGTTTCGTTCTGGCTATGACGGCCATCCTACAAGCATGGTGTTTAAGGTACTATGATGATACTTCTCGCGCTGTCAAGATCATGAGAATTTTCGAGATAACAATCAATAATGGTGGCTCAGTCTGCTGGTTCAACCTTCTCCATCTCTTATCAGAGTACAGACAACAATAATACAACAATAATACAATAAGTCTGTACTCTGATAAAGTTGTATTATTTGGATTCTCCCTACTTGCTGGCAATTGCCTTTACTTATCTCTTTTGACCATTCCAACATTTGGAATAGTAATAGTAGACTACATAGAAGCTAAGAAAAGAAATAAGGAACATAGAGTTTTTAAAGATTTTTAAAGTAATAATAATACTATAATATTAATATAGAACTAAAATTGTCCTACCTTCCATCTAACTAGATATCATGAATAGAGGTGGAAGAAGTCATGACATTACTAGCTCGACGAGAACAATATTCCTTCTCACATTTAGAACCAGGACTGTGCTGAGTTATAACTAACTAGATATACAAGTTGATTATTTTAAAACAACAAAGGCATTTGCTGTCAACAGGCTATTCAAGATGACTGCTCCCGTCTAGTACCTTGATCCACCACCAGCTGGTCATGGATATGACCATGATAATCTGTCCACAACTACATCAACAACTTGATATCACAGCACATTTGATCAAGGTGGAGCTGTTGATATATCTTCAAAGATGGATAGCCAAACCATCTCACCATTACCCAGGCGGAAGATAGAGAGTTCGCGCTTTGAGGGTTAAAACAACAAACCAATTCTTAGACTGAGATAGTCTTCTTTTTTTGATAATGGGTAGCATATTCTAACACACAACCAAAATAAAATAATTATTAATAATAAATAAATGTAGACGGATTGATCAATCTATGTACGGTATGAATTAATAAATTAATAATTATTGTTTGTTTTGATGTAATTATATATCCTTCTTATTAATGAGTATCATGTTTGGATGGCGCCATCATAGGAATGAATAATAAATAATGAAACATATACACACTCCAATCAGACCTCCAATAACCATCAGGTTCCTATTTTTCATCCTCTTGATCCTATTGGTGACCGTGTCAATCGTTTGGAACAAGTCTGGTTGTGTTGTGATTTGTTAATAAGTATCCATCCATCCACTGATCAATCAATCAATTAATCACACTTACTTGGCATTGTATTGATCTTGCCACTGGTACCTCTGAGTATCCTCCTTTGATTTTCAAGTTCCTCGTGGGCCTGTCTCGCTTGTCTGTTGAATGAATGATTGTTTGATTTGAATGAGTTAGGATGTTTGGTTGCCTGCCTGCCCAGTCAAGTCGGCCAGACGACCGGTCACCTGTACACCATACCCTAGTATTGAGTCAACGGCAGAGTTTGAATTAAGTAATGATTCTTGTTCACGAAGTAGGTTGTTCATTGGTATCTCTGTATCGCCTCCCTTCTTGTATCTGATTTTGATGCATATGGGTGGATGGATGGATGAAAGTTAGGATCGAATGGAATGTTCACGGACTTGAATGAAAGAGTGCAACGCCAATCGATGCGATGACCCCAGCGACACCTACGATGATCCAGACATCAACTCAAAGTGATCTAGTGTATGTGATATGTTTTTCTATGTGATCATGTTAGTTCCAGAGCTCTGACTTCCAATGCTCATCATATGATTCATTACCTTAAGCTTCCTGTAGTCTTTTAAGTAGTTTTCCAGCTGTTCTCTATGATGCTGTATCATTGATCCGCTGATGTTTGGGTCTGCAGACATCAACTCATTGCATCTTGTAAGCTAATCATTTGAATGAATGAGAATGAGTGAATGAGTGATTGAATGAAGCAACTACTACTACCTAGTTACACATACATTCTTAAACTTAATGTCAAGCTCTGAGGTAAGGACATCAAACTCTATCTTGTTGTCGGCTAGTGTATCATTGTTGCTCTCTCTCAACACTTTGTCATTGAGTGATGACAATGCACTGAGTTTATTGTCGATATCTATTTCATATGTTCTTATCTCCTTTCTGATTGCACCGCCTCCTCCGCCGCCGCCGCCACCACCCGAGTCACCAGTGCTAGATGACAAGCTGCCTGTACCCTGTCCAATAACAGTGTTGTTGATGTTATTATTGATTGATCTTGGTGGATTATCCCACATTGGTCTTGAGTTCATTAGTTATCTATATCTTTATATATCTATATAAATACAAATATGTTTATGTTTGTTTGTCAATGTTGATGTTGAAGTTGTGTGTGTCCAACAGATGACTCATTTGAGGTGACCACAAATTAATTGAACAATTCAAAGGTGCGTCGTGGTCAAGTGTGGGAGGTCTTCATTCATTCATTCAATCATTCATTCATTCATTCACACTTGACCAAGTGTCATACATTCATTCTTGCAAGAAGTGAAATATATACAACTACTATTACTCTACTCGACTACATTCTCTGATTTCAAAGATAATTTACAACAGGTCAAACCAACCAATAATGTTTTCATCTTAGATATCCATTCATTCAAAACAGAACTTAGACTTGACAATAAGTAATAATAAGGTCGTAAAAACAAGTAATCGAAGTATGTCTCCAAGATAAGATATTATGACTTGATCATGTCGGACTCAACATTCAAACCATCCATGACCAGGAATCCACCCATCCTGTGTGTGTGTGTGTGTGTGTGTGTTTGAAAGAGGGGATTAAGATCACCATTGTTGGGCGACCCAGTTCAATTTCAACAAAGGGGTGTTTGTGCTTGAGGGAGTGTTTGGTCTCACAGGTAACCGACATCTATGACCAAAGCAGGAAGTTGAACACCACCATTGTTGGTGCGGACACCTGGGGGCTTCGGGCTTGGGCTTCAATATGGGTCAAGGGCATAGGGGGCAAGCATCCATGTGATTGCTGTTCTTGAATTGGAGCAACTCTGATTTGTTTATCAACTTACTGTTGCTCCACCAACTCACCATGTATTATTTACTTCAACCAATAGCCTCCCATCTCACATACACATTATAACTTATATATAAGTTTAACTTAGATAAGGTCAAATACATATTAATTTACAGTAGTAGTTGTAGCATTATTCATTCATTCATTCAAAGTAGCAAGTTTAAAACCAACAAACCTACTGTCAACCCGACACATACACATATATTATATACTTCCAACAGACAGACACACAACGACCACAAGTGTTGTCATAACTTCTCAATCACACAACTTCCCACTCCAACAGCTGTCATCATCTCAACTAACACACACACAGGAACAAACAATCAAACAAACACACACATAACCTGTCAACAAACAAACAAACACAATCCACACTCCCACCCTCATCAATCAATCAAGGTGGTGTTGTCTATAGCTTGATCAAAGTTGTTGCCAGGCTAGGCTGGCCTGTCTGTTGATCAGTTTATAAATACTTTGGGTGGGTTGGTAATAAACACATACCAAAGGAGGACAAAGAAGACACACACAGTGATCACACTTAAATATATAAGAAGAAAGAGAGAGAGAGAGTTAGTGACAATCAACAACGAACAACTGCCGGCCATACTCATTCATTCATTCATTCAATCTACCAAACCATTTTGTCATATGTCATTAAATACATTCAATCCAATTTAAATCACGATCCAATCAAATAATACACATCATCCAATCCAAACTTTACCAACATCAATCATATATTATTATATTATATTATTAATCAATCAATAATACTTATAAGTGTACATTAATATTATTATTATTATATTTATTCAATCAATCAAACAAATATGGAATATCGTATAAGTAATCATCACTTTATGTTCAGGACAACAAAGGATATATGGTCCGGACAAACAATACAGATGCCAAGTAAATGGGTTGAGCCATCATTATCACACTTGTCATGCCAGTCCACAACATCATTTCCAGAATTAATAGGATACCAAAGATGCGAACAACAACAAACTCAATCACAAACTCAAACTCATAATCAACTCAACATGTTGGAATTACCAAATGAGGTCACTCTGAGGATTCTATCACATCTGGATCCAGCTGATCTGGTGGCTGTTCAGATGGTCAATCGTACATTATACAAGTTCTGTGGCGAGAACACCATTTGGAAGGCAATTTGCAAGAGGAAATGGAGTAGCTCACCAGTGTTCAAGCGTCGTCCCATCACAAGTTGGAAGAACTACTACTCAAAGAAGGTGTCACTGTTAAAGAATGATAGTATGTATGATAATGTTCAAGATATATGAATGAGTGACTAACTTACAATTACAAACTCATAGATGGCCTACAATGGACAGAGATAAAGTATACGGGAGAGAAACCATCACCAAGATATCAACATTCGAGTATTGCTATTGGAAAGCATATTTATTATATTGGTGGACAGGAGTTGCCAGAGAAGAGGTTCAACGATATATATAGGTTTGATACGGTGGCCAGCAAGTTTGAGAGGATACAGCTTACAAGGGGTGTCCCGCCCAAGTTTGCAAGACATGCCGCCGTAGCCATCGATCACAAGATATTCACGTTTGGAGGATTCGATGGATTCCAGATGCACTACAACCTGTGCGTCTACGACACGATGGCTCAAACATGGGACTATGTTGGCACCGTTGGCGACGTGCCCGTGCCACGCACCAATCACGCTGCCGCTGTGATTGATCGACACATGTATGTTTATGGCGGCATGTACAAAGAGCCCAACAACGACCTGGTCTTCCTCGACGACCTCATGTGTCTGAACACCGACACACTCACATGGACAAAGTTGGCACCAACAGGTGACTTGCCCCCAGCCAAGTGTGGACATCAGTTGGTGGCATTCGATAACAAGCTGTTGTTGTTTGGCGGTGGCTCAGGATATCAATGGGAGAGCAAGTACAATGACATCCACATCTACGACCTGCTGGTCAACCGATGGACCAAGGTCAGCATGAAGGGTTCGGCACCAGTGTGCACGTTCTCTGCTGGATTCAGTGCTGGACCATTCTTCTTTGTGTATGGAGGACAATCGATCAAGGACGACACGCTCACCAATGATCTTTTCATGTTGGACACGGTCAATATGAGCTGGACAAAGATCGAGACCGAGAATGCACCGTTCCCAAGAGATATGGGATCGGGCAACCTTGTTGGCTCAAACATGTACATCTTTGGAGGTCTGCGTGGCATCGCCATGGACAAGATGCATTGTCTCCAGATGCAAAAGAAGTTCGAGAGTCTCAACCTCCAATTCCCAAGTCTGCTCCCATTGAGCTAATTGTAATATAATATTATTAAACTAAACCGAGTCCAACAACATTGATGTCTTTGTTGTTGGCATTGTAGTATACCTTACATACTTGGGTTGTGATGGCTCACAAGTGTAAGCCAGAAGCCTTGATGTTTATTAGTCAGCAAGCCAGCCAAGTTGATCAATGGATCACTCAGTAAGTATGGCTGTTGGAACACCAACAGTGTCCATGATTGCTGGGGTCGCGTCATTCCTTTCACGATCCATGATATTGTTTGTGTTATCATTCTCATCGACTGGCTGTTGTTGTTGTTGTTGTTGATGTTGTGGTAACGATGCACCATCCACATGTTGTGTCGATCCATCTCCTAAACTGTTGTTGTTGTTGTTGTCTTTGTCTGTACATTTACTACTACTATTGCTTACATTTGATTGATTACTATTATTATTATTGTTGTTGTTGTTACTGTTACTGTCCACTACTACTGCTCCTGCTCTCTTTGGTGATGTTACTGATGGTGGCTTGACAGTCTTGGTTCTCAAGTCGTCCCATGATTGTTTGTTCTCATCATATGCCATCTTTAGTGAATGTAGCTCGGCCAAGATTGCTGTGGTTGTTGGACGCGCCTCTGGCACTTGATCCCAACATCGAACTATCAGATTCCTCAGTGCTTGTGGACATGTCTCGATGATCTTTGGTCTCACCTTATTCTTTGAAGTCAGAATGATGATCTGAATGTCCATCGAGATTGGATAGTCGTGGAAAGGGCGTTGATAGACGCCTGTGATGCATCGTTGCACCAACTCCCACATGATGACGCCAAGCGAGTAGACGTCTGACTTGGTGTTGAACAGCATGCCATCGTAGATCTCTGGCGCGGTGTACGCCATCGTGCCACGAAGCATGCCCAGCGTGCTGACGTTGGTCATTGTCATGGTGCGCGTCAGTCCAAAGTCGCACAGCTTGGCATTGTACTCGGCTGAAATGAGGATGTTGAGTGTCTTGAGATCCCGGTGTACAGTTGGCGGGTTCATATTGTGAAGGTAGTGCGCGCCCTCCACAACCTGCATCATCCAGCGGAACCACTTGTCCCATTCAAAGTCGAAGCTGGTGTTGAGCACCTTGTGTAGTGTGCCGCGACTGCAGTACTCCACCACCATGCTCAGCTGACTGTCTTCAATGCACGATCCAAAGAATGATATCAAGTGAGGTGATCGTATCGTGCTGAGTATGTCGCATTCCTTGCGGAATGATTGAATCTGGTCTGGGGTCGTGTTGCCTCGCAGTGTCTTGATGGCCACGAACTTGTCGTTGTAGCGTCCTTTGTACACCTTGGAGTAGGTGCCCGACCCAATGCGCTTGATGTACTCGAGGTCTTGCGAGGGGATGAGGTGCGCCCATCCCATCAGCGCCTTGATGTCGATGCCAGAGTTGTCGTCGTCATCGCCATCGTCGTCGCCTTTGGGCACAACATCGCCTGGTGTTGTGTTGCCTGAGCCATTGTTTGCATCTGCGTCACCGCCGAGTGGCGAAGGGCCGACGCCTGCCTTGCCATTGCCGGGCAACACCTGAAGGAATATGGGGATAGAGCGACGCTTCCAACTCTGCTCGGGCGAGGGTGGAAAGCGCAGACTGATGCAGTCAGTGCTTCGTCGCCACTCATTGGGAATGATGTTGTGCTGCTGGAGGTCTGTGATGTGTTTGGATAGTCGCTTGTTGATTGGCGGCTTCTGATCGGCCTCCTTGACGATGAAGAATGTCTGCGCGGGGTCCTCCCACGTGTCCTTGATGTCGATGATCAGTTCGTCGTCGCCAAGCATCCTCTCGATCTTTGAGCCGTTGGACTGTAGTGGAAGGATGAGGAACACTGTGATTGAGCTGGGAGGCAACTGCAACTTCTGTTCAACTGAGATGCCGACATCGCGTGCTGTCGTCTCCTTGGTGAGCGCCAGAGTAAAGAATCGACCGCCAGTGGCATCGACGTAGTTGATCGAGCTGAGGTCACCAAAGTAGAATCGCATCAATCTCATCACGTCCTTCTCCTTGTTGTTGCTCTTGATCTTGGCGCCAGATGACATAGATGATGTGCTGTCAAGTGCTGCTGCGCGCTTGCTGAATGGGCTGGGACGTCCAGTCACTGGCGACCCGCCACTGCTCTGGTTGTTGGCAAGGGCGTTCCTAGTCTTTGATGGAGAGTGTTGTTGTTGAGGCGATGAGTTGAGTGGGCTGTTGCTGCCACTGTTGTTGCCACTGCCACTACCACCATGTTGTTGACTTTGTACCAACTCCTTGAAAGCTTTGACGGCTGGAGACCTGAGCGATGAGTGAAGGGGAAGTGGGTGGCGAATGTCTGTCGTCTCCCCCGACGACGTGGGTAGCGGACCGAGCTCTGCAGGTGAAGCCTGCAGACCATTGTGCCGCTGCTGGACGGGTGACGACTGGTACATTGGCGGTGTGTGAGTGGTACTGCTGGCAGCACTACCGCTCGAGTCTGTGATATTGTTGTTGTTATTGTTGTTGTGACTATGATTGTGTTCGCCATCATTGTGATGTGAATGATGATGTGACTGCTTCTTAGCATGCACTGAGACGATGTTCAGTGACGATGCTTTCTTCTTCTTGAGAACAAAGTTTGGTTCAGACTTATTGTTGGCTCGCCGCGAGTCCACTATCTCCCATATGCTGTCCTCATTGGACAGTCGTCTGTCCTTTGTAATGCCAAACTTTCCCTTTGTCCTCTTGTATATATATACGTTCAAGCCTGTTGGTACCTTGGATTGTAGTCCCAAAGTTATATCACGCACTATCCATCATATGGGCAACATTGAGTTGGTTGAGTTAGTCGTCGCGACGAATCCATACTCCATCCATAACCAACATAACTTACCTGTGTTTGTAGAGTCGAGCAATAGTGTCCAGTACATGTGCTCATCGTTGGCCCAATAGAATCGGAATGGGCGCTTGGTAGTTGATGTCTGGTCGAGGTCACTTGCTGACCGTCTTCTGATCAGTGCTGCTGGTGGTGTGTTTGTAGTTGTTCCAGCCATTGCTGATGATGCTACAGCAGCATAGTCACTGGCGCCATTATTGGCATCGCCGTTGCCAGAGGCAGTGCCGCCACTGTTCATCCAATGTTGTTGTATCCCTTGACTATCTCTATTATAATCTAGTCCAGTGTCTTTGATTTGATGATCAGTCCAATGATTGATTGTTTGATTGAATGCTGTTGTTGATGGTTTGTTGTTAAGTTGAGTTGAGTTGGAGTTAACTTGTCGTGTCAAAGGAAGATAGATAGTTTGGAGGAAGTATGACACGGAGACAGAGAGAGTGAGTGATTGATTGATTGATTTGTTTGATTGATTAATTAGTCTATGTTGTTGTTGATGATGATGAGTGCTAGTACATCAGATAATTAATATATATATATGTGTGTGTATGTATATATATATGTTAGAGTGTGTTGTTGGCTGCGTATATGTAGTATGATATGTGGAGGATGATGTTGCTGCTGCCCTTATAGTTGAGGGGTTGGTATATGTTTGTTGTTGATACTTATAATCATGGGTGTGTGTGTTTGTTTGAATGTGTTTAATGATTGTTTGATGTGATGGTAGTGGAGAAGGGAAGACCTGACTGATTGATAAGGGATGAATGGGAGGTGAGACATTGGAGCCCCAACAACAACACCAAACAGAAAGTATACACTTTCAACAGATGCCCCAACAACTGAGATAATTTGAGCGCCACAATTCATGCATTCAATCAATCAACGAACCAATCAATCAATCAATCAAACAACCCGGATTTCCTAAATGAAAATATCTGGAATATACTTATATTATATTATTTTTATTATATTTAAATAAATACTGAAGTGTTCACATAGTGCTCTGGAGTGAACCTGTTGGTCGTCAAGAGATCACTGTCCTTGTACATATCTAGTGGATACTCTACAATGAAGCCACGAACTTGATTCAGGATCTGATCAATTCTTTCATTCCTGGCAAAGAACTTGGTCGGTGGCACATTGATGTCTGGCAACACTGTTTGGTTCTCGGGTATCTTGTCGCCAAAGGCATCCTTGAACAGCTTGGTGTTGTCCCTGGCAGTGTTCTTCCACACAGTATTGAACGCTTCGATTGGGTCAAGGACGGCGTCGGTGTTGTCCATGCCCAAATGGATCTTCCACAAGTTCATGCGCAGTGTCTGGGCAAAGGGACCGGCCATGTAGCGCTGTCCATTCATCCTGGACTCCACGAGGGCGGAGTCAGAGACATGTGCCGCGAGCTCAGAGTCACGCACGCCCATCATTGAACGATCGTTGATGTTGCAGCTGCCAATGATGGCCACACGGTCGTCTGCAATCAGCACCTTGGAGTGGATGTAGATCTGCTCGGTGAAGACCCTGTCGAAGCACTGCTCCCACTTCCTCAACGAGAAAATGCCAAAGTATCTAGAAAGGTCGGCGTCTGGGAACTCGGCGTGCAGCAGCTCCAGGATGGACTGGCCACCGCGATTGATCGTCTTTTGCGTCCAGCCAATGACTACACGTGAGGCTACATCATTGATGTCTCCACCAGGGTTCATGTTGGTGAGGATGATCACCTTGAAGTTGCTGTTGGTAAGGATGGCCTGGCGCACTCGCTGTAGGATAGCGAGGGCAATCCTGTTCTTGGGGAGCTTGGCTCCACATGATGACACAAAGAACAAGTTCTGTATATAGATAAAGTGTCTGGCTGTCTTGATGGTCATGAGGTAGGCCTTGTAGCAAGAGTCCTCAGTGTCTGTGCCAACCGACCACATGCTGGCCGATCTGAGCACTTGGACCACACAGCCATCAGATGTTTTCTGCGAGGAGGATGGCAGCTGATCAGAGATGGTTGGGTCGGTGGCAATGTCGTCCTGGACGGCTTGCTCGACGATGGGGGSTCGCTGGATAGGTCAGCAATCTGAACGCCATCATTGCCAATTGTGTTGTCTATTGTGTTGTTGTACTGTTTGGCCTGACGAGCTGCATATGCACGGATCTTTGGATTGGCGGCCGGCATCACATACTCTGTCCTACGCTGCTGGCCATAGCCAGACAGATGCTTGAAGTTCCTGTTGATGTTGGAGTAGAAGTTCTTGAAGTGGCTAGTCTTGTGCACCTCCTCCTTATCCTCTGTGAAGTAGTTCTTTGGCATCAAGACGTCCTTGGACATGTTGCTGCGACTGGCGTTCATGGCATGGTTCCATCGCTGGATAAAGTTATAGCCAAGGTCTCGTGCGGAAGGTCCTACAATCTTGACATGGACATCGTGCCATGGCATTCTTGGGAAGTTGTGGCGATCAAGTTGATCGACGTGTGGGTCTCCAGTACGTGTGACCTGCGAGCAAATGTTACCATAGTCCTTGCCTGGGAACACAGCGCTGTCGAGGTCAGTCAGAGGGAAATGATCCACTTCATAACGCATGAAGGCAATATCGACACCACCGACGAATCCGATGGCCTGATCAATGACAACACACTTCTGGTGATGCGACCAGGAGAGTGGGTAGATCTTGGGATGGCGAATGACCGTAATGTTGGGATGGCAGCTTTGGAACCACTTGGAAGAATGCTTGGTGGCCAGCTGGATGCCCAGGTTCGTCTCGTTCCACATCAGGATGTGTACCTTGACTCCTCGTTTGGCACATCGTGTAAGTACACGGTCCAGACGACTCTCCTCCATCAGCTCCGGCGTAGTCCTGTCCAGCATGACGTACGGCCACACCCACCAACCAGTGATGAACACCTCGTGTTGCGCACGCTCAAGACAGTGCGCCAGATCCTTATAGTAGTTGCATCCATTGATGAACCACTGACACTCGTTGTTGGGACGGATATGAGCGAACGATTGGAATCGGTAGCCAAGGTGTGTGTAGTGGCGGATTGCGTTGACCCAGTCGTTGCACTCCTGCTCATTCTTGACAAAGAAGTAGCGCTGATACTCTCCACTGGTAAACTTGAAGCCGTAGAGCTGGTTGTAGGAGCTGCTGAACAACTTCTTCTTCTTGACGTCCAGGATGGTCTTGACCGTCGAGCCGGGGAGCAGTATCGATCGCTTTGCCTTCTTGAACTTGCCATCCATACTGTGTCTATACACAATAAGGAATCCATCCTTTATCTTTAGACGTCTATGATGTGCCGATGTGATGCCCAGCACTGTCTGCTTCTTGATCTTTGTGACCATTCCAGAGATGTTGACTTGGTCATCTTTGAACATCTCATCAAAGGGAAGGACGAACCTGTAGTAGAAGAAGTCAAACATGCCAAAGCAACGTGGCAGATCGGGATCCAGGACACCTCTCTCCATGAACTCCTCCATGCTCAACTCATTCTTCTCGTTGAGGTATCCTGAACCATTGAGTGTCAGTCCACCACCATACACCGAAGAAATCACCTCATGAGGTGAGGTGAAACGACCTTTGGAGAATGGCATGTTGCTAAACAACTTGCTAATGGTGGAAACAACCTGGTAGACCTCGTCTCTCGACACAGCTTTGTCCTTGTTGAAGTCACATATTTGGAAGGTGACTGATTGATTGATTGAGGAGTCAGTATGTTAGAAGGATAATTAAAGTGTGGACAACGTGGAAAGGAAACATACATCTTAGTTTCTCTTTGTTTGAACCTCTGGTCATCACAGACAGGGCATAGGCAAACTCTGGGAAAGCAATGTCTCCATCTCCATTCCTGATTGTTGTGTATGTATGTGTTAGTTGTTAAGTGCTGGAGTATGAAAGTGGGGCAAGTTGGTATACATACTGATCAATGGCATTCAACAAAGAGATTGTCAATGCAGAGTTGTCCTTGAACACTGTGAGGAAGTTCTGGAACTCCTTCTTTGTTCATAATATCCGATCCATTGGAGAATGTTGTAAAGTCTCTATAGAGTAGGTTGAGCTCATTGGAGTTGACTATGATTGATGGRAAAGAATGATTGGTCAGTATATCCAATGTTCCAACACGCAAGGTATGAAGAGTGGTGACTTACAATATGTCTCACAAATCAAGATATGCTCCATCTCTTTGGAAAGATGACCTTGTCCACTGTTAAGATATTGCCTGGCGTCGTTCTGCCAACAACGGATACCTTGAAGGATCTGCTCATCAGATGTGTTTGGGTTGTTCTCCTTCATGATCATGGATTGCATTCCATAATATCCCTTCATCTTGTGTGGATTCATCGGAGATGGTTGGACCATGGCGGATGAGGCAGGTCTGCCTTGTCTGTTGTTCATGGTTGCCGCAGCCATGCCACCGGCCATCGACATTGGGGCGGCCGTTGAGGAGGTGGTTGTCGTAGTGCTCGTGGTCGTTGGTCGGGTAATCTCTGGAGCGACAATGACTGGCGTGCCATTGACGTAGGTAAACTCCTCTGGTCCCGGCGCTGATGGAACTCTTGTACTTAGTATTGGACTCCAAATCTTATCCTTCAATGATGCTCTCTTCTTTGCTTTGCCACTCTGTGTCATCTCGGAGAATGCAGTACCATTGTTGCTGGATGTGGTCGACTGTACATTGTTTGAGTGCATAGCATCTGCATGTGCACCTGATGACTTGAATGGCTTGTAATTATCATCCATATGAGTAAACTCTTGGATTGGTCTATTCTCGGTTGCCACGCTCATATTTGACATCTTTGAGCTTTCGGCATCCTTAAACTGATGTAAATGTGAATGAACTGATTGGTCCTCCTGTGTGGACATCTCTTCTCTAATTGTCTATGTCCAAGTCTATATCCTTTTTACTACTTCTCTGACTCTTCAATGAATAATCTTTCCAAATAATAATAATAATAAATAATGATAATGATAATAATAATAATATGTTATCTCTATCTAAGTGACTGTATCTTTATCTGTACCAGTGTATCTGTATCTGTATCTGTTTGAATTGTCATTCACACTCCTTCATTGTCAATGAGACACTCAATAAAGACAGAGATGTCAGTATGACACTCACACACCACCTACAACTCCAATCCAATCCAATCACCACCCACTTTACTTTACTTACTCTGGTGTTGTTATTTAAATCTTACCTTATAAAGGTATAACACGTCAATCTACATGTGCCTTTTAAGTATCCAACACCACAACACACCCCTCTACATCGACCACACTACTCAATCGCATCGCATCAAACACAACACACCACCATCCATCCATTCCATTCTTTCATTCACTCTTGAGCACACACAGATACAAACACAACACACACATAAACAAACAGATAATTCCAAAGTGAATTCGGTACAATGTATTACTAATGTCGACTTACGATGGAGTTTGGTACAATTGTGTCGCTAGATAGCGAAAGCAATGAACTTAAAGTCAGTCAGTCTAGTTGACTGACTGAATGCCATTGTGGTGGTGATTGATGGGATGGGAAGTTCAAAATGGTGTTCCAGTGACGAAGCGAGTGAAGAGTGCTAGAGCTTGAGCAGGCTTGTAAGAGCTAACCATGTGGCCAGCACCCTTGACGGTGGCAAATGATAGAGTGGCAGCACTGTTGACAGAGGCTGTTGAGTAGGAGACGACGTAGCCAGCAACCTGTTGGTACTTCTGATCGTCCACCAAGATCCATGGACGCCACGCCGATGACACTGGGTAGCCAAGCTGAGCGACCGCCTGCGATGTACCAAGGTATGGAACACAACTGTCGACATCACCAGAGAACACGAGCACCTGAAGACCATTGTGGATCAACAATTGATACATCTGAGGGATATCCTCGACGATCTGTGTGTAGTTGATGATTGGCGAGCATGGTTGCCATTGGCCCGAAGGCACAGTGTGCGACTCCACGCCCAGCGCCTTCTGCACGTCCTCGCGGTTAAGGTAGCCCTCGATGGCACTCTCGTCCAGACATGGGATGAACACCTGCGATGAGCGGACGGTGTGACGCGAGCTGCCCAGCAGCGCGGTCTCGGTGGTGAAGCAGGAGCCGCCCGAGGCTGGTCCCTCGCCAACGCATGGCTCGTAGATGTCGTATGGGTTGATCAGGTTGAAGGCGTTGAACAGCTCGTTCTGAACAGCCTGGCACTCGGATGACGCAGGGTAGAAGACGCCGCCACAGATGGACGACATGTTCATGTAGTCGTTGTAGCTGAGCAATGCGTGGAACGCCATGAATGTTGGGTAGAACTGTGCGTCAACGGTGAAGTTGAACGATGGGTTGCCCACCATGACACCGCGCAGGTTGAGACCGATCGATGGCTGCTGGCTCACGATGAGACCGGCGAGCTGGGGCACGTAGTGGCCGGCGTATGACTCACCAGCGATGTACAGGTCGTTGGCGCGGAACTCGGGGAACAGTGTGAAGAACTCTTGGAGCGCAGCCATGTTGTCGGACGCGGTCTGGAAGTCGCCAGTGGTGTAGTTGCCGTCGGTGTTGTATGAGAAACCGACGCCGGCGGGCGACTCGAGATAGAGCATGCTGGCGACATTGGCCCACGTGTATGGGTTCTCGACGACGAAGAACTTGTCGTGGCCGCTGGCACCGGTGGTGTCCTTCATGACGGTGAAGGGGCCGTTCTCGGTGAGTGCGCCCAGCATGCTGCTGCAGCCGGGTCCACCATTGAGGAAGAGTGCGACGGGGTCGCTTGATGGGTTGTTGCGCGACTCGATAAACCAGAAGAAGTAGTGCTTAGATGTGCCCACGGTCAAGTAGCCAGTGTATTGGCCCTTGATGTCCTTGTCATATGTTGGCAAGAATCGGAGTTCGTTTACTGATGATGCCTGTGTAAGTGTGATGGGCATCAACACCATCATCATCAATGTTGCCACTAATAGTACAATATGTTGTAATCTTAACATTTTATATATCTGTATATCTGTATATCTGTCTATCTGTCTGACCTTCGTTCGGGGATGACACATTAAATTGGTTTGAGATCGTGGTGGCATAGTCCACGCCACTTCCATTTTTGTGTCCCATGGGTCCCTTCAGTTTTGATTGATTTGCACTTTGTTCCAGAATCAAAGACACAGAATGAATGTTTTAGTTATTCTTAAGGTTTAATAACATATTTATCTGACCTCATTAATCCAAAATAATAATAATCAAATATATATAATAAAAAATAATAAATAAATAAATTTTTATCTAGATATTTTTGGCAACTTTTTGACCATCATGGCAGTGTTTGATCACTATCAAAACAGCAGTCGAATGCATTGTTCACACATCTTATCTTAATCTTATTTTGGAATAATAATAATACACAATATGTTATCAAATAGACTAATAATAAGTAGGGTGCTACCAACATCATTACAACTCACGGGCTCAGGCTCAGCATCTTTCAACAAGTTGATCGGTCACAACAACTTTTCAACATCATCTCCAAGCACATCAGCTGATTATAATGGTATGCAATCAATCAATCAATCAATCAATCGAATAATTGATACTCACACATTCTATCAAACGACAAACAAACACAGCAATCTATGAGAAACATAAGAAGTTGGCGTCAAAGAGGATGACTCAGGAAGAGATCATTGATGTGATAAAGAATGATACGTTGTTCTCTTGGAATGCAACTGGTCCAGCTTCCGCAAGTGCATTGGTGATGGCCAAAGGCGAGGGAGTATACTTCTACGATCAGAATGGAAAGAAGTTCATTGACTTCAACTCACAGGCCATGTGCTCAAACCTGGGCCACACAGTGCCTGAGGAGGTCATCAAGGCTGTAAACGACCAGCTGCGTACGGCCGCCTACGCATACCCATGTGCCATCGTCACCGAGACCAAGGCCAAGCTGTCGCAGCTGTTGGCCGACCTGTTGCCAGGTGACCTCGGACACCTCTTCTACACGAGTGGTGGCGCAGAGTCAAATGAAACAGCCATGAGGATGGCCCGACTAATGACTGGTCGCCACAAGATCCTTGCGCGCTATCGCTCTTACCACGGCGCTACACTTGGCGCCATCTCACTCACTGGCGACCCCCGTCGCTGGCCTGCCGAGCCGGCTGCATCTGGCGTCGTTCACTTTGTTGACCCCTTCCCCGTGTCGTTCAAATGGGGCGACGACGAGGCAGAGATCACCAAGCGCAGTCTTCAGTACCTGCGCGAGATCATCATGTATGAAGGCGGCAAGAACATCGCCGCCCTGTTCATCGAGCCGGTCACAGGCACCAACGGCATCCTCAAGCCACCCCGCGGCTACCTTGAGGGCATCAGACAGATATGCGACGAACACGGAATACTCATGGTGTGCGATGAGGTCATGAATGGCTTTGGCAGGACCGGCCAGATGTTTGGTTTTATGAACAGCGAGGGCGTTGTGCCCGACATTGTCACGATGGCCAAGGGTATCAACGGCGCCTACCTTCCATTGGGCGCAGTGGCCTGTCGCGACCATGTGGCCAACTTCTTCCGCGTCAACCCCATTGGCATTGGATCGACTTATAACTCGCACCCCGTCACCCTGGCATCTGCCTACGCTGCCCTCCAGTATTTCCTCAAGACTGACGTACTGGGCAACGTTAGGAAGATGGAGCCCGTGCTCATTGAGTGTCTCAAGGATCTTAAGCGTCGCCACCCAACAGTCAAAGGCTTCCGCGCTCTCGGCCTGTTTGGCATTGTGGAGCTGCAAAAGAACTCAAAGGGCGATCCATTCATCGAGTACAATGGACCAGCCCACCCAGCCATCAACGCCTTCAAGGCTGACCTCGTTGGCAATGGACTCTACACCCTCGCTCGCTGGAGCAGCTTCTTCACAAACCCTCCCTTAACCATCAACGAGCAAGAACTCAAGCAAGGATTCGACATACTCGACAAGTGTCTAACAAACCTCGACAAGCACTTTGAGAAGTAAAGTAAAAGTAAAGTAAGGGTAGGGTAGAGCAGGATGTTGCCACAACACAACCTACCCATCCATCCATCCAACAACATTTACTTTGTTACCTTTGGGACGTCTGTTGTGGGCTTCCTTACGCGAAAGATGAGGAAGATGGGACAGATGTCGTGGGTGTACTTCAACCTGGGATGCTTGACAATGCCTTCGTCAGTGGCCTTGGGCTCGTGCATCTGTTCGATGATGAAGCCAGCAGACAGGATCATGGACACCCACGTGGAGAGTGGTCGATGGAAGACTGGGACGGAGAAGGGCTCCACGTTAGGGTCCATCTTGCGCGAGATACCAAATGACCAGCGCTCGACGTACTCGCCATTGGTGACGGTGAAGTAGTCGAGCACGCGCATCTCCACCTCTAGGCCATTCTCATCCTTGATGAAGTGGGACTTGGGCGACGACATGAAACAAGGATGGATGATGGAGAACTGGAGGAAACCACCCGGCTTGAGCAGCTTGTACACTGCGTCAAAGACGCGCGGCTGGTCGGGCAGGTCCATTAAACACATGAACGAGGTGACAAAGTCAAAGGAGCCGGCCGTGTAGTGATCGTCGACCTGCTGTGCATCGGCCACCTGGTAGTCGATGCCGACCGGCTGTTGTTGCTCGTGGTCATTGGCATACTTTATAAAGGTTGGGGCGATGTCGCAGGCGGACATTTTAGCGCCTCGATCATTGACCAGTAGACGGGTGTTGTGGCCTTCGCCACAGCCAACATCCAATCCGACCAGACCCTTAACGTCTGGTAGAATACTAAAGAAGCCAGGGGTATTGACATAATCCCGATGAATGTCACATCCCTTCCTCGTGTAAATACTCCAGTTCTCAGCGTTGTTCTCCCAATGTCTTCCAGATTCTTTGCTATCCATTTTAATGTTTCGTTTGTTTTTTTGTATTTGTATTTGTTATTACAACTTTGGAGGCAAAGACAAATGAAGTGTTTTGGGTGATCACAAACTTAAGATGAGACGTCCAAGATTTTCAACTCATTTCCAAGAAATGAACAGAACATTTCAACAATACACATCAATCACCCAATCGATCGCTTTAGGAATCATTCCACTCGCTCAATCAATCAATCAACCAATCACCCACATCATATCACATGACCCAATCAATTAAAAATATACCGGAATCATTCCACTCAATCACTCATCAATCAATCAATGATGATAATGACGACAGATCATTGGATCTTTGATTTATTGTTGTTGCTGAAAGCTCGTGATGATTGCTTGGAACCAAGACGTTGTTGGATTTTGTAATGATTGTTGTTAGAGATGCTGTTGACGTGACTGCCACTTCGATTGTACAACTCGATACTCTTTACAATGATCTTGGAGACAAGTTGATCAGTGCCATACTGTATCATCTTCAAATCTCTCATTGTAAGATTATGTAGGTTGTGTAGAGGTATCTGCAAGAATGGCACAGTGTCCAATAGTATGTTCTCCGAGCGATTGAACTCCTTTGAAGACATGTATGCGATCAGATCCATTGGTATTGGCTCCTCATGCTTTGGATCCGGACAGTACATTGTCAACAACTGTTTGATCTGGGCAAAGCTGATGGATGGACACACTTCACGACGCGTGTCCTCGTTGGCCAGCCGTCTCTTCTCAATCAACAGGATGTTGACAGCCTGTCTCAACTTGGACAGATGTCCAGCCATCTGCAACGAGTCTCTTCCACCATTGCTATGGATCCAGAACTCCAACTCTGACACGTAGAGCTTCAATGCGGCACCAGCATACATCGAGCACAACTCCTTACGCAGTACCATCTCATTAAAGATCACTGCACTAATATGTTGGAACACCTGTTCAAACAATGACACCTGGATCGCAATATAGATATGGCATTGCTTCATCGTGGTCATCAAGTTGGTTCTATAGTCGATCATTAAAGGAGTGATGCAAATGTAAGTAATTTGAATGATTGATGGGAGTGTGTGATGAGTGACTGGAATAGATCCAGTAGACGAGTGATCGAGTGATCTAGTGGACAGGTGACCGAACTAGTTCCGCCAACGAATGAATACTTACAAATATCTCAACAATGGATATATGGCCAATCCATTCATTGATAGGTTGTTGACGGCCTTCATGCAGAGAGGCTGTACGGCACCGAGTACATTGTCCAAGAGTCCTTTGTAGATCTTGAGTATCAATGTTTGGATGTTTGTCTTGATCTTTAGTGACTCCATTGCAACCATGCCAGAGTTGCCCGATGCTTGATCATTGAGTGCCGACTCCAATCCTTTGAGAATGAGCGATACGTTGGACAACCAGTAGATCAGCACATCATTGCTCTTGGCCTCCTTGTTAGTGATGGACGACACATGGTCGATGAAGTAGTAGAGTATCTGTGCCTTCTCTTGCGAGCCCATCACAGTGTCCTCCAGGAAGCAGTTGGCCACGACAAAGCTAGGTGATGGAATGCTTCCAGTGACATATACCGATGTGTGTTCAGACATCAGCACGTCAACAAGGTACATTCCCGCGGCCACCGTGTTGCCATTCAGTTCCATGGCCATGCGCAAGTCTGATATGTCATTTTGCGTGTATGACAGTGTCCTCGCGTTGATCTGGTAGGAGATGTTTGAGAATGTGGACAACTGTTGGTAAACGATCTGCTTGGGCAACACGTTCATCTGGTCCTTCAGATCACCGATCATTCTACTCAATGACTGGATCTGCTCTGTGGAGTCACGCTTGAGTCTCTGGATCTCCTCATCGTTGGTCTCGATGCGTCTCCTCAGTCTCTCATTCTGGTGTCTGAGGTCATCAGACGACTGCTGCGTCTGGCCAGCACGACGATCACTTGATGATACCTTATCCAACTTTGTCCTGATCGCACTTTGGAGTTGGATGGCCGCTCTCCTCAATCTCTGGTACTTGCGACGACAGACAAAGCCACGAAGATGCTTCTGGATCATCACACAGGCATCAACAGTCCTCTTGGCCATGTTGGACACCATTGGAATGGGTGTGATTGCTGGACTTGAGCCTCGATTGATATCAATTGGCGCCATCATCATATGCCAGCGATGGAATGAATCCTGATTGGCCGAACCAGGTGAGTGATCAACAATGGTGTTTGTCTCGAGCAATAGTGGAGAAGGACCATCACCTTGATTGAGTGTGATTATCTTCTTGGACAAACCCAACGATGAAGTTGGAGTGTTGGTCATTATACCTCTTGTTACGCCTGAGCTCACACCACCAATCATTGGACTGATACCATTGGCATCTTTGAACAATGATTTAATTGGAGCCTTTGTCTTGAATGATTTCCTCTTCTTCTGCGATCTTGACTTTGAAGGTGATATATCCTCCTCTGATATCTCATCCTTGATCACATTTTGTTTAAATGTATTGGATGATATATTCTCCTTATTATTGAATATATACTTTTGTTTCGATGATGATACGCTCATATTATTATTAAGTTATTAATTAGTTTGGGATTAATAATAATAATAATAATAATTATAATAATAAAGTTGATGAATGAATGAAGTTGATGAAGTGACGGGTTGTGATTGAAATATGAATGGATGGATTGATGATTGAATGTTGATTGTGATTACAACAAGTTCCCTCCAAATTATTGGATAACGACACATTGTATTATATATCTATTGTCATGATAATCATTGATCAAACACACTCACTCATATCACTCAATCTCCATCACTTTCACCACCCAGCTTCACACTCTAATCATTCACCCACACAACATTAATGTAAGAGGGTACCATATTACAGACTGATCTTATGATCTTGTTTATGTGTGTTCAATCATATAATCATATTGGATAATTGATTGATTTAACCAAGACATGAGATCTTAAAATATTGGCCCAGGAACCTTTGATTCATGAGTATCGAGGACCCAGAATCTAGAACTAGGATCAACCGGTTTGTACGATTTGGAAGTAGGTCCAAGTTAGACAGGGAAACTTTATATTCTGGGTTCAAAATGGTAGTGTAGGTCATCGGATATTACTATCCATGTTGTATAAGTTTAAGATAATATTACGATTGTGAATTCAAATTTGGAAACAAAACATCGATTCTAATTGACAGGTGACAATCCTAAGAAGAACTAGAATAAAACCTTTAAGGTATCCAACTTATACAACATGGATAGAGATTCTGACGAAGAAGATGATCAAATTCAAGTACTAATTCGCTTTGACAAAAGCGTTCTAAATGCCAACCAACGTCGCCGGGTGCAGAACATTCTTCAGCACTACTACAACAGTATCGTGCAAAATGTTACCTCCCTCAACAAAAGAGCTGCACCATTGACACCTTTTGTTCCTCCTCACTACAACCATATCAACGCTGTCTTTGGAGTCGGTGATGAGTATGAGTTTCCCTTTAGGTCAGCTCATGTTTGTTTCCTTTTGTTTGACTACCTTGGAGGAGTATTCGGTAAGTAAGACTCTTGAGAATTCGGTCTATCTCTTTCTAATTAATTAGACAAAGGTGATACTCTAATACTTGCAAAAGGAGCAATTATCTTCGAATACCGCTCATCAGAGATGGCATAGTTTGGTGATGGATTGAGTAATTACTTTTGTATATTAAATGGACATTTATTATCAACATCAGTAACAAGGAGATATTAATTGTTTGGATATTACTTATCTTCATGTATTTAAAAAAACAATAATGAATTTGATTAATGAATGATTTAATGTTTGTTTGGGTTTCAAATGGACAAATCAGTTTGTTCAAGACAAAAGTGATTTTATCCTGCCTAATGCACTTTATTATTATATTTCCTCGGACTTATTACATGATTAACATATCGAAGAACATCACAATGATCAAACTGTACTGAACTTCTTAAATAAAAAGGGTCAAAATGGTTGTGGATTCTACTTTATTTGGCATCCAGCAGTCAAATTTGACACCTAGGCTCACACAGTCCATTTGATCGCCCAACAATTGATATCTTAACCTATGTTTGGACACGAACGAGTACAACAGCAACTATTAGCTGAACTCCTTGTACAAGGTTCACCATCCAATGTCCAGAAGTTAGATTTGTAGTTTGTCCAACCGACACAAGGACAGGGTTCCAACATAGGGATAACCCTCGAGGCCTTGGTTGTGTCTCTTCGATGTGGACCAACTCCTAATAACATGACAACAATCATCAGTCAATCAACCAATCAAATAATAATAACAACAAATAATGAATAATTCCAACTATATCCTTATGCTCAACTCCAACAAATGGGAGGAGCGTGTCAAGGCCACGACGGATTTCTACACGCAGCTTGTAAAGAAGGATAATTCCAAAGAGCTATACGCACTTATGTCCCAGAATGCCGCTAGTGGAGCCAACGTGGGCAGCATCATCTACAACATCGTGGTGGGCGCCGTCTATTGTATACCAACCGCCGGCAACTTCATTGCACTGGGTCTGACCGCGGTCTGGAACATCGTCACCGAGGTGAGCAAGAAGCAAGAGAACACCTCCGAGCTCATCACATCATTCAAGAAGATGATCCAGACGATCGTCGACGATAGCATCACCATCTATGACAACGAGACCCTCATCGCTCACTACAAGACTTGCTCAACACATATCGTCAAGTATGCCGATGACATTCGTAATGTATGTTTGAATGAAAGATTGATTGTTTGATCATTCACTAACTCGATCAATCAATCAATCAATCAAACAGCTCAGGGCCGCACCTACTGAGACAAATCGCAGGACAGAGGTGAGGGAGACTGTCAAGTTGGCTTTGGACAATCTACAACAAGGAATCGACTTGGCCTCAAAGCAATCGTTTGCCGTGAGTGAGTTGTTCATATACTCTCTGATGGCCACAACGAGAATGTTGCTGCTGAGGGACCTCTGTATGAATGGCACCTCCTGGGACATCCCTGCCGCATCAATCAACTCCAGCTACCTGCCAGAGTTGAGGAAGAACATTGTAACCTACACCAAGTGGTGCATGGACACGTACAAGGTGGGCTACACCAAGTTGAAGGCTGACAACACCGACGACGTCAACCTGTTCAACAAGATCCAGCAGTACCGCAACTTCATGATCACTGAGATCTTTGACGTTGTGTCGATTTGGCCCTTCCTGGACCCGTCGCAGTACCCTAACTGCGCAGTGTTTCTCCAACGCCCCCGTGTGTTGCTCGGTCCAACCATCGGATGTCCAACCGTTGGCACGACCAAGGGCGATGGCTACTACAGCACAAAGTGCACGGAGCTCGAGAAACTGGTCGCCACGAACAAGTACTATGTGTGGCGCGGTGATCACGAGAAGCTCTACATGTCCAAAGACGAGACTGGCCAGCGCTTCACAAGCATCAGCAATGGATTCGTAGCGCATGACAGTGACGCGGTGCATCGCGATACCACGGTCGCAGGCACCATTGTCGGCAAAGAGGAGAGCATCGGCTTTAGTGATTCGGCCAACGAGTCGGTGACAGTCAACTACGACGTCATCCCACGCAGCATCATCCTCAGCGTGGGCGGGTCGATCAAGTGCTCCGAGGACCAGACCAAGTTCCCCTGGTGCGACACCGAATTCTCGTGGCATCGCCACCAGAAGCAGTATCCATTCCCCAACATCGACAGCTCCAACAAGTACTACCATCTCTGGGAGATCACTGGCGAGTATGCCAACGTAGGTGCATCGTACGTCAATGGCCTGACTGTCTATGGCAACTCGAGCAGGACGGTCAAGTACCCCAACCACAAGGTGCATGCCATCTGGTCGTGGGGCACCAACACCGATGGCGCCATCCGTGCGGCCGGCTGCGTCGATTCGGTGTTTGCAGCGTTTGTCGATGGCAATGTGTTCAACTACAACACGGTCATACCGTCCAATAGGGCGCAGGTCATTGATTCCAGCAAGTACTTTCAGCTGATGAACGGCGCAACCATCGAGCAGGAGATCTTTGGCCCGGGCGGCGCCGCCTTGCTCGTCAAAGCCAATGAGCAGGGGGCGTCGTACACCTTCCATACGGGCAACTGGGCCGCCAACAAGAAGTACACATTCTTTATGCGCGCCACTGTCCGGGCTGCGACGGCCACCACCATCTTTATGCGCACCAATGACAAGCGCGGTGCGACGATCACCGTGCCAGTGCCAGCCAACCCAACAGGATTTTCAATTGTCGGTGGTAATCTATGCAACTTCCAAATATCATCAGATGGACAAGCTGTCGAAATTGGAACAAATGGATCAGTTCCGGTTTACATTCGTAATATAATCCTGATCAGGGACAAAGAAGTCACTGCTGCATAATAAATATTATTTAAATGTATAAATAATCATCAATCAATAAATATAGAATAATAAATATTATTATTATTATTGTTTAAAATAATTATTAATTGGTGATTTGATTGATGATCACAAAAACGTGTGGTGGTCGACCAAATCTGGAACAGATCTGTCCAAGACAGAACTGATCATCATACATGTAGCCATGTAATGTATTACTCATGATCCATCATTCATTCATTCATTCATTCAATCAATCAATCAATCAAACAAATAGATAATCAAATGAACACAACCAACTTAACAAATATGACCAACTCTAATAAGTGGGAGGATAGAGTTAAGGCATCATCAGCGTTCTACTCCCAATTGGTCACCAAGGATATGTCCAAAGAACTATATGCTTTGTTGGCTCCGAGTGCTGTCTCAGGTCCAAGTGTTGCCAACTTGGTATACAACATCGTGTTGGGTGCCGTCTACTGTGTGCCCTTGGTTGGAAACTTTATTGCGTTTGGCATGTCGTCCATCTGGAGTGTGCTGCTCGGTGGAGGTGAGCAAGCAGCAGTCAGACACCTCTGAGCTGGTCAGCACCTTCAAGAAGATGGTCCAGTCCATCGTGGACCAGAGCATCACCATCTACGACAACGAGAGTCTCATCGCGCTTTACAAAGTTGCCTCGACCCACGTCATCAAGTATGCAACTGATATTCGTAATGTATGCATTGATTGATTGATCATGTGATTGATTAATGGAACCATCCCAACACTCACTCACTCACTCACTCTCGCTCAATCAATCAATCAATCAACCAAACAAGCTCAAAGCCGCCCCCGCCAATACTCAACTGAGGACAGAGTTGAGGGAGACGATCAATCTAGCATTGGACAACTTGGATCAAGGCGTCGAAATGGACTCAAAGCAAACATATGCTGTCAGCGAGTTGTTTATGTACATGTTGATGGCTACCACTAGACTCCTGTTGCTGAGGGATCTGTGTGTGAATGGCACGGCCTGGGATGTCCCAGCTGCCACAATCACCTCAAGCTATATGCCTGAGCTCAGGAACTGTATAGCATCATACACCAAGTGGTGCGTCGACACATACAAAGTTGGCTACAACAAGTTGAAAGCAGACAACGCCGACGACGTCAACCTGTTCAACAAGCTTCAACAATACCGCAACTACATGATCACACAGGTGTTTGACGTTGTTTCTTTGTGGCCCTTCCTGAACCCGAATCAGTTCCCCAAGGGCGCAGTCCAAATGCAGCGCGCACGAGTGTTGCTCAGCGACACGGTTGGATGTCCGGTGGGCACGACCATTGGACCCAACTACTACACAGCCAAGTCCTCGGATCTTGAGAAGCTGGTCACATCAAACAAGTACTACGTGTGGCGCGGCGACCATGAGAAGCTCTACCTCGGCAAAGATGAGATGCTCACGCGCTTCATCACCATCAGCAATGGCTTCCATAATCGCAACAGTGCCACTGTGCGCCGTGACACCACTGTCCCTGGCTCAGAAATAGTCGTGCCCGAGGAGAGTGTCGGCTCGAGTGAATCGGCCAACGAAAAGGTGACCATCACGTATGACATCATCCCGAGGGCGTTTGCCCTGAGCGTAGCGGGATCGATCAAGTGTACAGAGGACTCGTCGACCTATACCGCTGCTCAGGCCTGAAGCCGGGACAGCCAAGCTCGAGCAAAACCTTGACGATCCCAGGCCACAAGGTCCATGCCATTTGGTCGTGGGGCAACAACAAAGACACCACGGTTCGAATGGATGGCGGTGTTGTCGACTCGGCCTTTGTGGTGTTCGCGCCAGTCGAGCTGTTCAACCTAAACACACTGATGGTGACCGATCAGGTGCAGGTCTTTGACCCAGTGAAGTACACCACCTTGGGTGGCAGCGCATCGATTGAGCAAGAGTACTTTGGCCCGGGCTCAGCAGCACTTCTGCTCAACGCCGCGGAAGAGTCGGCCACATACACACTCACACCCGGTGGATGGCCCGCCGGTAAGAAGATCAAGTACTTCCTTCGCGTGTTGGTGCAGGCGGCCACCGCCACCACCATCTTTATGCGCACCAGTGACAAGCCAACTGTGACTATCCCCGTGCCAGTTCCAGCCAATACATCAGTGCTATCAAACATAGGTGCCAACCTCTGCAACTTTGAGGTGTCAGACTCCAAAGCCGTAACCATCACCATCGGTACCAAAGGGACCATCCCGGTCTACGTTCGCAGCATTATGATCGTCAAGGACAAAGATGTTGCTGCTGCCTAGACCATGGCTGGTTGGTCCAACCTACTCTCTATCAAGCAATCTAGTCATGACCTGTGAACATATATATTTGGCAATGATCATGCTTGGCGTCCTGATGAGGCAATTTCCTTTTTTGATCTTTTCTTCAAGTCTTGACGGCACAGATCTTCTTTCATTCATTCATTCATTAATTAAACAATCATACATAGAGTGTAGTAATAGTAGTTGTAGTTGTAGTAGTTGTAGTTGCTACCAACAGACACGCACTCACTCATTCATCATTCATCATTCATTCAATCAATCAAATCAATCATGTCAACTACAACATCAACAATGACGACGTCAACAAGTAATAGCATCTATCAAAGGATAGATAGCTACTTGGTTCGTCTACACTCATTCGTACCTGGAAGCAACAATAATAATAACAACAATAACAACAATGGATCATCTTCAACTTCAAATCCAGCTGCTGCCGCTGCTGCCGCAGCCGCAGCAAGTTCGATAAACAGTGTTTACTCGGCGATTGACAAGGAGGGCATGCTTGTGGACGAGCTATCCAACATCGTCTTGAAGGAGCTGGCCGACGACGAGGTGGGTGTGGCCGCATCATTGCTCTTCTACGGCGAGCACAACCTGTTACGATATCTCGACAAGACCGCACTGCTCAACACCAAAGACATGGTCAAGATCAAGTGCGCCGTACTGATCCTTGTGGGCCAACTGATAAAGTCCTTCAAACAAAAGGTGCGCGACTATATTGTGGCCATCAAGAACACCTGTCTATCACTGTTCCGTCGCGACCAGTCCCCCACCGTCCAAGCACAGACCTTTGCCCCCATCCAGAAGTTGGTCCTTATGCTACGCGACATCAACGCCGAGTCCTTTGGTGCTCGTGAGATGGCTGACTTGTATGGATATGATAGATTGGACACAACATCTCGCGGATCATGACTAACCACGTGCCCGCCGCTACCTCCACTCCATCCCTCTAGGTTCTTACTCCAGTTCACTTGTGGCAAGCTCACTCAAACAGTCAAGGGCGAGATTCTCGAGACACTGGGCCTGTTCGCCCAGCACTTCCCAGCTGTGATGTGCGACAAGAACATTCAATTGCAATCAATCTATCTCGAGACATTGGGCAGCCAACTCAAGGCAAAGACACCTGAGACCATACTGATCAAGGCATCTCTTCGTGGCCTCGACTGCTTCCTTGTTAACTACTCTGGCGACTTCATATCGGCATCGCCCAAGAACGTGTCTCTCCTGTATCAATATGTATATACCTGTCTGAATCCCGACTCGTCCAGCCAGCGCTTCGACATTCCACGCGCTGCCATGCTTCTCATGCAGAACCACACGCCACTGCTCAAGCAGTATCTCACCGAGCAGAGCGAACAAGTCTACACGCGACTCGAACAGTGGTGCAAGCATGCCAACAAGAAGACCCGCGACATTGCCTTCCAATGCATCGACTCCTTCCTCTCACAGGTGGCCCAGGAGCTAACCTCTGGCAATCGTAGTGTTGAGAATGATCAGATCACATTCAAGGTATGGACCAAGTTGTGTGTTACCAGACAACGTTCATTCACTCACTCACTCACTCTCAATCAATTAGTACTTCATCCGCAAGTTCTACTCTATCTTTGAGAACACGAACAGCACGCCACATGACATATCGATTGCCATTCGAGGATGTGGACGTTTCGCGCTTCCAGTCAAGACGTTCATTGGCGAGTGGGAACTCAAGTCCCTTCTAGGATCACTCTTCAAGTTCTCAGAGAAGCTCATGATAATGTATGAACAATCGCTGGAGCATCGCTAGGAGATCCACGAACTAACGCGCTTCCACCATCTGACAGAAAGTTGGAGAACATCGAAGAGATAGTGATGCACCTCTCGAGCTTCATCAATGCCTTCTCAAACATTCTGTTCGAGCTCAATGACATTGAGTTCTGGTATCTGGATCATCTGGAACAGGTACTGTCCACCTACTTTATCATCTTTCCATATTTGTTCGCGGCGCAACATGATCGTTACTTTAGTGCCGTCAACAGATTGCTCTTCTCACTATACCATCGCCAGGAGTTCCTCAAGACTTTGTTGGGCAGGATTGTACGTCAGGGCCTGATCATCACTTTCTCACGTCCAAGTGAGTCGCTCATCAACCATCTGAACACTGGCGATACGCCTTGGTACGAGGTCTACTCCAAGGTTTGGTACCATCTCCTGCATCCCAGACAACACGACTTTAGCCGTGCAGCCATTCACCAGCAGAAGCAGGCACAGGGCGAGGCCGCCCAAACACTCGTCAACAAAGAGGACTTCACCAAGCTGATATACAACGAGATCATCCAGACAATCATTGGTTTCATCCAGAAGTTGGACCTAAGCTACTCATCAAACGATAAGGATCAGGATGAAAAGGACGACAAGGACGACAAGGACGAGGACAAGAACAAAGATCAGGACAAGGACAAGGACGAGGACGAGCAAGAGGACCAGGAGGATGTGAACATGGACGGCGACCTCACGTCTTTATCCGCGCCTGAGCTTGTTTTGAAGCCAACGACGCCAAAGGACATTGAGCTGTTCTTGAACATGGTAGAGTTCTGCAAGACATTCCTCGCGCACAATCATACAGAGCTGCTCACTCAGTGGATATACATCTTTGGAAGAGAGATCATATTTGCTTCGCGCAAGTATCCTCTGATCAGTGGCTTCTACAAGTTGTTGCGAGTACTGATGAAGGTTTCGCGCAAGCTGGACTACTTCTCATTCATCGACAGCGACTCTGCCGCGACACACACCAATGGCGACGCGATGGAGGTCACGTACGTGGGCGATCAGATTGAGAACAAGCGCCAATGCTTCGTAATATTCTCCAAGTTCATCAAGGAGGTGCAGGCTTGCGCCGTGCAGTTCAAGGACGAGCTGCTGGCCGCCGTTGTGCAACTGTTGCTCTCCGTGCCAAAGCAGTTGGTCGAAATCAAACAGCTCATCCCAACCCTGAACACAGCCTTCAAGCTCGGTCTCTCCTATCTCAAGCTTGGCCACGTCGGTCTCAATGCGATTGAGTACTGGCTGCGTATCCTACCAACACAGGTCAACGAGCACCTTGGCGAAATACTCCCATCACTCTCTGACTACTTGCTCATCTCGACGGCGTCCACATCTGTCGTCTCTGGCCAAGATGCACCTGCCGACCGTTCCATCGACCCGTCATTCTCGCGTCTGCCCACCCTGAGCAAGAGGCGATTCGGTCCAGCGAGTGCCACAACCAACGTGCAGCAGACTCTGCAGCACAAGACCGAGGTCGAGGAGCTGCAGACCAGGATAGTTAGACTGCTCGGAAAGATCGGTGGAATGAATATCAACTTGATGGGAAACGTCAATCTGATGGCCCCAGGTACAGAGAGTGGAGTCAGCTGGGACACAACACAGCGCATTCAATTGGCCATCCCCCTGGGCGATCTTCACGGCATATCGATCTACTTTGACAGCATACTACCAATGGTCGTGTCATTGGCCACACGCGCCACACGTCGCCAGACCAAGGTTGTGGCGTGCGAGCTTCTCCATTCCATCGTTCTGTACATGGTCGGTTCGAACTCCTCGGCTGCTGGTGCTGGTGGAGCGGGTGCCTTCCACAAACTATACAGACGTGTATTCCCCGCGCTCCTGCAGCTGGCAGTCGACGTCGAAGTCGTTGCACGCCAACTGTTCGCACCGCTCACCATGCAGCTTGTTCATTGGTTCACCAAGAATGTTCGTGCAGAGAGTGACGAGACAATGGTCCTGCTCAACTCGATTGTGGAAGCTGTTGGAGGTGGATCGGACAATGAAGGCGCACTTCGCGAGTTCGCGTCAAAGGTGCTTGGTGAGTTTGCATCGTGGTCACAGAAGCACGCACCGGCCAACACAAAGAACGTCAACGACACTCGCTCCTCATTCAACTTCAAGTCACTACTCAAACGTGTCTACTCTTTGGCCAACCATCCCAGCTCACACTCACGACTTGGTGCCGCATCGGCACTGCTCTCACTCATGCGAGTGCTTCGCGAGGACGACACCCTCGTTGGCGCATTCACCCTAGAGATCGCCCACAACATAATGATCGCACTGCGCATTGGCGCTGCCGACGAGGAGACATCCGACAACGAAGTTTCAATCAAGTTTGAACAGGTGATCGACGGTCTAGTTCGCGTGATCTCGCGTAAAGCTGACCTTCTCAATCGCAACTCAACGGTCCGTCGCGAGCACCCTGATCTAGCACACTTTGTCACTTGGCTGTTCACAGACTGCTGCAATCGTGTGGAGAAACGCGTTCGCTACGTGGCCATGTCACTGTTCTCCAAGCTGGTGATTCACCTGCCAGGCTCCCGCAAGTCCGCCGTCACATGGGTACAGGCACGCACCAAAACCAGTGGCATCGCCAGTCTCGTGGCCGTTGCCGAGCCCACCACACTTGCCGCGCCCAAGCTAACATCGAGTGCGGCCAACATCAAAGAGGTCGAGTTCTGGTTCAAGAAGCTGCAGGCCAGCCTCTCCGTGTACATTTGGTTCTTGGGCGAGGGCTTCATCGATCCTAGCGTCTTCCAGAACACAAAGGATGGCAGCCGACTGCTCACCACTTCATTCTTTGTGTTTGTCTCAGAGTACGCTGCCATTGACTCGTCACATCCAGCACTGGCCACCCTCACTGCACGTGAACACGACCAATTCTTTGCGCTAAAGTGCGCGACTCTGACCCATGTCTTTGCACTCTTCACCCTACTGTTGGAGCGCTTCAAGTTCACCGGAGTAATGGACTATGGTGGAGTGCCCTTTGTCCGTGTTGTCACTCAATGCATCCTGACCCCACGCCCACTGGGCTTCACAGACATGGCCGAACGACACTCTACAGGCACTGGCAACGCAACTGGATTGCGCGTCGAAGAGCCCAAACTGCTGGACATTGTTGGAAAGGTGTGCACGGCATTGATTGAGCAGGGCGACAAGTACACTCAGACACTTGTCGAGTTCCTGGCCGACCTCGTCAAGAAGTCCAACAACTTGGACAACATTGACGAGTTGATCAAGGAGGAGGGAACGGACAGCATCATCCAACTCGTTCACGGATATCGTCTCCTACATGAGAAGCAACTCCTGGAGACCGTGCTGGCACAGGCTGGTGGTCGCCACCTTCCAGACCTCTGTCAATTCCTCTTGGACTACCTCTTTGAGCATTTGAACGACATCACACCATCAAAGCTTGTGGTCTACAAGGAAGTCCTATCCTTCATTCTCTCAACTGGACTCATTCGTCCACCCAAGCTGTTGGTATACATCATGCCTCCCATCACATCCCTTGGAGCATCAACCAATAGTACCGCCACCACCACAACAACGACAACGACAACTACAACAACATCGACTACAAGTGACAACAATAATAATACCAACAAACAAGCGATCCAGAGCATATTCTACAAGACATACTATTTGGAGATTGTCAATCATGTTGCCACTCACTTTGAATCATTCGCACAGTTACTCATCGACCGTTTGAACCAGAGCAAGCACATTGATGACATCCTCAACGATGTCTGTCTCTACAAGCAACTGACCCAGTTCCAAGGCAACTTTCCAGCTCGTCGCAAGGACATGCAGACAATCGTAAGTTACCCAGGAATGATCCCAATCACTCAATCACTAACACTTCCAACCAATCACAGATGGTACCATTCCTCAAGAAGATTCAAACATACTTGCTCAAAGATGACTTGAAGACACATGACAAGGAGGCAGTGATTGAGTTGACAAAGAACTTGGTCAATATTGATGTCGCGACATTCTTCGAGACGACTGAGGGCTATGACTTTGTTTACACTCTTTTGGTGAATAACCTGACGAGGACAAATGCTTTGGCCTTCAAGAACAAGGTGCTCAAGCTGTTGCCCTACATCTTATCATTCCCCAAGCATCACAACTTTGCCACAATCAGGGAGAAGCTGAACGACATTGTCGTGCTGGACTTCCCCCGCGTGTCCAAGGACCTGACCAAAGGCTCGCCACTCTACAACGAGTACATCTCCACCATTGAGACACTGCTCGACACGCTCGAGTACACTGCCAACCCTCTGATCATCGACACTCTGCTCCAAGTGCTCAAGGAGCGCGATCACAGCCACATCGCCCACATCAGTCAGGCGATCACACGATTCATCGCCAAGACAACCGACGAGCAGGCCAAGGAGATCTTCACCTACTGTTTCTCCATCTTTATGAACAACGACTACAGCCAATTTGTCGAGCTCAAGATCACAATGGTCGATAGATTCTGCGTGCCACTCATTTATCACATGAGCCAAGCGGTCCTCGTGCAGCTGTTCACGCAGAACTTGAAGGCGCTGATGTCTAGCATCGCCCCATCCGTCTCGGTAAACGCAGTCGAGCGCAAAGAGCTGCTCGTCAAGAAAATCTGTTGCTTCCATCTGATCGAAGCACTCTTTGCCGCACTTCCCTCGAGCACCATTCGTGACCAAGTCAACAGGTACTACTCGGAGAAGGATACGACGGGCACCGAGCTGACCAAGGCCGTCATGAAGGCCGCTCACTATGCTCGCTCAGAGAGGTTAGCCATCGACGAGCATTATGTCACTCGCGAGCTTGCCACACGCTATCATGGCTCGGCCTACAGCGCTTTGGCCAAGGTCGTGATGAGCACACAGACCAAGGAAACCTTCTTCCACGTCTTCCTTTTCAAAGAGAACAAAGAGAAGAATGAGTACCTTTGGGACAACATCGTGGACGTGGAGCTCGCCTTCAACTTTGAGCCCGAGACCAATTTCCAGCTGTCTGGCGAACTCTATGCCGCCACCCACGCCAGGAACGACCTCAAGTACCTCTCCAGCCAGTACCTGGCAGACAGCAGTCTCAGCCAAGACGCAAGTGGCTCTTCCAATCCTGCCGCAGTCGTTGTTGCCGCCCCMCAGCCACAACCCTCGGCCGCAGCCGCCCCTCAGTCATTCGAGATGGACGCGGTCAATGCCAACCCGGCCATGTCACCAATGCTCAATGTGATCGATGTGTATCAGGAGCGATTCAAGGAGACGATTGATCAATCAGTGGACGAGATGCCAAAATGGATGAACGAGATGTATGTCAAGATCAAGAATGATGGTAACATGCAACCAAACGTTGTGATCTTCATCCTCAAGATCATTGTCAATCGTCCACAATACTTTGAACGATATCATCGTCAATGGATACCAGTGCTCATCGACTACTGTGTCTCTGAACACACTGGAGGTCCTGGTCTCCACTACTTCATGCGTGATGTCCTCATGGTCCTCCTACGCTGGCCCAACATCTATACATCTGAGTCCAAGTTGGATACCCTAACTGTCTCCAACATCACCAAGCTCATGGTAAGACACATGCTCATTCAATCACTCAATCGATTACTGACACTCAACTCCATCATAGAACTACCTATTCAAGCACGCATACAATGCGAACAGAATGATACTTAGGAACAACTTGAACATTGTCAAACTGTTGGTCGAGCGATGGAAGGGAATATTTGTGATTGACAAGAAGATCATCGTGGAGTTGATATCGACTCCACTCACAAACTACAAGAGCAAGGCTCGCCAGATGCGCACTTCTGGACTGGTACTGCTCTCCATTCTGCTGAGCAATGGCATGCCCGCATACGACAAGGAGCATGACACTGACATCTCAGAGTTCAAGTTCTACCAGCTGCTGCTGGACTCGCTCACCGAGTACAAGGAGCTGTACGACGCCACGTCCGAGATCTGTGGCATGATCATGCATTTCAACCAACAGCATCGCATCGAGACCGTGTTTGAGAAGCTGGTCAAGGAGAAAATCATGGTGTTCCTCAACAACAACGACTATGCACGCGCGCTCAACTGTCTGTACTTCATCGGCTTGCTTCACCGCGTGTTTGTCCATCAGTTCCAGCTCAAGATCCTCAACATCCTCGTGCAGCTGTCGAACGAGGTGCGTCTCGTGGCCTTCAACATCATCTCGTGGATGGCGGACGACATCCCCGACCTGTTTATCAAGCTCAAGTCCAGCAATCTGGAGAGTCTGATCAGGATTCGTGAGGAGCAGACTCAGCTCATCATCCTGCGCATCCTGTTCAAGCTGCTCAAGAACTCAGATACGCCAAAGGCCGTCGCCACACAGATCACCAACATCATCCTGGACAGCAACTTTGCCAGCAACCCCAACGAGTCATGTCGCTCGCTCTTCTACGACATCTTCATGTGGCTGCACGACAATCCTGTGGCTGGCGCAGGCGATGGCGACGACAAGGTGCGCCTCACGCTGCTCGTGGGTCTTTCGGACGAGTCGGACACCATCAACAAGAAGCTTCTCGAGTTCTGGGACACGAACAAAGAACTTTCGCTGTCGACGATAACGCGTCTCATTCAGCTGTTTGACAAGATGTACGCCAACGAGACGCAATCACAGTGGCTGGGCTACAGCTGCAGTCTGCTGCTCCAGCTCTGCACACGCTCAGCCGACTTCACCAAGCTGCTCTTCGACAAACCATTGAGCGAGTGTACGTTCAAGGAGTTTGTGCTGGACTCGTCATGGCAAAACAGGACTTCCAACATGAATCCACTGTTCAGCTCGTCGCAGCTGGATGACGATGCGAGCCAGGCTGCCCTTAGCGACTTGCAGGGCGACCATCCTATGGGCGTGCGCGCCACTCAGATCCCGCAGTTCACTCTCACACAGTCCTCAGCCTTCAGCCAGTTCTACCCTTCAGGTTCACTGTCACAGGAGTTCAGCATTGGCACGGCATCAGATAGTCAGTCATCGGCATCATCCTCACAAAGGACATCACAGGGCAAGGGCAAGGGCAAGGATGCCGGAGACAGCAAGGCCTCATTCAAGGTGCCACAGTCATTGGACCCTCGCGCAGTTGAACTCCGAAACAGGTTCAAGAAACAAGATACGCGTACAGATAGCGAGCGCACAGCATTGTTTGCACGTCTAGCGGTCAAGAGAAGAAAGGACCAAGAGGGCTTGATGGAGCGCACCAAGCAGGCACGTGAGAACCAGGTCACAATGTTCAGAAAGTACCGCTCTGGTGAGCTGCCTGATATCCAGATCAAACTACAGGAGATCCTGCGTCCATTGCAATCAATCTGCCAATTGGAGCCAACCCTGGGCGCGTCCATCTTTGCCCTGCTCTTCACCACTATCTACGAGCACTGTCCAAAGAACGACGCTGCACGCTTCAAGGTCAGCTGCAAGGACTCCATCGCCAAGATCATTGGCGACAGTGGATCGACCAACCCCTCACTCATTTCCAGTTTGCTCAAGATCGTCGAGAAGAACCTGGAGATGGCGCCACCTGTGCCCGCCGTGGCCAAAGCATCGGCAGCCAGTGGCAACCATCCAATGGGCATCATTGTGATTGAGTCCCTGATCCAAAACGCCCTGGCCACATCCTCCAAGCAAGACGAAGCAACTCTGCAGGCATGGGACAATCTCCGCGACCTCTACCACGCACTCAAGGAAGAGGACATTGTCCGTGGTCTCCTTGAGAAGCAGATTGGCAGCGATGATGGATACACACGACGCGCTCTACAGGCCGAGCTGCGCAACGACTGGGTATCCGTACTCAAGTCCTACGATGACGCTATGGCTGCGCTCGAATCTGGCGAGTTGGCAAAGGCCAAGAAGCAGCCCACACCTCGCGAGACCTCACTTTGGGAGAACGGCCGTCTGAACTGTTACGCCCACCTACGCGACTGGCCAGCACTACAGGCCAACTTCACTGCCTACTTCCCCAACGGCCCACAAGACGTGTTTGGCGAAGCGGACCGCGACCTGCTCATGTGGCACTACCTGCAGTACAACCTCAAGGTCAAGGAAAACTGGCCAGCGCTCTACCAGTTCATGTCGTCGCTCAAGCCCGACCAGCACTCCTACATGGAGACCGAGTTCCCCGGCGAGCTCTCCTTCCTCGAGGTCACTCGCTCAGACTTCAACCGCTCTCAATACTACGTGCAGCGCTTCTTTGGCGCGTTCCGTGATCAATGGGCATCGACACACCCTCTGGCCGTCGCGTCCCGTCACACTCTCTTGCAACCCCTTCAAAAGATCGTCGAGGTCGAGGAGTTCTTGAACCTGGTCTCCAGTAGCAACAACAGCAGCAAGGAGAAAGCACGTGGCATTGACATTGTTCAACTCGAGTCATTGGTGGCGCAGTGGAAGCATCGATATCCTTCGCTCAAGGATGATATCCTGGTTTGGGACGACGTGGTCTCATACCGCAGTGTGTTGCTCGAGAAGATCTACGAGCGATTCATTGGACAGGACAAGAACGACCAGGTGGACGAGACCAAGATCAAGAATCTCCTGATCCAGGAGCGCGCTGAACTCTACCATCAGATGTCCAAGGGCGCCAGGAAGCTGGGCAACATCATCGTCTCGGAAGCATACTTCCGTCAGGCTGTCAAGTCATACCCCAAGACCAAGGAGAACGACCTTGCCTTCCCGCTGGTCAGCTCCCTGATCAAGATCTATTGTCTCAAGGCGCGCAACAGTCCCACGGCGCCCGAGACCCTGGACCGCTTTGTCAAAGCACTCAAGTTTGTCGAGAGCAAGGGCAATGAGGAGACCATCAAGGGCAACCCCGACAACCTTCAGCGATACAAGAGACTGCATGGTGATATCTTCTGGGATCTGTGCCAGCTGGACAAACAGCTGGGCTCAGAGGCTGTGTTTGATTGTCTCAAAAAGAACCAGATCCAGGGCATCCTGTCCACATTGCCCGTCTCCAAGCTCACAAGCGAGTTGTTCTCATCAGCCTACCACTGCTACAGCGAGTCGATCAAGTTGCATGCGGACAACAGGTCCAACATCAAGTCCAAGAGTGCTCAGTTGCAATTTGGAAACTTCTGTGACAAGGCACTGCAGCAGAAGGACCTCTCATCCGACGAGGCTCAGAAGCTTGCGCTCACCGTAGTAACCTCCATACTCAATGCGATTCGCGAGGAGATACCAGGCGCTATCGAGAAGTTCCCAAGACTACTGGAGCTCCTGGCACAGTTCGACAAGGCTGTCTCTGGCGAGTTCAAGAAGCAGATCAAGACCATCCCTGGCTGGATGTTCATTCGCTGGCAGAGCCAGATGTTCCCCTATCTCGACCTTCCCCAAGGCCCCTACATCCTGCCCATCCTGCAGGAAATCTCCAAGCACTACCCACAAGCAATCTTCTTCCCATTCAAGATTAGCAGCGAGCAATTTGGACCGGCCGCCAAGAAGCTGGTGCAGTCCCTGGCGCAGACCTTGCACAACCCGTTGCTGGACACACTCGTGTGCGAGTTTGAGCGACTCACTCATCCCGAGCATCGCTTCAAGGATCACATGGAGGCCGTCAAGACATTGCTCAAGGCCACGCCAATCAACACATCAGAGTTGATCAAGCTCAATACCTTGGTCTATAATGACTGCTTCAACCCAGCCACAGTCAGGGGCGACTACAACATCAAGTTTGCCAAGGAGTGGGAGAAGCCCTACCTTGATAGCTTTGGCAAGGATGGCAGCAAACTGGTCAAGATGGATGCCAAGAGATTGATTGAGATCGTCTCGGATATGTCGGCCAGGATGAGCAAGGCCATGAAGCCCTCGTCCACAGCCTCGATGAAGCTCAAGGAGTTCAGTCAATGGCTCACCGAGTTTGATAGAGCAAGTCAGCTGACTGAGATCGAGATACCAGGCCAGTACACGGGCAAGGGCAAGCCACAACCTGAGCTACACATCAAGGTGGCCTCATTCGACCCCAACCTCTTGGTCATGGGCTCGCTCAGAAAGCCCAAACGCATCAAGATACATGGCAACAACGAACAGGACTATCCCTTCCTGATCAAGGGAGGTGAGGATCTGCGACTAGACCAGAGAATCCAACAACTGTTCTTTGTGATGAATGAGATTCTCAAGCGAGACCCTGCCGCATCCAAACGTGGACTCCAGGTGATCACATACCAGGTGGTGCCAATGACAAGCAAGGTTGGTATCATCGAGTGGCTCAACGACACCAAGCCACTCAAGGAGATTATCGAGGACCAGTTCGCGGCGCACAACAAGGTCGACCGATCCACCGTGTCCATGTCGCGTATGGAAGCGTCCAAGATCCACAATGATTGGATCAACACGTTTGCCAAGAGACTCAAGATGGCCAACCCTCCTCCAGGCCCACTCTACCAACAGATGTTCATGCATGGCACTCGCGACGAATGCGTCAAGAAACAGATCAAACAGCACGAAAAGGTACCGTCAGACCTGCTCCAGAGCGGCATCTGGGCCATCTCATCGTCGCCCGAGTCATACCTCTTCATTAGGAATTCATTCGCACGATCACTCGCCACATTCAGCATCTGCTCCTACATCATTGGAATCGGTGATAGACATTTGGAGAACTTCCTGGTCAGCCAGAAGGACGGCAAGTTGATTGGCATTGACTTTGGTCACGCCTTTGGCACCGCCACACAGTTCCTGCCCATTCCTGAACTCATCCCATTCCGTCTCACTCGCCAATTCACCAGTTTCCTGGCGCCACTCGACTCTGTGGGTCTTCTCAATCACAACATGACCTACACACTCACAGCATTGCAGAACAACAAGGACTTCCTGCTGAGCACGATGGACGTGTTTGTGAAGGAGCCACTCATCGATTGGATCAAGTTGGCCGGCCGTCTGGGCAAGGAACAGCGCGGCAAGGGCAGCGGCGCCGGAAAGACACCCGACGCCTGGTTCCCTGTGGAGAAGGTGCAGATCGCCAAGCACAAGCTGGAGCGTTGGAACCCTGCCTACATCACCATGGAGGAGTTGTCCTCCTCAGTGCACAGCGGCCAAGTCTACGAGAAGCACGTCAAGGACATTGTCAAGGGCGATCCCAAGCACAATGTGCGTGCCAAAGTGGACAAGATATGCGCCTCTGCCAAGGAGCAAGTGGACTGTCTAATTGACCAGGCGACCGACCTCAACATCCTCTCGAGGACATGGGCTGGTTGGAGTTCTTGGATCTAAACCATATCATTGTTTATTAAAATACAGCTCGTCCAAATTGTAAATCTATTAAGCCGCACGCGGCTAAGTTATTGTTTCTGTTGCTGTTGTCGATTGACATTACGCTGGTGTGTATGCATTCGTTCGTGCTACAGTGGTCTCGCAATGGCCTTAGTTGAAAGCCTCGTGACCCTTCTGAGCGTATTCAATGTCTTGAGCAACCATCTCCTTGACGAGATCCTCAAAGGTGGTCTTGATCACCCAGTTGAGCTCGCGCTTGGCCTTCTCTGGGCTGCCCAGAAGCAGATCGACCTCTGTTGGACGGAAGTAACGTGGGTCGACCCTGATGTAGACGGTGCCGGTGGCAGCGTCATAACCCTCCTCCTTGAGTTCCTCTCCACGCCACTTGATAGTGATACCAATCTCGGCAAAAGCCTTCTCGGTGAACTCGCGAACAGAGTGAGTCTCGCCAGTGGCAATGACAAAGTCGTCTGGCTTCTCCTGCTGCAGCATCAGCCACATTGCCTCGACGTAGTCGCGGGCGTGGCCCCAATCACGCTTGGCATTCAAGTTGCCCAGGTATAGAGTGTCTGAGTGACCCATCTTGATCTTGGCGACGAACTTGGTGATCTTTCTGGTGACAAAGGTGGCACCTCTTCTTGGGGACTCGTGGTTGAACAAGATACCATTGCAAGCGTACATTCCGTAGGCCTCACGGTAGTTAACACAGATCCAGAAGGCAAACTGCTTGGCAACTGCGTATGGCGAACGTGGGTAGAATGGTGTAAGCTCAGTCTGAGGGATCTCGCGGACCTTTCCGTACAGCTCACTAGTTGAAGCCTTTGTATATGTTCGCGTTAGTATTAAGTGTCTATCAATGAATGAATCAATCAATCAATCAATCAATGACTATCAATCATACCTGGTATAATCTAATCTCCTTCTCCAATCCACATGATCTGATGGCATCGAGGAGACGCAAACAACCAACTCCATCGACGTCGGCAGTGTACTCTGACATCTCGAATGACACCTTAACATGGCTCTGTGCTCCAAGATTGTAGATCTCACTTGGTCTAACTCTGTGGATGATACCAACCAAGTTGGTCGAGTCTGTCAGATCACCATGGTGCAGATGTAGCTCTGTGAATCAAGTGAAGATAGATATGTTAGTTCAATGATGATGTCCGTTTGATTGAATGATTGAATTGAATGATTGAATGAACTCACTAGCATTGGGAGACTGGAAGTCGATGTGATCGATTCTGTTGGTGTTGAATGAACTTGATCTTCTGATGATTCCGTGAACCTCATAACCCTTAGCAATGAGGAACTCAGTGAGGTATGAACCATCCTGACCAGTGATACCAGAGATCAATGCAACCTTTTTTCTTTCAGTAGACATTATATTATTATTATTATTATATGTTATAAGTATTTATATATAAATAGAGAGAAGTAAGGAATAAGTATGTTGGCCCTCAAGTGACTACCTAGGTCATGTGTTAGTTTATTTATTAAACTTGCGTGGTGGAGAGTGAGGGGGTGGTGTCGTCCGGCTAAAGGCTCAAAGTGTTGTCGATGTGGTCAATGCTTTTCCTTCCCTTACTGAATGAATGAATGAATGAATGAACTGACTAACCTCCTGCATAACCTACAGCAATGCATGAAATGGGGTCGTGTTTTGGCGTGTGAGGGCTGGATCACACGACTCTTTGCAAAAAAGTGAAGTTGACAAGCGAACCACTACCACGGTGCGCACTATCCCCCAAACGTGCTTTGGCCTTATTATAAAAAAGGAAAGGAGATAAGGAAAAAAAAGATCCTCATCCAACCGAATGACGTACTTGATGAGGGAAGTCTGTTATCTATCTGACGAGACGAGTGTCGCACCTTCCTTCCTTCCTTCAATCATCATCATCATCCAACCACCACCGCAAATGCATTATAAACTCTTCTCAAAGACAATACAATAACTTCGTGGTAATTCTGGTAAAAAGGACTCTATTATCCTGTAATTGATTAATAGATTGATTGATTGAATGCTTGATTGATCACAATGATTGATTGGTTGGTTGGTCTTTTGGACAATAGATTCTCATTCATTTGTTTGATTGTAATGTTGAAGATAAGATAGATATCTTGTATTGTGTCTTTCCAAGTTCGTTGGAAGTCAACAACTGACTGGAGAGCAAGGTTGGCAGCACCAATCCAAAAAAAAACGTCAAAGTTTTGGCTAGAGGTAGTAAAAAAACAAATAAAAATTAAAAACAAATAAAAATCTAACTATCTATTCCCCACACAACTCAACAATTCACACACAACAACAACAACTATTGTCAACAGGTCCTTCAAGACTCTTCTCCATACAGGTCCCAACTCACATTTGTGATTCATCGTTTTAGGTATGTGTTATAACTTTCTCTATCTATCTATGTGTTTCGTTTGTTTGTTTGTTTGTTTGATTGTTTATACACATTCATTCAATCATTCAATAATTCAATCATTCATTCTCTCTCTCTCACCCCATCTTGATATGAGCCTTCCATTACAATCAACCAGTACAAGTACTGGTCGCGGTGTGACCCCCCTCTTTTCGAAACACATCGACAGACAGAGGGCCACAGTGGTGTCAACTATTCTCACTTTCCCTCCTCTACACCTCACGAGCGCTTGTTAATAGTGTGGTTGACACAAAGAAGAAGGATATTAACTCACTCCATTCCAATAATTTAGATTATTATTATTATCATCATCAACTTGTAACATTAACTCAAAAGTCAAACGTAGTTGTTGTTGTTGTGTTGGTTATCGATCACTTTTGAAGAACATACATACTACATTACAGATAGGATACAGATATATTATATACTTAGATTAGATTAGATATTCAAAACAAACAAAACAAACAATGTGGAATTATATGAAGAGTTTGGTCAGCAGTGATAACCTGCAGGTGGAGGATAGTGGTGAAGCCAAGGGACCAACCCAGGAGGACCAGGAGCAGAGAAAGGGTCTGTTCAAGCAGATGTCATCCTACATTGGTAAGGATATCACTTCGATGATCTCCCTCCCAGTCTGGATCTTTGAGCCAGTCTCTTTCCTCCAGGTCATGGCCGAGCCACTCCAATACTCTGCCCTCTTGGACCAGGCCGTCTCCAATCCAAACCCACACCACCGTCTTGCCTATCTTGCCGCCTTCAACTGTGGTCTCTACAGCACTGCCATCAGAACCAGTAAGTTCATTCATTCATTCATTCAATCATTTATTCCATTTGATCAGTATCACTAACAAATGATTACAGAGAAGCCATTCAACCCAATCTTGGGAGAGACCTTTGAGGTTGTGAAGGAGGGTGACTACAGGTTCATTGCCGAGCAGGTCAGCCATCATCCACCCATTGGTGTGTCAGAGACTCAGACAGCAGAGTACAGCTTGCAGTTGGAGACTGAGCTCAAGTCAAAGTTCTACGGTAACTCTTCCGAGGTTGAGATCATGGGCACCAACCATTTCATCACCAAGAAGAATGGCGAGCACTACACCTGGGGCCATTTGGTCACCTCGTGCCACAACATCGTCATTGGATACATGTGGCTGGATCACTACGGTGACCTCACCATCAAGAACCACACCACCGGAGACAAGTGCGTGCTCAAGTTTGCCAAGTCCGGCTGGTTGGGCGCCGGTCGCTACAGCGTCACCGGAGAGATCCTCGACAGCGAGGACGAGGTCAGGTACAGATTGGTGGGCAAGTGGAACGAGAACCTCCAGCTCTTTGAGGTGCTCAGCAACGGACAGAACGCACCAAACCCCATCACCATCTGGGAGGCCTCCAAGGAGGTCATCACCAGCAAGTTCAACTTCCCACGTTGGTTGGAGGAGAACATCATCAACCTGACCCCAGAGTACGAGAAGATTTTGCCAACAACTGACAGCAGACTGAGAACCGACAGAAGAGCCCTGGAGGCCAGTGACATGGACACTGCTTCCAAGCAGAAGCACGTCCTGGAGGAGAAGCAGCGTGAGGACAAGAAGGCTCGTGTCGCTGCCGGTCAGGAGTGGGAGACCAAGTACTTCAAGAAGGCCGAGGACAAGGAGCACGGATACAGATGGTTTTTCAACGGCAAATACTGGATCGAGAGAGAGGAGAGAGTCAAGGCTGCCGCCACCGGTGCCGGAGAGACACCAAGTAATGAATAATCGTAGTAGATAGACATCTAAGCTAACTTGCTTGCTTCACTTCAAGGAGTTAAGTTTGTATAATCATCATCATTTTTCGCTGACCATCCCAGTGCCATGTGGCCGTCTCCATCCTTTTGCCAACATCCTCAATCAGCATCCATCCATCCTTCCATCCCATCCATCTATTTCCAGACATCCGTTCATCAAGCGTTATCAACCATCTTACGATGTACACTTTCCATCATTCTCTTTTCGGGAGTGTGCGTTCATATATATCAATCAATCAACCAATCAATACCAATACACATGCATAGAGTTATATTCGAATGAATCTAAAGGGGAATGCAAAGGGTTGCCAAAGGCAAAGGTATGAGTAAGGTCGATGGCCAACTGGGTAAGGGTCGGTCATCGTTTATTATGTACACATTGTAAGGAATAAATAAGGGGTTGTTGGCGTGAGCATTTCTATCTCCTTCGCTCGCGGTAAGGAGAGTCGGGTGGCGATGAATCGTAGCCTGATCGTGGAGATTCCATAGGAGACTTCGTAGACCTACTGGGTGGTGGAGAGGCCGTCGATAGGGCAAGGTTGTTGACTGTGAGAATGTTGCTGTCGCTGCGTGGTGAGCTCTTGAAGGCTGGTGAGAATCGTGGCGATCCATTGTCCATCGAGTGATAGAGTGAAGTGATCTTGCTGGGAGAGAGTGGCTGCACAAAGTCCAATGACGGTACCTTGCTATTCTTGTTGGGCGAGATCATGAGTGCAGGGGACGAGGTGAAGTGCTCACCAGACAGTGAGATGGGTGGCGCGTCTTCATTGTCCGTCAGATTGTCATCGCTAACAATGTTGGCCACGCCACCAAGATCCTCTGTAGAGTCGCTTGTTGCTGTGAGTTGACGCTCGCGATCCAGCCGTTTGTTGAGCTTTCTCATGTGACGTTTCTCAATTGCCGATGACCTCTCGTACTGTTCGGACTCTGTGAGGGTTGGAGAGTTGAGCAACAGGTCTTGGATGAAGGGCACTGGCTCGAAACAATATGGTGTCTGACGGTATGAAAGGAACTTGTTGACAGCGTTGGCTTCAATGCGCTTCTTTACAAAGTTGAGAAGATTGCCATCGACCAATGTTGGGTTGCCCTCATCGATGAATGTGAGGTCCATGAGATAGAGTCCAACGAATGGGATGCACGCACCCTTGGCATCCGCCAAACATATTCGATACTGTCTAAAGTTGCCCTCCATGTTGACGATCCTCTCCATCTCATCAAACTGCTCGCGACGACGTGAGGACAGCGCGCCCCATGTGCCTCGCAGTCTGCTGACGGCGCTGCTGCTCAGGCCACTGACGATCTGCATCAGGCCGTTGAAGTTGCACATGTCAAAGCACAGACGGGCCACCTCGAGGAAGAACTTGAGTTTCTTTAGACGATGTTTAGAGGACTTCTCGCTGACAATCTCTGATGTGATCCACTGTGAGCCATTGTTGAAGATGCGAATCATATTGAGAATGTTTGGACACAAGTCTGGATTGCTCCACTTCTTGGACAGCAGCTCCTTGGCCGATATCCTATGTAGCAGGTTCTGATCGATGAGTGCCATTTGTCGCGCCACCTCGATGGGTGAGAGGTCCATGAAGGTTAATCGCTCAGAGGCCAGTCGCATTGGCAGGATGGGCTTGGGTGCGCTCTCCACCAACTTGACGAGCTCCTCCACGTCCTCCAAGTACTTCTTCTTGGACTCGTTGAAGATGGCGATTAGACGTTTCGCCGATGTCTCTTGCTCGAGCATCAGAGTGTTGGTCAGGAAGCTGTTGAAGTTCTGCAGCAACTTGGCGTCCTCTTCAAAGTCGTTCAGATGGTTCTTGATCCAGAAGCCCATCATCTCAATCACTCGCTCCTGGATGCGTGGCTTCACCGTCTTTCTAAATGTGGCAAGCTCCTCTGGTGTCACGTTCTGTGGCGGCTCGATGTGATAGCGAACGCACAACAGTTGGAACAACTCGATTGGCGTGACGAATGAGGTGTATGTGGCAAAGAATGTGCGTGGATAGTTGACCTCAGTGTAGGTCGTGTAGGTGAGGTGTTCCACCAGCTTGGCCAGGGTGGCAGACTTGATGACAGGAGCAGTCGCGTTGTCGGGCAAGTAGAAGACAATGTTCTTGTTCTGGTCCGGTTCGTTGAAACCAAATATCGAGCTGAACCTGGCACATGAAGCATTGAGTGAGGCCTCGCCTCCAGTGCTGGCGACTAACGATGAGGTTCGCTGCAGCAGCATGACCTGCGCCACTAGGTTGCGCCACGTTTTGCGAATGCGACAGGCTCGATAGAATCTTTGTATTACAATGGCGGCGCGATGGTATGCGGCGCGCTGGCTGGCGTGTGACACGCTGCGATCGTGGTTGCGCTTCTCCATCAGCAACAGGACCACGGTCCTGAAGCGATACTGTCGCTTCCACGCTCTGTAGTGTCGCTGGATTACTCTTGCGCTGCTGTCGCGTCGGTTTAGGAAGTCGCCATGCAAGATCTTGAGCAGTGTGGCGAGGTCCGCCTGAAGGAGACGCGCGGGCAACGGGTTGCCGGTGAGGTTGATCGACTCGATCGTCTTGATCTGTGAGATCTCGGCCGGAAGTGCGGCCAGACGATTGTGATGCAGCAGCAAGTGATTGAGCTTGCTGAGGTACTTGATGTCGACGGGCAAGTGCTCGATCTCGTTGTACTGCAGATAGAGCTTCTGCAGGTTGACGAGGCCAGCGATCTCGGGTGGCACATCGGCCAGCTTATTGTTGGACATGTTGAGCTCGGTGAGCGATACGCACTTGGTGAGCGACACGGGGAACACCGTGAAGTTGTTGTCCCAGAGGTGCAGCGAAGCCAGGTTCTCGAGCTGTCCAAACGAGAGAGGCAGCGTGGCCAGGCGGTTCGAGCGCAGGTTCAGACTGACCAAGGTCTTGAGCCGGCCGAACGAGTCGGGCAGCGTGGTCAGCCTGTTGCTCGACAGGCACAGACTGGTAAGCTGTGACATGTTGACAAAATCGGCAAAGATGTACTCGATTTCGTTGTTGGCTGCGTTCAGTGAGCGCAGTGATGACATGCCAGACAGCGAGCCAGGCAGTGCAGTGATCTGGTTGTGCTCCAGTGTGAGTGAGCGCAGTGAGATGAGCTGGCCCATGTCGCTGGGGACGTCGCGCAGTGAGTTGCGTGCCAATGACAGCTCGGTGATCTTGCGCAGTTCAAAGAAGGTGGTGTCGACGCGTACGATGCTGTTGCCATCCACTTGCAAGTCCTCGAGGTCGGTGAGCAAGCCGATCTCGCCGGGAATGAATGTGAGCCGATTGTTGACGGCCCAGAGCACGCGCAATGATCGCAGCTTATAAATATCGATTGGTATCTCTTTGATCTGATTGTCATTGATGTTCAACTTTGTAATATAGAGGAAGTTTGTGCAGATCACCATTGGAAGATGTTTAAGGTTCGTTCCCTTCAAGTTTATCTCCTTTGAATGGTTCTTCTGGGCATCCTCCAGTAGTTTGGATACCTTTGATCCCTATGTTTGATTGGTTGATTGATCGAATGAGTGAGTGAGTGCGACTCCAAGCATGTGTCCAGTGAGTGTACATACCATTGTGATTGACTATCGTCGTGTCGTCTGTTTGTGAACTACTTCCTTGTTTCCAACTTGATAGTCTTATAGATTGATTGATTGAATGTTAATTAATGTTTGATAGAATAGGTTGATGATGATGATGTCGATAATGATGAAGTTGATGACGACGATGATGATGTCAATGTGATTGATTGATTGATTGATGATTGAATGGTAGATGTTGACGATTGATGGGTCCAATATCGAACATTTAAGATGTCCCAATCTAATGTTCCACAGTCCAATAACAATAATAACAATAACAACACTTGAGGAGGTACAGGTATCAGGTGCTTGAGGTATAGTAGCAACTCAAGTACTCTAAGCTTTAAATCACACTGGCTTAAATTAATGGTGATTTCCAGACTCCTACTCTCTATCTCTCTCTCTCTCTTTCACTCTCTATCTCTTTGATGATGATGATGAGCTGGATACTGCAGTAGAGTAGATGTTGTAGTAGTCGCTGTGGTAGTAGATGTTGTCGCCTGGTGTGGTGTTGGAAGTGTTGGGGGTATTGTTGATGGAGGGGGTAGATGTAGAGATGTTGTGAGTGAATGAATGAGTGAGTGAGTGAGTGAGTTGATGACACAGTTGATCACCTGATAGATAGATAGATATAGGAGAGCAAGGTTTGTGATTGGATGGGAGCAGTCGACTCTGATCTCACTCTGTGTCAGGGCAATCGACACTACCTGAGTGACTTGAGAGACTGAACATATGGTAATGGATGTTGGATTGATGGATGGACGCGATTGGTGTTGGTGTTGTCTGGTCAGAATGTATGCTCCATCTTACTTACATTATTTATAAGTTGTTGATATATTAGTAATAGTAGCAGGAAGTTATTGTTGTTGGATGGGATGATGGTGATGATGATGTCCTGTTGGATTGAAGTGAACTCTCACTCACAAACTAACTTATTCGTCTCGACTGGCTTGCCTTCGCTTCAACAACGAACTCACTCTCTTGTTAGTCGTTGGAGTTATTCTATTAATATAAAACTAGACAGAGATATTTGTTCTGTTTTGTTGTGTTTGTGAATAGTCAAACGAGTCCAATCTTTGCCCATGCCTGTTTTGTTTTGTGGATGGATTTGATGAATGAATTAGGGTTGTTGGTTGGACACCACAAGTGATGGCATTCATTCATTCGTTATCCGAACCAGTTGTTGTGGTTGTTGAAGTCTAATGCCAGATAATAAGGCGCCAAACCATCATCCATCAATCATACATATTCATTACCTTTGGACAACAACAAATATATTAATCAATTGAGACAATTCGTTGTTGTAGATTGATCAATCAGTAGACCTTAAAAGGGGTCGTCACCCATGAATGGCTGAATGAGTGAATGAATAAGAGTGAGTGAGTGAGATAAGATATCATTACTTTTGAATTATTATTACATTGAATATATAATAATACATATATATATAGACATTATCAGTTGGATGGATAATGGATACCAATGCATCAACTACAAGGAGACTCAAACAGATACAGTATGTGATGCATTCGCTCACTCACATGATATGACATCATACATGTTAACATAACATAACATACATCATCGTAGGGGCCACTTCTATTCGCCACAGTCGATCAAGGTGATGCCCTTGTCGCATAATAATAGAGCTCTGAATCTAGTGTCGATGTGGAGACAGATGACACCGCTGTCAATGTCAGGCGCAACATTCGTTCCACCACTGGCCGCATACTACATCTACAAGTTATTGCGAGGCAAGGGCATTGCAAGACTGATTCACGACAAGGACATTGATGTGATCATCAAGGAGATCAGTGGCAACAACACACTGGACAACATTGTTAAACTTGCTAGCAAGGTCATTGGACTTGCTGGCATCTATCAAATCTCAGGTAGAATGCAGACCTATCTCGGTGTCAAGCTAACCTTCAGTCGATCATACCAAGTCATGTTGACCATATCATCAATCATCGAGACTATCCTGGCATTCATCAAGATGCCTCACATGAGGTAGGTCATTCATTCATTCATTCATTCATGCGAGGGAGGTACACCCGAGACTTGACTAACATGCGTGGACGATCATTCATTAGATGGGGACCAGTCTTTGCCATTGTCAGCGTTATATATAGCCTTATCTACGTACGAATACTCTATCTTACATTGGCACATAATAAGAAGTTAGAGAGTATCCTCTCATCAACGAATAGATGCGCAAGAGGAGAGTATGTTCATCAACATCAACTCAATCATTGAACTCACTAACACCTTGGACTCACTCATTCATCATCTCAATCAATCAATCAAAGTAATCTGAGGAATACACAGGGAATAGCGATGAATATTCCAGCTTTGGGTGCCTGGGGCACCGTTGTGGCATTGACGCTTTGGGTGTGGCTGAAGGAGGCAAAGCGTCTGGTTCAAAGCACTGGCGGTATAATGTCAATGACATCGTTCATCTTGTCGGCAGTGGCATCGATGCGTGTTGGTCTGCGAGCGGCCACTACATCATTCCCCGGCCTTACACCATATGAAGGTAGTTCAGCTGTGGTCATTGCCATTATACTTGGAGCACTGCCACTCATCCCTTCATGGAGTGTCTCAGAATGGTCACGAACACTTCTCATGGGCTATCTCTCCATCGCCATCTCAATGTCCATCAACTCATACTTTGCCTGGAAGCGTCCACATGCTATGCTGTAGGGGTTGATTGCAACCGATTACATTCACTGGCTCTGCTGTTGTATATAGATAGGCTCGCACGACCATCTGAATGGAATCAAGTGGCAACATCAACAGCAACATATATACTTCCCATCTCTCGCTGGTCGACCAGGGGAGATGAACCACCCATCATGGACAACTACGACAACAACATAAATACACTGCTGCCGATGGCAGCCTGGCGAATTCGCTCCATCACTCCACTTTTCCATGATCATTCATTGAATTGAACTTGACTGTCTTCACATGATTGATTGATTGATCATTCGACCTGTCGGCTCCATTTTAATATACATATGTATGTACATTGTTCGTTCATTTAGATGGTGGAGATGGTGGAGATGATGACGACTCTTTTGATTGTTTCTCTGTTGATTCGTTGCCTTCCTCCATCCTTCTCTTCTCATCATTCTCTTTCTCCCATGTCTGTGCTGCCACATTACCTCTGAATCTGTTCCTTCGATCATACTGCACGACTCAGTCAGTTAGTCGTCAATGCATTGGTTTGTCTCTTCTCTCTCATACTTACCATGTCTACTTTGCACTTGAAGAATGTGTACAACAACTCCTTGCAGGGAGGGTCGAGGTCCTCTGACTTTATACATTGATGGAAGGTCTTGCCATTTGCCATGCAATCGCTCTCTCTAATGCACTTCACAATAGCATCTTTAATCTGTTGACATGGATGACCTACTCCTGACATGTTATTAAATGTATCTTATTTCGTCTTCGTCTTTGTTTGATGATTGACGAATGATGTCATTCTTGATTGGTGAGTGGGGTCGGGGTCGAGGGCGAGGGCAAGGGTTGAGGCTTTTGGACCAAAAGCCTTGGTCCTTGAGTGATCAAGGTGTAATAAGTAAGTAAGTTGTTTATTGATCTCTGCCAATGATGATGTTGGATGTATACAAATGTTCTAAAGATACTAGTTGTTGTTGTTTGTTGTTTGTTATTGTTGGCTTGATTGTTTGGTGACGGTGATGATGTATGTGATGGTGATTGATTGATTGGCTAGATTTAGGCCAACTTGTTGGTCCTTTCATAGAGAGATCCTACAACCTTATCCAAAGCAGTGATTGTCTCATCAGCAGTCGAGTATAGTTTCTACATTTGATGATCATCAATCGATTGATTGTTAATAAGTAGTCCATTCATGAATGAATGAATGGAATGAATGATACATACATTTGGCTTAGCTTCGTCGAATACAATGAGGGTACCAGTGCCCTGATCCAAGATACCGTGATACTTCTTGTCCAGGATCATCAGACTGAGCTTCTTCTCGACGGTGGCAACGGGCAGCTTGAGCAACTCTGCAATGTGAGATATCTCCACTCTTGAGAATGGCTCAATGATACGACACAAGTTGTTCTCCAGCAACTTGTTGTACAACTCGTTCAAGTGGTTGTGAATGATGGCATCATCCTTCAACTCTTCATTTGTTTGATTAAGTGATTGATGATTGAGTGTCAGTAAGTGATGGACTGGTTGTATATGTATGATGTATGAATGAGTGACATACCTGCGCCATATTGATTGATGGTGCCCTCAAACTCCAACAATGATCGGTTGGCATGCGACTTGGCAACGGCCTTCATGGCCTCGATTTCTCTGCCAACGTACTTTAGACCAATCTTTCCATTGATCAAGGCAAAGACGTCATCAGTCTGGCTGGTCATGACCTTGCACAGCAACATGTATTTCAATGACTTGAAGGCAGTTGGATCGTCCAGAGTGTCATAAGTCTCAAAGGATTCATAAAAGTATGAGTAACTACTCGTTTGTTAGTATCCCTCTAAGGTATGACCGTGGACTTCACTGTTACTTACGCAGTCTTGTAATCCTTCTCCTCAGAGTGTAGGATACCGGACATCATGTCGATCTCAGCCTGAAGCTTTGGTGGACAGTAGATGGTGTTGGCATTGGTACGCGCAGAGGTGAGGGCAGCTCTAGCCTTTGGGATGTTCTTCAGAGCGTGTTGAATCCTGCTCTCAACCAACTGAATCTCAACCAACAATGGCTTATCATCCAACCTCTTGATCTCTGTCAACAGAGTAGCCAATCCAATCAGTGCATTATTATAATCCTCAACGTCGTACATCCTAATATTTGATTGATTGAGTAAGTTAGCCAATCAATCAATGAATGATGATATATTACTACAACATACAATGAATAAAGTCTTGTCTCTAAACGCTGTCTTAGGTAGCTCCTGTTGGTCTGCTTGCACCACTCGATGTTCTCTTTGCAATAGTCGATGAGCATCTTTTGGTTGCCGGGCACTGTGAGTGCATAGTCGATGAAGGATCTTACAATCCTGTCTGTCTTTGGCTTTGATATCTTGTCAAAGAATGGTTTGATAGTATTAAGCAACTCGGACAATTGATTAGCACGGCCAATCTTTACCAACAACTGTGCCAACTTATGTATAGACTCCTCTTTTACATCATCTGGTGATTGTTCTATATTATATTATTCATTGATGTCAATATACTGTTCACTAAGTGTCATTGATTGATCGATTGATTGATTGATCATCTGTGATGGCATTGATTGATCAGACATACGTGCTAGAATGAGCTCCTTGTACTTTGCCAATGCTTTGTCAGTATCTAAAGTCTCTAATGTAGCAACATGTTCCAGTTCCTTTTTGTAGTTCATTGTGTTATTAATATATATAATATTATATTTATCTGTATGAATGTATTAATGAATGATTGTGTGTGAAGTAGAACTAAATTAAATCAAGATGAGGGTTGTGATCATCACACAGTGAACATCAAAGTGAATGAATGTTGTTTTCAAACTAGATCTTCGAAGTTCATCCAAAATTGAAGTTTGACAAATGAAGTTGTGGTGGGAGGTGACTCACAGTTCATTCGTTTCTTTTGGCTTGCACGCCAATCTGACGATTAGAAGGTTGGTGTGTGTGAAGAAGGAAGAGTGTGTTCTCTCTGTCTTGAAGTCAATGTCAATGATTCATTCACTCATTCACCATTCACACATCATTACATCAAATAATTACATATACTACGACTACTACAATAGTTTGTAATTATATATTATAATATTATCATATCATATTGTAGAATTAGAGAACTACTACCTTACTCACTAAAGAAGAAGAAGAATAATATATATATTTTAGACATGAGCACAGATTTACTTGTTATGGGAGCTTCCCTGTTCATTATGAACAAGATCGACTTTAAGGATCCAGTGAACGCACACTACGCATTGATTGGTTATGGAATCGTACAGGTCATCACAGTAGCCGTCTACTTATATATCTACCAGACCATTGCCTCCAAGCCAAAGAACAACAACAAGATCGATATCCATACTCCTGCCTCTCTTGGTCAAGAGTAAGTCAAAGTAGTACATTGTTTGTTTGAGGATGCATGTCACTCACTCACTCAATCAATCAATCACAATCAATCAAACAATAGGGCCAAGACAGAGAGAATGACTATTGAGGAGTATGATATGGCTCAGGTTAAGAAGATCGCTATGAACGTTGTTATTGGTATCCTGTTGCCACTGTTCCTTTACAACAAGTGGGGAATCATTCAACCTCTTGCCTTTAACATTCTGTTTGGTCTCCAGAACTTGTACAAGAACAACTTGGTCAAGGTCTACATCTTTGGCAAGGACATCCCACGTCCATTCGTCGAGGCCAACCCATTGGCCGGCATGTTTGGCGGTATGGGCGGCGCTGCCCCAGAGGAGCAGGCCAACACCACCCGCAGCAGTGCCGACTCTGGCAACATCGACCTCGGTCAGAGTGAGCAACTGGAATCCAGCGCCAACAAGAAGACAGAGAAGGCCGCTGCCAAGGCCAAGAAGACCAAGAAGATCATCGAAGTCAACAGTGACGACGAGGAGAAGGTCTCTGACGACGAAGACGACAGCAGCAGCAAGAAGTCTCCACAAATGCGCAGAAAGAAGGTTGATTAAATAAATCACGATCATGAAGTGAGTAACAAACTGACTGGACTGGATTAGACTGGATTACACTGGACCTGAAAAAGATAGTGAGCTCATCATTCGGCCTTGATCACTACTACTACAATGAGTGAATAATGCCCTGTTGTTGTTGTTGTGATCATCTATCAATCCATTCATTAATGGATTCAATCAATCAATCAATCAATGATTCCAGTTCTATATTATATTGCGCTCAGCGGCAAAGTAGAAGAAGATCATGATCATATATATGTGAAGTATTAATAGTTGCTTCATAGATTGATTCAACCTTATGTTGTGTTATTTGGATGGACCATCTTAAGTGAGTGAAGGGGTGCACGGGGTGATCATTACCCCGATTGATCAATCACCTGAATGTGTGTGAGGGAGTGAGTGATCAATCAGAGGAGCACATTGATGAGGACCACTACCACTCTACAACACAAACACACACACAATGCTACTACTATGTTACTGGAGGTTTAGTGTTTAAGATTTGGTTTAAACATAGCAGGAGGAGGTATTCAGCGCACATGGATCATCTGAGGCATGCTCATGAGCAAATGCTTTAAGCTGTTATATTTCCACTGCACAGCCGTAGCATCGGCTAAGTATTGTTGTTGTTGTTGTTCCATGGCCCACACAACTTAACACTCTCAGGTGAGCTGTAGGTAGCTACTTACTACACTTTAAAGTTGTTTGGCTATGGGGCTGGTGTGTGCCAGCCAGCCATCATCATTCATCCAACAAGCCCACACACTAACCAACTCACACACCTCCCATCTATCCAGAGGTACTCGCGCCCGTGCGTGTGTTATGTTATCATCATGTGATCAGTCCGCTGCTACAACAACAACAATAGTTGAATGTAGACGTATTAGAGAGCATCCGCGCAAGGGCACCATTGTGGGTCATTCACTCACTCATTCACTCACTCAATCATTCAATCACTACTTTGGTAACACCCTATGTTGGAGCATGCATACCTTCAATGGAGTGATGCATCAACACTGAGAGCGAGAGAGTGCAATCAGGTGATACAATAGTAGGACCACCACATATACATACATACATACTACTTCTATATTACTACTATAACAACATCAACAGCAACAACATACTCCAACTCTCACCTACTCATTCACTCACTACTGATCATTTATTCCTTTCCATCCTCAACCATCCATTCTACTACAGATCCTTCTCTCTCACTCCACTACTTATAATATATAATATAAGAACTTATAACCAAAGCACCTAGGATAGAGCTCTACCTACAATAATCCTATAACACCTTACTTGTAGACTAGTATGTATTAATAATAATAATATTCTTCAATTGATTAATTGATTGAATGATTGATTGGACATGAACCCAATACAGGATCACAAGTCCAAGTCCTCACCCAACCAAGTACCAAGTAACTAACCATCCATCCATTGATCAATCAATCAATAATCCAGCAGCAACACCACAACACCTATATTTATAAATACAGTAAGATGACGTATCTTATTAAATGTATACTTCTGATCATGACCGTCATGGCATCAGTTGCCTTGGCTGGACGTATGTATTATTTAAATAATTAATTTCCAATCAATCACCAGATCACTAACTCATTCACTCAATCAATCAATAAAATATGGAATAATCCAGAATGTGACGGTCTAGCAGAAGCCGACTGCAGGGGCAATGGAGCCTGTCAATTTGTACCGTTCCTCTCATGTTGTGGAAAGTCCAGCAGCTACTGTGTTGAGAACTGCGACTGCAAGAACGAGTTGAGTTGTGGAATAGATGCCAAGGGTGAGATCTGGGAGTTCTGGACCTCTTGCAAGCCAGGCGTTGGCTTCCTGCCCTATGCTACACCAAACGGAACCTGTGACTCACTGAGATGCCAGGCCGATGAGACCTGCGAGTGGGTCCCATCATCCCCATGCTACGGAACCTCATGTTGTCCAAGAATTCCAAAGTGTGTTAGTATGTATCACATTAATTGATTGATATGTTTGATTGATTGATCACTTACTGACAATATTATCCAACAGAGTCCACAACTTCCACATCTGGCACTACTACTACTACCACCACTTCTACCTCTGGTACCTCTGGTGGCAACATCTGTGACATGATCATTTGCCCAATCGGTCAGGTGTGCAGACTCCTGTCTGACGGCTCAGCCAAGTGTGTCCAGGCCCCACCAACCCCAGACCCATGCTGCATTGGCATTACCTGCCCAACCGGCTACATCTGCAAGGAGGCCAACGGTGCCCCAACCTGCGTCAAGTCGGAGATTGACTGCTGCACTGATGTCACCTGCCCAGCCAACTTTGTCTGCATGGAGCAGAACGGCCAGCCAACCTGTGTCCCAACCGCCCCAACCTGTGACACCACCCAGTGTGCCCCAGGCTTCGACTGCAAGATGATCGCCAACATCCCAACCTGTGTCAAGTTTGACTGTGAGGACATCAACGATATTGACTGCTGTTTGGCCGACAAGCGTTGCGCCCTCTCCAAGTCCACCTCGTGCTGCGGCCAACAGGCTCAGCTCTGTGTCAACAGAGACGACTTGGGCTGCCGCGACTTTGAGTGTGGTACCGAGCTCTACTGCGCCGTCTACGCCTTGACTGGCCAGATCCACCACTTCAACAACACCTGTGTGCCAAAGAGAGACTGGATCCAGTACATCCCACCAAAGGGACCAACTTGCGCTGAGCTCAAGTGTGATGCCATCGGCCAGGCTTGCATCCAGACCCCAACCTCTGACTGCACTGGAGGCCCATGCTGCCCAACCATCGCAGCCTGCTACCCATTCAACTACACTGCCGGCTCGACCATTGCCACCACCACCGTGTCGACCGCCTCCACCACTGCTTCCACCATCGCCCACGTCTTCACCACCACGGCCTCGACCACCGCCTCCACCTCGGCTTCCACCTCAGCCTCGACCACCACCACTGGCGGTGACATGAACTGCAACTGTGCTGCCGACGAGGTCTGCTGCCAGCCAGACAAGAGCCTCGATGCCACCTGTCTCAAACTCTGCAGCTTCATTGATTGCGCTGCCGGCTACCACTGCCTTGTCAACAACGGACAACCATTCTGTGTAAGCAATTAATTAATGTAGTAGACATCGTCGTAGCGTGTCGTCCAGTCGTGTCACAACAGCACGCCATTCGAGCTCGCTGCCAAGCCTGCCCCAATACTTAATAATAGTTCCAAAAGAATAAATACCTAACTACCTTGAAAGTCAACTATCCCCTGTCTTCCTTGTCTGTCGTCTGTCTACTGTCTACAGATACTACTCGCGATGTCCACACATTGATTGATTGATTGATTGATTGACACACATCTAGATGTGACCCTGGTCCAACCAGGTATGTGTTTATTGAAGGCTGGTGCTCGCGACGCCCACGCCATGCATAATATTGTCTTCCTGAGACCTGACCATGTTGCTGGATGACCAGGACTAACTAGGAGCCATAAATAATAGTCGTTACAATTACCAAGGGTATCAGCACGACCAGCAATGAGAGCGCAGTCGTGGCGATATACTTGCACAGACGGATGGAGAAGATCTTGGCGGCGCGGTACATTGATTGGTCGGCCTCCTTGGACAGCTGATGCATGTTCTCCTCCCAGTCCACCGACTCGACCATCAGTGTCTTTAGAATGTCGCGCTGCTCCTGTGTCATCTTGCGGTGAGCCTTCCTGAATTTCAGCGACTTGAGATAGATGATCATGGGGATGACAAAGTTGGCGATAGAGCTGAAGATAATGCTGGACCACTGTGAGATGGTGTTCAGTCCGTTGCCAGTCATGAAGGGGATCACGATGATCCAGGGCAGGATCACGGCAATGAAGTTGGCCACAGCCTTTGGCAGCAGATTGTTCTGCATGAGGTTGTAACGCACAATGATGGAGAACACGGGGATCGACGAAGCCAGGACGATGAATGGGAATAGATATACACACACCTTGGAGAAGGCGTTGGCTTCCGGTGAGCTGTTAATGACGCTCAGGATGTCTGATCCCGGGCTCATATGGCCGAATGACAAACTGCCCAATATTCCAATGGCCAAGAATACAACGGTGGCCGTTGACACTGCGCCCCAAACTGTCTTGCTTATCTTTACAGATGGTTTCTGATGTGAGAGTAAGAGTTAGTTTGATTGATTGATTGATTGAATGATTGAGTGATTGACTCGAACTTACAGCTTCATTGACCCAACTTGGAACTGTTGTTATATACGCATAGTTGAACATTACATTGCCCATGATCTTTGCTATACCAGACCCTGAGCCAAACATTGGTAGATTGGAGGCCTCGAGGCCATGCATGCAGAACATGACCACCCAGCTGCTAGTGATGACCAGCATCATGATGAAAGCACCGATCTGAACAATGATGTTGTCGTCCAGGTTGAGGAATCCAAGTGGGATGATGACCACCAGCACGACGAGATAGCCAAACGTGAATAACATATACATGTCGGTAAAGGGTGAGCTGCTCTGCGTCAGCTTGTCGGCACAGGTCCAATGGAAGGCCTGTGGATACAGCTCCAGTCCACATGTCTTGCCAAACAGATAGATGAACATCGAGTCCAACACCTGGGCACAAACAATGATCGAGGCTACATTGGTTGCCTGCAGGGCAACATTAATGAACACCTGAGCAAACAGGTATCCCCATTTACCAAAGTAGAAGCGAACTAACATACTAAATTCTACACGCATCTGGAGGTGAGGGAGGAAGAGGGTCAGTCGTTGGGTCCACTTCAATAGGAGATGGAATCGTCCAGGATCACTTACTTGAAATCTGGAGTTGTAAGGAATGGTCGCCATTGCCTCAGCGAGGAACAAGGCTGCGAATGTACTTGTGAGCATAATAATAAAGAAGGACAAGACAGACCTGGTGTGTGATTGATTGAATTGAGGGATGTGTCAGTCAGCGGATTTGATTGATTGATCATCACGTGATATTTTGGGCCTGAACATCAAGTGTTGATACCTACAAGAACCAACCTCCTTCTTGCATTTGGAGTGCGATTCCAACCATTCCTGGACCTGTCATGTTACCTATCAGTAGACAATATCCACCCAATGTTCCACTATTTGATTGAACGATTGATTGTTAACAACTCTCACTCAATCTCATCACTTCACTAACGCTCACTTGAGATTGACTTACATTGTCTTGTGACCAAAAGTTGTTTTCAACTCCTGTTTATGTTGCTCTGTTATCAGGGGCTCACCAGAGGTGGCCTCTTCCTCTTGTAACAACTGCCTATAGTCCTCTACATAATTGTCTATAATATACTCGTGCACACTATCCTCTGAATTGAGTAAATGATCATATTCACTCAGTACAGAAGGCATAGAATGCATCATACTAATACTCATATTATCTTTAATAATATCTACTACTGTATATGATTGATTGATTGATTGATTAAGAGATAAAGAGATAATAAGTGTGTGTGTTAATGTGTTGTGTTGTATGTGTATATGTAATAAATAAATAAATATAGTGTTACTATGTGTATGTTATGTGTGTGTGTTTTGGATTAAGGATCACGTCCACGCCCTTAGTGTGATAGAGATCTTTGGGTGTCATCCCCCTTTCGTCTATTTGAGAGATGTCTTAAGAGAAGTGTCAAAGTAATTTTAATTCAAAATAAATAAAAGGGTCAACTTTTGGGAAGATCTTGTCTAAAACACAAATATCCAACAACCTTGAGAGTGAGTGAGACAACTGACCAGCCCAACAAAAAAAGTATTGTTCGTGTCGACCAAACACAAAGATGTGCTCACTCTTCTTTCGAGATGGACACACCAACCAAGTTATGTCTCTCTCTCTTTCTCTCTCGCTTGCCCTCTCATTCGGGTTATATACCCTGCCCTGGGATTCCGTGCTAAGGTCTACTACGCAATCATGGGTCAGTCAAAGATATCGGTTAGGTGAGGTTCACTCAAGAAGAAGAAGGAGGAAGAGTGAACGGTTGATCTTGAACAGGCGTCTCACGCACTCACTCATTCATCATGTAAGACATGATGACAGTTTATTGCTTCCAGTGAGATAGGTTGTTGATGATGAACTGCTCGGCAGAGACTGATGGACGACCGTTGATGTCAGACATGTCAGAGGTGACAATGTCGGCATCACCGGCGGCAATGCATCGGTAGAGCTGGACCATGTAGGCGGCACTGTCAGCAGGTGTGCCGTAGGAGAGGAGTGTCTGCTCAAAGTCGGCGAGGGATGGGCTCACAGCGGTGATCGTGCGGCCAATGTGCTGGCTGAGGAGTGCGCACAGCTCGGGCATCGACACGGCCTTGGTGCCGCACAGTGCGATCGACTTGGACTGGTACTTGGTGAACACGGCGTCGTTGGACAGGAGAGTGGCGGCGCACTGGCCAATGTCGGCGGCGGCGAGCCATGCCATCTTGGCGTCACCGACGGGAGTGTAGATCGTTCCCGACATGACCTGGCCCTTGATAAAGGTGGTGAAGTCGTCCAGGAAGAAGGTGGGACGGATGACAACGTTGGCGAGGCCGCTGTTTTGGATGAGGAGCTCGGCATCCACCAAGGTCAACTTCTCAGAGCACTGGGACGAGAGCATCACGACGCGAGTGATGGTGCTTGAGCGAGCCTTGAGTGCCTCGACAAACTTGGCGATGGTGACAGCGGGCTTGGCATCCATTGGCAGACAGATCACAAACACCTTGGACACGTTCTCCAAAGCAGCGTCGAAAGTCTCTGGCTTGGCATAGTCGAATGACACATACGAGGCAGATGCTGGACAGCTATGAGTACCAGCCTTGGCAGCATCTCTTGTTGCCACCTTAATTCCAGTGACGCCCTGCTTGATCAACGCGTTGACCACCTCCTTTCCACAAAGACCAGTTCCTCCAATTACTAATGTTCCGGACATGATTGATTTGATTGATTGATTGATTGATTGATTAAGTTATTAGATTGATTGATTAACTGTTTAGATGTTGTTGTTGTGATGAATGAATGAATGAATGATTGTGGCTTTAAATGGTGACAAGGTTGACATTCGGCACCGAGTCCTCTCTGCCCCTCCCTGCCCACTTTAGATTGGTTCAAGTTCTATTGATAGACGGATGGACTCTCGAGAGCCTCGAGTGCTCGGACATACCACACACATCATACACTCATGGCAAGAGGCCACACTCGGGATACTACTATCGAATGTGTATGGACCTGTTTGAACAACAGTATTGTCATTCGGGGGTTATAGACTACATTACATGTTAATGTCTTTGGATAATAATAAACACCAACAACGTTCCATCCAGACTTTCACATCTATGCCCAATCCATCGAAGTGCTTCGGCGATGCGTGACCCACCTAGTTTGTTGGGGGATCACTTTTCAAAACTTCTGTCTGTCTTCCCCCAACATCATAATCATTATTATTGTTTACTCTTCATCTTTTTTTGATAGTTAAAGAATAGAACTATCTATTAATATACTTCTTGTTGTTTGACAGTTCCAACCAACCAAGATAGTTCATTCGTTCACAGTGTGAACAACTACTCTTACTATTCATTGGTTCATACATTCGGATGTGGTGTTCTGTTCTCCATTCACTTACACATCCGAATCAAACTCTATATCAATCCATTCGTTGGAACAACATACTACATATTGACACCAATCGAACAAGTAAACTTCTCTCAGAGTTGACCAAGTTCTCCAGTCTGGAGAAACAATGAAAGTTGAAATTAATTGAGTGTGAACTTCCAAATCTTTCATTTCTTGTAAATTTAAATTTGCGCGCACTTTGTTCAACATGTTTGTAAGATCTCACCAATTCTCTTATTGTTATTTCAAGAGTTGACGTACAGATATATACACATACAATAGAATAGATTATACTAGAATGGCAGACGTAGCAGCACAGCAACAACAACAACCACTAATCTACACATATATTAGAATCAATGGGGCTTATTTAGATCCATGGAAGGAAATTGATAATGGTACACGTAGAGCTATCGTAGTGGGCAGAGTGGACAAGATCTCTGGTCATACAGTGACCATCAACACATCGGACAATCACCCACTACAATTGGATTTGTCCACCAAATCGATGGAAGTCGTTCATGAAGGTCACTGTGCCGAGTTCCTCATGGAGTTGACACCAGAGAAACAGATCAAAGTGCTCAGTGTACATGACTTTGGTGCAAACTTCAGTATGTATCTATAACCTGACTTAATGACAAATTGACTGACATTCATTCATTCTACTCTCTCTCTTAGATTTTGAATCATATGATTTGATGCTAACGCAATCACTAACCTTTAGAACATCTCAACTCTTTGGTTAACTTTAAATAAAAGGAGGAGGAGCAAGGCAGGTCCAGACGACCATTGCCATTGATGTAAAGATCGGATATACACAGTCATCATCATCATCTAATCGAGCAGCATTGTTCCAAACAGTCGTGTCGTCCGTTGGAGAACAGAACGAAGTAAGTAAGTTATTCAAACTACCAACAAACCAATCGGAAAAGTGTATGAACTCAATTGAGTGAGTGTCACCTCGACTGACAGGCGACAAGGCATCAAATGCATTTGGTGTCTGTCTGCCTGCCTCTTGCTAGATGGATGTATGTGTGTGTCTGATGAACATCCAGAAGTTCGAGGTCATTCGTCCGATGACTATGGCCCTGCCCCCTATCTTTGAAGCCTCTCACCCCATGGTGATGGCAATGGTGGTGAGATGTAGCGGGAGAAGGCAAGAGGTTGATGTTAAATCTCACTCAGTTCTCGCCCGTTCTAATGACAGAACGTGTCAAACATACTCCACTGAATACAGTCAGTCAGTCAATCCAAAAGAGATTGAGAGAGAGACCCTCTGGTCAAATACTCCTTAGATCTCCCAAACCAAACATAACTCACTATTAGCGATGTTGTTGTTGTTGGTGTGCTTTCAGATGATGTGATGTGGTCCATCCAGAAAGAGCAAATGATTGATTGTTTGATTGATTGCCATCTAATCAACACACATTTCCAGTTTACAAGTAGGGTCCGAGATGATGATTATGATTGGTCAACACTATACCCAGACCCAATCACATCAGCTCAACCAGCCTATATAAAGTATTCCAAATTAACTGATCCAGAGGGTGAATGAGTGATGATAGTGAGTGAAGGGCTTGCCCTCCTCCTCTTCTGCTCTTTACCACGCCCACATATGTCATGGCCCCCACTACCGACCACTATCCCCCAACAACCAAACACCAATCCATCCATCCTTTAAATGACAAAGAGGAATGATTGTTGTAGCATTGCTATCAGCATCATTGAACGAATACTCTACTCGAATCACACTCCCACTTGTTGTCAGTCAGTCAACTCCCATAAACACACACCACTTGAGAGTGATTGAACACATCAAAGTGGTGTGTTAAATACATATAACTAACTAATGTTTGTGTGTGTGTGTGTGTGTGTGTGTGTGTATGTGTTTGTGTGAATGATTGATTGAAAGAATGAATGATCAAATATGTGTGTGTTATAAATAACCATCAACATTGGTGTGATGGAGGGGTGGGTGTATATATCTAACTCAAGGAATATGACTGATTGATTGATAGGGGTCTATTAAAATATTATATATATATATAAGTTAATGTGTGTTTGTGTATTTATTTGATTATTTCCAACTCTTTAAAGTATTGGTACCAATTACTTTATCAATCCACAACTACCACAACAGCAACAGATAGAGTACAGTGCCCTCATTATCCCACTTACTTTATAACATCAACTGCCATTGGCGCCATCAAACAACCACAACCTCAACTCTACCACTACTATAACAACAACAACAACTCACACCATCACTCCATCCATCCATCCATCCTTCCATCCCTCCACAATCAATTTCAAGTCAGTTGTTGTCAACAACCAACACTCACTTCTAAGGTTGCCAAATTATTTGTAGAGTGCACACAACAACAACAAACTTGTATTATCTCACTTTCCATCACGGATGCTGAACTGGTAGTTTGAAGGTAGTTGACACATTTCCGACGCGCGTCGATATCCCCAGCCATACACCAGCCAACCAATCAACCTTCCAACATCAACAGAGATAGAAGATAGATAGATAGAGATAGATAGACACTTCAAAAAAAAACAAAACAGGTTTACTTAGAGAGCCCGAAGCTTCGCCATTTCTTAGTTTGTTGGATAATTTATCATCATCATTATCATCCAGGATTAATTAATTATTTTCCAGGATTATTAATATCATTTTAATTATTATAATTATATATATATCAATCAATCCATTATACAAACTACTTTATTTAGTAGTATTTTTAAATATATTTTAAATAATAATAATAATTATATAATAATAATAATAATATTTCCATGATGTTCCAACCAAATATTAATTATTCAACAGATACATTAGTGGATTATACACAGTCATCTTCTCCTGTGATGATGATGAATCAACAACAATTACAATTACATCCACATCAACAACATGATCAATCTCTTCACCACCAACAACAACAACCATTGCAGATGCAACAACAACAACAACAACAACAACAATTATTTGATAATAATTCGACAAGTCTTTATTCCAACTTTCAGAATCAGTTCAACTATAATGCATCTCTAGTCCAACAGCAACATCAACAGCATCTTCAACAACATCAGCAAACAATGATGATGACCTCACACGCCATTCATCATGGCGGTCCCATGGGGGTTGGATCACCATCCAGCCACCTTTATGTAAATAATCAACAACAGCAACAACAGCCAGTCCATCAGACACAGCAACACCTCCTTCCACTACAACCTCAACAACAACAACAGCCACAACATCTTATTTATTATAATTCCACTCCACCATCTATAGCCCAACCTCCAAAGTATCCAAACAAAGATATAAATATGAAGATACTTAATAATCAGATGACACCAACTACAATAATGTCATCTACCGACAGTTGTTCTAGGAATGATTCCAAAAAAATGGATGGTTCCATCAAATCTACTGATCAAATATGTGGACTGGAATTGACACAGCCATTCATGAGCTTTGACAATCATACCGATCAATTCATCACACTCCAGCCAACCGATCATGTTGGCACCAGCAGTAACAATCAAGGCAACAGCGCCAACAGCTCACCCAACTCATTCCCCCTGGCCACCTCGTCAGAAATCACCTCATCCATCAAGGAGTTCTCTCCCATCTCCATATCACCATCCACCTCGTCGGACTCCAACACTTCACCCGCCAAGTCATCGAAGAAGACCTCATCATCGTCCTCTTCATCTTCATCCAARGAAGCCACATAAGAAACACAAGTCCTCCTCCACCACCYTCACTCCCCTCCACAACCTCCACCTTGGCATCAGCCTCCAACTCATCGACACTGGCCCAATCACAACAACTATCGGCCAGCACATCACCTATGGTCTCGACCAACTCTCCAACACCTACACCTGGTCTGTTGGCAGGAGGCATACCAAGTCATCTGCGCTATGATGACGTCGTTGCCAACTTGTGCTCATCGTTCAACGACATGTTCCAAGACCTGTCACCTCTCCAGACTGTAAAGTTCATCGGATATATATATAGTGTTCTGAAGAATCAGTATCCTTTGCAGTTGAACAACATGTCATTCTCATCCAACTCGTCTGTGATGGGCATGTCCATGTTGGCCCCGCCCGCTCCACCTCAACAAGGGTTCGCATCGGCAGCCACTACTGCCGCCAACAACAACTCAATCAAAGCGTCGAGCATCAATATCAATATAAATAGCACTACTTCCAACAGCACCAGCTCTAGTATAACATCAACATCAACGACCGAGTCTTCTTCCTCAGTCTCCTCCAAACATCAGCACGTCTCCGAGTCTGGTGTACTTACACTTGAGATTGACAATGGACTCCAGATGAAGCTGCCGTCGCAGCTGCCTCCAGCCTCGTTGCCGACCAATCATCAACCATTCCCTCTGCTCAAGTCCAGCTCGAGCCAGACAATGACGGCGGGCAGCAGCAGCAGCAGCACGGGCAAAGATACCAAGACAAAGTCCAAGTCGAAGCAGAAGAAGAGAAAATCATCGAAGAAGTCGAGAGGCCAGATCGTCTCCATCAACAATGAGTTCATCATCAATCGCAAGTCGCCTCTAGCAGCCGTCGACATTAATGTAAGTAGTGATGAGTTGTTGGAGTGTGGCGCCAGCCTGGGGTGGACATGACTAACTAACAAACGTTGATCCGTCCAACCAATAATCTAGATGGTTGTATCAGAGGGAATACTTGGTCTACTGAATGATATTGACAAACAAAAGCTTTCCAAGCTGTTGCCAATGGGCACTGGCATTGATGGTGTGTTCAAGAACAAGTTCTTCCTCGACTCGCTGGCAATGTACAGTTCCTATCTGCCATTGGGCGCCTTTGAGGAGTACGACGTGACGTCCATGACTAGTGATGCACACGTCAACTCGCTCACCAACACACCATCGTTGTCATCGACTACACCAACTGCCGTTGTTACACCAGTGGTAACTCCACCAACAACAGTAACTGTGGCAGTGGCGGCGACATCCACGACCACCACTACCATATCTTCTTCTTCATCTACATCATCGACATGTTCAACTAGTCTTGCAACATCGCAACAGGGTACACCACCGACACAGATACCAACGCCAACATCAACACCCATAACAGTATGCGTCCAAAGTAGATAACTCCTTTTGATTGATTGATGTGAAGATTGAATGAATGATGAAGTATCAACAATATAATATAATATAGTATATGATTAGATAATACTTGTATTCATGTGTGTGCTGGACTACACTTTATTCATTCATTTGACTTGTCAAATTGACCATTCTTTGTGATCAAGCTTGAAACATAGAGATAGAGTGAGAGTGAGACAGGTTATACATACATACATACAATACAGTCATGGACTACAGCACAGAGTTGGTATGTAGACATGTCACGCGACAAGCTTGAAGACCATGCATGTTGACACCAACCAACCAATCAATCAATCCCCTCATTCAAGATACGTCTCAATAAGGACGAAGAGTTTGAATACTTCAACTTAAATAGAGCAGGTAAAAAGTACGCTGACGACAATGAGGCAAGCAATCAATGAACAACAACAAACATCATCATTGACACACTATCTACTACTTAACAGCTTGGGCAAGTTCACAGCATGGAACATCGATGAACATACTCTGTTTAGACAGGCACTTGAATCAGCGGCGGACCCAACCAATGTTGCATTGATAGCTGCGAGCATACAGACTAGATCAGTGGATCAGGTGGATGTACATTTGAAGGTCTACCAGAATCATTGCAACAAACAGGTCAGTCAACAGAGTAATCCATTCCTGTCGAATCTCACAAACAGTTTGTTCAAAGGCGTGATCGACTCGTTGGGCAAGGATCCAGTGTCACCTCTGTCTGGCGGCGGCTCAACGCCCACACAGTTCCTGACAGTCCCCTCGCCATCGACATCGTCGTCGCCATCACTTGGACCCACATCATCGTCGTCGCCAGGCGCCTCGAACCCTTCGTCGCCAGCGTCGTCATCTGGCAAGATCAGCTTACACCTTGCCTCACATGCGATACCTACTGCACTCCAACCGACAGCATCAAAGAACGTTGTTGTTACCGATGCCACGACCACACCGGCACATGCCACCGGCACGCAGTCCAGTCAGGTGGAGACCAAACACTTGATAAACAATTCTGCGCCAAAGCCCAAGTCAAAGAAGGATCAAAAGATACTGAGTGAGCCGTGGTCGGCCGAAGATCAGAAGCGATTAGAAGAGGCACTCACCAAGTATCCATCATCTCGCTACAGCAGTGTGTCCAGATGGCAAGCCATCTCCAAAGAGCTAGGCATACCTCCAAAGACTGTAGCACTGCGTTACAATCAAATGTTAGATGTATGTGTGATCAATAGCCATCGATGCACCATGGACCATGGGCCAAAAACTTGTTGACTAACTCATACTCGTACACATTAGAACTTGACTGGAAGGAAGGAGGCAGCACCTGTTGAGGATGAACAAGAGGATAGTACACAGACAAAGGGCAAGAGAAAGGCTGCTGCAGGGAGGACGACAGCGAAGCAGCCAGCCGCGACAAAGAAGGGAAAGAAGGACACGACGTCGACCACATCAGATAAGGGACTGCCGCCTCTGCCTCTGCCACAGCCAATGGCCAAGCAAGCGTCGTCTACTACAATCCAGCAACCACCACCTCCACCTGCCAAGCGCGAGCCAACCATCCACCACCTGAACTTCAACCCTGAGAAGGCCGACCAACTCATCCAACGAAACTCAGCGCTGATCGATCAGATTCGCTCAGACATCATGTACACCGGCTCGACCAAAGTCGACCATTTGGAGCAATACAAGAACAACATCACCGAGGCATTGAAATGGTATGATGATCAATCCACTCCACTCCACTCAATCATTCAATCAATCATACTAACTTACTTACTTCATAACAATAGCACAATGATATGGTCACCAGATAGCAATGAGATGCCACCACTGCCTGTAAAGGTTAATGATATGATTATAACGATGAAGACGAATATGAAGCAGTGGAATCCTTTGCCAAAGGTGGCAGCTGAATGGAGCCTGTCAGTGGAGGAGGCAACGGGTGGTCTGATCCATCAGGATCACTCCTCTCCCTCAACATCAAGTCCATCAATCGACACACTCTAGACATCCATCCATTCATGTATTATACCATCCCTCCCTCCAAGTTTGAAGACTCGAGTAAACTATCAATTTAGCGGAGCAACGTGGCAAGCTCGACAATGCAGGTCAACTTTGAAGTTGAGGGAGTCGAGAGAGATTGAATCTTAAGCTCATTCCAGTTCCCCATCCATAACATCATTGTTGATGAACTGACTTGGACCTGGTACACGCCAGGAGACATCTATCAGGCCTATCTATATCCCTCAGTCTCACTCTCAACATCAGACATTGGACTATATTTGGTGAAGGGCTGTGAATCACTGCCCATTAATAATGTTGTCGTCATTCTCGTATTCCTTAATCAAGGAAAGTTGCTCATTTCAGGATTTTCAACGAAGGCTCTGATCTGTGGATGGATCACCCAAAGTCCAATTGATTGGAAATTCATCAGGATTGTTTGACTTACAGATCATCATCATACCTCATATCACGTTCTCTTTTCCCTTCCATTTCCCCTTCCTTCTTCTTTATTAACTTTATAATTATTACTTCAAAGTTATAACTTTAAATTTCGAATACCCCCTCTTTGCAAAGTTGCAGAAATCACTTGGAAGGCGTGACTTTTTGGACATCGGACCATCCGCCAACAATCCAACTACCAATCAATCAGATCCACAGATCGATCCACCCTACTACGAACTGATCACTACTGAGTGAGTGTATCGAACTGATCAGTTGGACTTTGGGACTTGGTCAAACAATCCAATCACACAGACATATAGAAAGACACAAACACAGGCCTAAAGAATGTAAGTTAGTTACATTGAACAGTCAACAACTCTTGAACAATGAATGGGAGACATTTATGTCTCCAAAGATACCTACACACACTTTGTATGGCAGCGAGTCCTCAAACATCGTGTGATCAATCAAAGATGTTTTATTTGAGGGGCAAGACACAAACTCAAAGCCCCCCACACGCCCAGGGGGGTACAAGTCGGACCGCCCGCCAATAGCGTGGCATAAGTTATTTATATCAAACGTTGATACCTATCACAATCATTAACATCATCTTTGGTGACAGGGTAATGTCTATCTCGTCAATCCTCACACACATACACTCACTCCTCAACTATCGATCAACGATCGCATCGTCAACACCCACATATATTTAATGACCGCCCACAATCCAGCCAGGGCCTTATCACCGCCCATTTTCCACGATCACTATTTGAATAGGCGCCAATCCTTTACCCAAACACTTGCCCCATAGCCCATTCATTGGTCTCCTTCTACCTTTCTTTGCACATGTTATACATCATCATCCATCCCATCAATTATTCACCCTCTTTGATCATCTGCTTGATCAACTTAATCACCCCCACCAATCACAAGTCCACACATGGACCTGGTGTGAAAAAAGTATGATCAGTCAATCATAATAATATTCCCACACTGCACAAAACCGAATCGTTCAACACCAATTCACCGATGTCAGCGTGTGTCTGGCACACTCCCCCACTCATTTTTTTCCACTCTTGCGTTTGTTTTGATGCGCTGTGCAATCGACACATCGATGGAGCAACCCCACCACCCTCCCACCAACTCAATACTTGGATTGGCCGTTTATCCCCATTTATTTCCTTGCTGATGAAGGCAGGCGGGTTGGTCCATGGCTGTCCGGGGCGGCGCCTCAGCTCGGGTGTTTTCCAAACTGTTAACTCACTCACTCACTTTCTTTGTTCAGGTGTGTGCAACTCTTCCCAAGCCCTTGCCCGGCAGCGGACACCACCACCAATCCCCATGTCAGAGGGGTAGGCCTAATAATCCACTGATTCATACATTCAATCAGTCAGCAGTCATCCATGCTTGACCAATGCACAGTCCATCAACAACAACACATTTCTTTTCTTTCTGTACTTGACGAGTCTATACAAGTAGTTTGTTAAAAATCACATATCAATCATCAAAGAACTAGAGTATAATATTCTCCAACTTACCATCCATCACTAATCTAATAATTCGTCATCATCCATTCCATCCATCCATCCATCCATCCATCATTTATATTTATAACATACCATCAGGTCCATCAGTTATTCATTAGTCACTCCAATCAATCACACACGCACACACACTAACATTCATCCATTATTGTTATTGTACTATTACCTTGACTTCTTGTAGACCACTCAATCAAAGACAGACAATCAATTACCTAATTGTAAGTAACATACTCATACTACACACTTGTCCTTGTCCTTCGTCTTCCAAAGACTCAATCACATACACAACAAACAAAGACAAAGAAGGGAAGGACGATCCATCCATCCATCTTTGCACGAGGCCCATAACATGACGCGGATAGTAGTGGCCATGGCTATTTTTACACCAAAATCTCGTGTTCCACAAGGCCTCGTGGATTATGTTTTACGGATCGCCATCCCACACTTGCACCCAAACTCGCTACTGTTGTGAACACATCATCCATCACCCCAAGCCTTAACTTGGACGATCCACCGATGACCATGCATCAAACTAACTTACGTCCCCTCAATCATTCATTCAGTCAGACAGACAGTACCCTTTAAAATATTTCTCCACCTACTTCTCCCTCTGCCAGCTTCTTTCAACTTATCTTAATCAATCAACCAACCAATCAATCATCAATCAATCACTTATACTATTATTATTTATTTATTTATATAATATTTATATACCTTATACAAAATATATATCATGATGGAAGTCGATAGAATGAAGATTGGCTTTATGTTGGGTTGCGGATCAAATGCCTCCGCACCAAAGGAGGACTTGGCCTCAACCACTACCACTACCACTACCAATACTGCTGCCACCACACAGTCGACAATGAAGCGCTCATTGTCCGCATCGATACAAAGTGAGGAGGACGATGACGAGGGTGTGGTACTACTTTCGAAAATCGCATCGCCAACACCTTCATCGCCAGACAAGATACCATCACCATTGCTCAACTTGCCAAAGTCCAGCAACAACACCAACAATCACTTCAACACAATCAAGATACCAAACTTCAGTATACTCACCAATGCCGCGACATCCATGCTGTCCACCTCGGCCAATCATTCCAATATATACTCTTCCAGCAGCATCAGCAGTGGCAGCAGCAGCAACCCATTCATTTCCAAAGAGTTGGCCAACAGCCTACTCACACCTTTATCCTCCTCTTCCGACTCAAACTCAAACTCAAACACATTTTCAAACTCAAACTCAAACACAAACTCCAACAATATTACATTCTCAATCACATCCGCACCAAACACTCATGGCATGTTCACATCCAACTCTGGCATCAACATGGCTAGACTACCATCGCTTCAATCAATTTCACCATCTGGCTCGCCAAGACCAGACTCGATCCGATCAACACCATCAGGCTCGCTAAACAACTCGCCATTCCTCTCGCCACACGCTTACATGGACGCGTACAATGACGACCCCGACTCTGGCAACTCATACCCCTCGTCGCCCAACTCACAAAACTCTGACGGCGACGAAGGCGCCAACCGCTCGCCAAACGGATCGCGCTCCATGGCATGCGGCAAGCACAGCAAGTGGAAGAAGAGATGTCCCGACACTTGTGTGGGCCGCGTGTCACCAGTCGAGTTCTCGTCGTCCACCCGCAAGTTGTGGACCCAGGAGGAGTGTTGCCAACTCCTCGAGATGGTCTTCCAGATGGACCCACAATCCGTCACTGCCAAGGAGAGTGAGCAGCGATGGCGCTCAATCGCCCAGACTCTGGGCCGCACCGTCACCTCCACTCGCAAGAAGTACATGCGTCTGATGAACAAGTGGTCTCCTCGTCCAATGGCCACCTCTGTCCATCCAATCTCCAAGCTGATAGAGAACGATAGGAAGAGAAAGACAGACACTTACGACCCGCAGCAGCCAGAGCACAACATGGCCCATCCAGCCAAGGAGCTCAAAATGACCAACATGAACTCCAACTCCAACTCCAACTTTAATCAATCATCCTCTACATCATCATCACCTTTGTCAACATCATCATCTCCACTCAGACAACATCCATCTTCATCATCGTCCACCAACTCATACCAACATTCATCATCAATGGACCAACAACAACATTTTGCGCAACAACAACAACAACACTTCTCACTCCTTCAGAAGCAGCTGTCCGACTCACCCTACTACAAGCAACTGCAGTCAATGCCACAGCAGGGCGGCAGCCAGTCAGTGACCAGCTCGTTCAAGACACTAAGTGAGAAGCTGAACGGCACCGGCAACCACGCCAGTAGTGCCAACGGCAGCAATGGCAACCCACCCAAGTTCAAGAAGCCTATCGGCCGTCCACCCGAAGCCTGTGAGCAACATCGTAGCGAACATCAAAAGTGTCCAAAGGACTGTCCATTCCGCCCCAACCTGAACATGCACCAGCAACAACAACAGCAGATCCAGTTGATGCTCACCCTGCCCTCTACGCTCACCTCACAGCAGCAACATGTTGCTGGTGGTAGCAATATCATGACCCAATCCAAGTGAATGATTTATCGATTGTATGATTGAATGAATGAATGAAACATTGTGAATAAGTCCAACCTTTAATTATTTAGGATAAACTTCTACTTCTTCTTCTTCTTCTTCGTCCTCCTCTCCACAGACTGAATCATCACTCATAGTCTTTGGAATCGTTCCTTTTCGGATCACATGTCAAACATCATTAAAGACCATGGTATCTAAGCCATGTCCTGTCTGGTTGACTACCAACACTTGGGTTACATCCATGATGGGTGATGTGCCTCTTTGGGTCCCAATACAGGACCCGGGACCCAACTCAATTTTGATCATTTTGAACTTGATCATGGTATCCAAAAATCTAAACAAGTTCAATCCAACTCAATCMATTCAATCAATCATCAATCAACTTACATACATACATACATACGTATATACATCAATCATAACAATGTCTACTAACAACAAACAACTATTCATTGGATTGGATGGAGGCGGTACAAAAACATTGTCCATCGTGATCGATGCTAATGGTAATGAGTTGGGCCAGTTCATATCAACCTGCAGCAATCAGAACAGTGTTGGAAAGGAACAAGCTAAAGTTGCAATCATGGAGAGTATCTCAAAGGCAATAGAGGCAGCGGGCGCCGCACCAAGCGATGTCGTATCGATCTGCATGGGCATCAGTGGTGTCGACCGTCCTGAGGACCAGGCCATGGTGGGCGGATGGGTCAAAGAGCTGCTTCCAAACACAGTCTACGAGATCCACAACGACGCAGTGGTCGCACTCTCCTCAGGCACACTCGGAAAGCTCTACGGTGTCGTCGTCATCAGTGGCACTGGCACCATCGCCTGGGGCATCAACCGCCAAGGTGTTAAATCAAGGTCGGCTGGCTGGGGGTAAGTAACCGTCAAGACTATTCACTTGTTGCAGCGCGATAAGTAGTATCACTAACTCATCCCATCTTCACGTCATGTCTACAGACCACTGTTGGGTGATGATGGTAGTGGATATCAAATTGGATTCGATATCCTCAAGCATGTTTGCCGTGCAAAGGATGAGTCGGGTCCAAAGACCCAGTTGACACAGGCCGTATTCAATAAACTGGCCATCAGTAAGGAGGATGATCTGATTGGATGGGCCTACGACAAGGCCAACTCTGGTTGGAGTAAGTTTGCCGAGCTGTCTCCACTAGCCACCGAGTGCGCCAACAATGGAGACAAGGTTGCACAGTCCATTCTCGATATCAATGCCAATGCTCTTGTTGTAAGTACTCAATCATTCATTCAATCATTCAATCACATGCTGACAATGATATCGACAACGAGTAGACATCGATTAGAAGTGTGTTTGTCAAGCTAGGATTGGACAAGTTGGATGAGAAGGTACCTTTGGTACTTGCTGGTGGAAACATTGAGAGGGAGTGCCTCTTTAGCCAAATGCTGAGGACCAAGTTGGCCGAGGCTGTACCAAATGCCGAGCCTATATTCCCCAAGTGCACACCAGGCAAGGGAGCTGCACTCCTTGCCATGGAGCAGTACAAGAAGACACACAACGCACAATAGTCATTCATTCGATTCAATCAATCGATCAATCAATCAACGATCATTGTGATTAAAGTTGTGGAACAACACCAGTCCGTTCGTACGACGAATGGAATTTGTAACACCAGAGGTAGCGCTTCCGCTGGGAGCTATGATTTATAAATATTGCCGCTGCTGCTGCTGCTGCTAGTGTTGCCAACGACCTTGTTGGGAGATAGCCTCTCCCACTCCTTCTTGACATGATCGATGAATTGGGAGCATGGCGAGGCAAAGTAGTCTTTGTCAAACGCCAGGCAACTCTGAGGGCTGTGTGAGGCGATCTTATTAGCTCTCTCACAGCAATCAAAGTAGTTGTAAAGCTCGTCCAGTTCGCGCAAGAAGAATGCCACCTTCTTGTTCGAGCTTGTTGGTCCTCCACCATGCGTGGCAGTTGGCACGGTGAGCGTCGATGATGAGTGGCTGCCACTGCCACCACCTCTTGGTGATGGTGGAGAAGTTGGTATTGAAGGTGTGTTGCCATGCGACGATGCTGATGGCGTCGTCGCTGTGTTAAATAACTTTGGAGTGCCAACAGGGAACTGTACAACCAGCTCCTTTCTTGCCACCCTCAGTTGTTCTCTCTTCAAACCGAAAGACTTGGCAAAGCAGAATGCCGCGCATCGAAGACTATGGAGTGGAAATAGAATGGAAGGGATGTCAGCGAGTCTGATGGGTATCCATAGCATCAGTCCATGGACTCCTTGAACACTTACAAGAATGTTCCAGTCGCATCCAGTTTGAATGTATTGATTGCCAGACGAGCGGTGGCAAAAAAGTATGAGGCAGTCGATGCGTAGTATCCTGCAGTCTTGGAAGCTGGATCAACATCCTGTATCGTTTGATTGAATGAGTGAGTGAGTGAATAGTTCTAGTTCGATTGATTGGATTGATTGATTGGAGTACTCACAGTCATGAGCTGTCCAATGTGGATGTATGCAAGACCGACTTGGAGCAGGATATCAAGACATTCAGTGTCTCCCTCGTTCTGGAGTGCTGTCGCCTTGGCTTTTAGACTCTTTGTATCGATGTGGAGTCTATCGATCACCTGCTTCTGACTGATCTCATCACTCTTTCCTCTCTTTCCTCCTCCACGACTATTCGCCGATGATGAATCACCTGTATCCATCATGTCTCTCTTTGATTCCTTCTTAGTATCTCTACTCCTCTCCTTCTCCTTCTCCTTATCTCTTGTCCTATCCTTCTCCTTCTCCTTTTCCTTCTCCTTCTCTTTATCCTTGTTATCTCTGTCCCTATCTCTATCCCTATCTCTTTCATCTCTGTTATCTCTGTTATCTCTTTCCTTGTCTCTGTCTCCACCTCCTCTGTCGCGACCATCCCTGCTATCTCTGTCTCTATCACCACCTCTGTCTCTTTCCCTATCTCTGTCACCTCTATCGTCCCTATCACCTCTGTCTCGTCTGTCTCTGTCTCTATCCCTTTCGCGTTCTCTATCTCTGTCTCTTCCATCCCTGTTGTTATCCTTGTCTCTTCCATCCTTTGGCTCTTTGTCCTCCTGACCTCCGCCACCACCAGCGGCTCTTGATAGTCTTGCACGATCCTTCTCATTCGATCTACCATTATTGTTGTTGTTATTTGGAGGTGATGATCTCTTCTTTGAGCTTGAGCCACCAAGCTCTACACTCATCCTATCAGCCTCGGACACTGAGAATGGATTGGAAGGAAGTGGTGGAAGTGGTGGTGTCGATGTTGAATCTCTCCTTGATGATGATGATGATCCTTGTTCAGTCCTTCTATCATTGTCCCTATCCTTATTATTATTATTATTATTATTACTATTATTATTATTATTCGTGCTTTGTCTATTACTTCTATCTCCACTGTCCCTATTCCTATCTCTATCTCTTATCCTATCTCTATTATTATCTCTATTATTATCTCTATTATTATCTCTGTTATCTCGCCAACTATCCTTGCCACGACTACTACCATTGTTGTTGTTGTTGTTACTCTTGAGCAATGGTGAGTCCACCTTGACATCTGGAGTATTGACATGAATGATTGGTGAAGCTGGAACTGGTGGAGCTGGAGCTGGAGCTGGAGCTGTCTTTATCCTCTTACTGCTGTTGACATCACGATCACGACCACGATTACGATCACGATCATAATCACTATCATCATCACTTAGAAGTGTGCCACTCACTGAATCATTGATCCTGATGGAGATGTCCTTGAACATTTCCTCATCCTCGCTGTACAGTGCTGTGTTGGCGTCCAACTCTGAACGATCAAGGTCCAGATTGCCATCAACCTCCTCGTCCTCGTCAGGTTTCCTCTTCTTCTCGACCACCATTGGACTTAACAAGTGTGCCGTACTACTCTTTGACTTTGGACGTAGCAGATCATGGTGTAGTAGTTGTTGTTGCTGTTGTTGTTGTTGTTGTTGTTGTTGTTGTTGTTGTTGTTGTTGGAGTTTGATTGTGAGTTTCAACTTCTTCTTGCCATCGGTGTTGTTGTTGCTAGATTGTACCCGCGAGTGATTGTTACCAACACTCTCCTCATCGCTATACATTGTTCCAGAAGAGTGGTGGTGACCGTTGGGTAATCGTGAGGGTTGGTGGCCTCGACCATTGGCCTTGGTGTTGTGGTGGGGTTGGTCCATAAGGTCCACCATGTCCTCAACTGGAATGGAATGACCTCCACCACCATTACTGCTGTCATTGATTGGTGAGAGCATTGGATTGACAGGATTGGTCATTGTCCGGAATATTGATGACATGGTCAGAGGGTTTGGTGATGCGCCATTGTCCCTGTCCCTGTCTCTTACTCTATCCCTTGCTCCATCCATTGATCGTGATGATGATGATGAGGATGATTGTCTTCCTTGTGCCAAAGTCTTTGAACTCTCTTGTCTGATTGTTAATGGTGCAGGTGTCTTGTACTCTCCACTTTTGTGAATAGGTTGGCTGTTAGGAAGTGTGTGCGTGGTAGCCATGGGCAGGACATGGGCATCCAGAGAACATACGTTGTTGGTCCATTCGTTGTTCGGTTCTTGTTTGAGGATGAGGATGATGATGTTGACGTTGTTGATGATGACGATGATCCACGACCTCGTTGTCCACTTCCACCACCATCACCACGATGATAGTAATCGTCGTCACTACTTGAGTGATCAGAGTATGTATATGAACTGTTTGAGGAAGTTGTTGACTTGGACGAAGTTCCTCCTCCACCTCCTCGTCCTCCTCCTCGACTCCTCTCAATCATTATGATATCTGTGTATATATGTGTGTGTGTGTGTGCGTGTGTGTGTGTATCTAACTATATATCTATCTTATTATCTTTATAACTAAGTATCTATCAATTGTGACTCGTGTCACACTCAATGATGTCTACCTTACTTCTGCTTGTTTGACGCGTCTATCTGTCAACTGTCGCTTTGGTAGTCAATGAGCTATTATTATTATTGTTTATATATGTAAAAGTAAGTATACATATATATTAAAACGAATGAATGAATGTATGTATGAATAAGTGAACGAGAAGTTATTATATTGCAATGGGATTGAATGAATGAATGTTCCCAATTGTGACAACTTTGACATGGAGTAGGATGTCGGCTTGAAAAAAAGAGTTTATTCTTTTTTTATTATTCATGGTTTGGTTTGTTGGTTGTTTGGGAAACCCATAAATTTGTTTGAGTTTCGAAACTCAAATATCTCTATCCAACTCTATTAAACAAACAAAAGGAATTATTAATAGTGAATTAATCAAAATGATATATCGTCTAGCCAGCTAGACTTAACAATCCAAAGTTTGAATAGGTGATTTAACTTTCAGTAAAGTGGAATCTTACAAATTGCACTGAATGAATGTTTGGATGGATAGACGGAGTTCACTTCAACCTTCAATATTCACCGTCTTCTGATCCACGTTCATATTTAGTTAATTTCCTTAATTTACATAGATTTATCTTAACAGTATACTGTTGGTTTCATTCATTCATTCATTCATCATGACCATTTTACAGTGATACAAGGAAGTAGTTTGTTTGTATTTGGTTTCAGACCAGATTCAAATGGTACTAGTCCTTATGTCAATGATCCACCAATAGTGACTACACTCACTTGTACATTCTCCCACTCACCTCTATCATTCAATATACAATATGGCTCACGCCCCTTCCAAGAGTGCTACAAGCACTCACTCACCTACTTGAGTATCGCCAGTCACCAGTGAACTCCCTCATTCGCACATTGTTCACTCCCCTCTCTTCCACTAATTCACTTCATTCACCTCATTCACTTACACACTCACGATCAACAATCATTTTAAAATACGTAGATCTGTGAATATATATTCCACGGATGACGATTGACCGGTCAACCGACAGATTTACAAGATTCGCTATTGTTATTGTTGTTGTTGGTATGAATGACAGACACAGACACAGACAGACACAGGTCGATTGGGTGACGGAAGGATACCAGTACGACTGTGCCATACGACACCCATTGAGCCCTATTTAAACAGTCCGCCAGTCAGTGGAATTATTTAGTCCAAATTACAAATATTTATTACCCTTCGCAATCCAAAGTATAAATATTAATGTCAGACATACTTGTAAGTTGAATGATAAATTATATACCAAACATTACACACAAATACACCTTGAACCTTATTCTATATCTCTATCTCTCTCTTGGTGTGAATGAATGAATGATAAGTGTGTGTTTTGATTTGGAAAATCATCATTTGTTGTCCACAACACTCCCAGGAATGATCATGATTTTCGATCACAACCTTCAAAACACACACTTATTCACACACCCCACATGTCAACGACACCAACATAACCCGAACAGATCCATCATAAACTCGCGAAGAACACACACACATCTTCATTCATTCATTGTCGAATAGAAGGTTAACAAATATATACTTCACCACAAACGCCACTATCAATCATATCATTTATATATATAAACATATAAACAACAAATATAATTGATTGTTTCGTTCATTCATTCAATCGCACCAACACCAACAACACACACATACACTAGGCGCGCGACAGGTACAACGTTGTAACCCAACATCCCATCTCGTCAACATCATCAAGACGGATCTCTCGTCATCGTCCATGACGGATGCATCGTGTAACATCAAGAACATAGAAGTACCCTCAAGTTCATTCATTCATTCAATCATTTGATCACTCAATCATTCCAACCAATCACAATCAATCTTCTTCTTTCACATTAGACGACATTTTAACTTGGTCATCTTAACTCATCATCATCATCACTCAATCACTCAATCACTCAATCACATCAACATCATCATCACATCAAACAAAAATGGAACCATTTACTGATGATATATACATAAAGACAATTGATTATATTGAGTTCTGGGTTGGCAATGCCAAGTCCTTCATAAAGTGCTTCTTGCAACCACTGAACTACCATCCGGTCGCCATCAGACGCACTGAGAAGCGTGTCCAGTTCTTGTTGGTCAACTCACCCCAACTGGCCTACTTCAAGATCATCGATGGCGCTCACTTGGAGTCAACATGCTTCATTGTTACCGCTGCGACCAGTGAGCTCGACACAGAGTTCCACAACATGCGCCAAGCACACAATGGTGACTTTATCAAGAGCATCGCATTCAACTGCACAGACGTGGACCTCTGCTTTGATCGTGCTGTTGCCGGTGGCGCAAAGCCGGTCCAACAACCATGCAGCCCATTCCAATCGATACGCACAGCGACCATCACATCACCATTCTTTGACGTGGACCATGTGTTCATCAGGCGCACACTTCAACTGACCCAGCATCAGATTCACAACCCTTTGATGCTGTTCCCCGACTTTGTGGAACTGTCTCGCACAATGCCAAACACATTCTCCAAGACCCAAATGCCCTCGGCGCCAACGACGCTGTCACTGGATCACGTGGCCACATGTGTCAAGAATGGACAACTTATGGAGTGCATCAAATGGTACAATCAATGTCTTGGTTTCAAACTCATGGAGATCATAAAGGATGGAGATGTACCGCGTGACAATGACGACCAAAAGTTGATCGAGTCAGAGAACTACTTCAACGTCTCTGTTGGAGAGGACATTGGACTTCGCATGGCTGTCATTTCCAATCAACCCGCCAGCATGGTCACCTTCACATTGCCCTCCATCATGTGGGTGATCAGTGAGGCAGCAGTAGGTGGCAAGGGTCAAGTGGAGCAGGTAAGTAGTAGCATTCATTCAAGGAACATAGTGTGGACACTGGCTCACACTAAATCAATCAATCAATCAATCAATCAATCATGTAGTTTGTCAAGTTCAATGGAGGCTCTGGCATACAACATTTGGCATTCCTCACCAATGATATATTTAAGGCGGTCGACTACGCCAGACATAACTTGATGGAGTTCATCGAGGCACCAGACTACTATTACAACAATCTTTCCAAGCGTGAGGAGTTGAAGAAGGTCCTGTCACACATGGACATGACTGTGATCGATGATCTTAAGACACACAAGGTGTTGCTGGATTCAGAGAATTCCAGTGCCCCTGATGCCAAAGAGAGTTATATTTTACAAGTATGTAGATGTGGATGGATCATGATCATTATGTGTGTTGCCATACTAACCTCACCATCATCATACTTAACTAGATATTCACTAAGCCTATATGTGATACACCAACCTTTTTCTTTGAAGTCATATCGAGAGAGAATGCACTTGGATTTGGAAAGGGCAACATAAAGGTATGTTTCCAGGTCACTCAATCACTTTGATCACACATGCCATGATAACTAACACTCACTCACACAATCAATCAACAGGCATTGTTTGAAGCTGTTGAGATGTCACAGCATAGGGAGCTCAATGAGATCCGTGAGGTCCCTCGAGAATGAACATAATAATAATAATAATAATACAATATATTTAATATTTAAATTATCTCGATTAGAGTACTTTATTGCACATCCTTATGATCCTCATGCATCCAGTGTCATAAGCTTGTTGTCTTATCAACTTTAGTGCTCTTGTGAGATGTAGTGGCTCCATTGATGTTAAGAGTGGACCAGGTGATTGTGTATCCCCAATGAGATAGGACAGAACATTGTACTTGTTGATGTCTGCCGCCGAATACAAGCTCTTGAGTGATGGTACTAGTTGCCCATGTTGTTGTCCATGTTGTGGAGCATTGGACAAGGCCCATCGAGTGTGAACAAACTTGAGTAAATCGACTTGGTCACAGTTACATGCACTGTCCACTACCAACTGCAAGTTCTTCCTGAGTATGAGAGCATCCATTTGTGCACCCAATAGATACTCGATGGCAGCTATGTCGCCACGTGCTGAACACTGCTCAATTATCAATTTGAATAGTTTGGACTGATAGGAATAGAGGCTTCCATTATTGGTCTTCCCAAGCAAGTACTCGTGGAGTGGTTTGATGAATGCCAATGACTTGGTGGCAGCTTTACCCAGGACCTGGGTAAAGTCAATGTGACTGCCAGGCGTGTTATCAAGAAAGGATTTGATGAACTCCAATGCAAGCTCCTCGGTCATCTTGCTGTTTGGCTTGTCAAATGAGTCAATCACTTCACACACCTCGTAGTCGGAATTGGTGATGGGACTCTCCTTGATCAACAGGTGTCCGACTGATGGTTGAATGTAATTCCATATTGGTTTCTCATCTTCGTCATCGTCATTGTTGTCGTCATCGTCCTCGTTGTCGCCACTAGAATCCAACACACTGCCAGTGTCATCGTCAGGGTCGTGATCCTTGTCCCTTAGACGACCGAGTGGTGACCATCTACGTCTCTTCTCAATGATCATCTTGACTGTGGTGTCGTCGCCAACTATTGCCGCTGTGCCCATTGCCACTCTGTAGTCAGTCTGGAACTTCTTTTGTTCGTTGAGCTCCAACATATTGATGAGTTCTCGATCGCCTTTCAATATGGCTCGTGCCATAACCTTGTCGAACCTGCAAGTTAAGCTGGGGATTGAAAGTAGTTTCCGAATGAGTCTTTGAGAGAGGATACTATGATGGATGTCAACGATCAAATATTTGTCTTCTCCATCTTCGTTGAATCCATCATCATCATCATCGTCGTCCATGATGGGAAGAGGTGCATCGATGATGAAGTTGACAATGTCGAGGTGGCCAGCCGCGAGGGCCATGCTGAGGGCTTTGAGTGGACGTGCGAATCCTGGGAGTTGTAAGTTTATGAGATCATAAATCTTGATGGCCACTGATGTATGACCGCCGCTTGCTGCCTTGCAAAATGCATCCTCCCAGTCACGACGAGGAATTTGTTTGTGAGGTGTCACTGTGAGCACAAGGTCTAAAATATCCATATCCCCGGACTCTGCCGCGGATACAATGATTGGTTGTGATTGTTCTACATCAGATTCTTCTTCTTCTTCTTCTCTGTTGACGATACCAATGTCGAGTAGATACTTGACTATTGGCGTGGCACTGTGTCTCACTGCAATGGTTAGCAGCTCTCTCAGATGATAGGGTGAGAGCAAAGAGTTGTCGTTTAGCAATTGGATCATCTCCAGACCCCACGGATCAATTAGCCACGAGTCCATCATATGTTGCAGACTGTTTTTATCGTCGTCTGGTCGTTCGATTGTGGCTCCAACCTTGAGTAGTGCACGAATGAATGCAGGTCGCTGTATAAACAACATAGTTCTTCCACTGATGTCCAGGTGTGCACGACAAGTGATGTCCATATAGATTGTCAACAACTCGGCGAGTGACTCGCATGACTTGGTCGTCCTAGACAGGTTGAGTGCCAGATATCGAGGAGTGTTGTGTGAGTCGGGATGGTCATCCAACGTCATGTTGGGGTTGGCAAGGAGGCGCTCGAGTGCGTTGGTGTCCGATTGGCACATAGCCACTTCGATCATCTTTTTGTTGGGTGGATATGTGCTCGCGACAGTGTTATAGGCGTCGATGAACCATGATGAGGCGCCATTCCAAATATAGTCCATGAGCTCATCACTAGCCTGAAGCTCATGTCCTTTGATTGGCTTGACACCACCAAACAAAGTCCGATAAATCTTGCCCATGTAGCCCATTATCATCATGCATAATCGTTTGTCTCTAAACAACGTGTGGAAAGCTGTGTCCATGCGCTGTGATTGAGCAGCGGGCACTGCGCACTCAATCATATTGCAGTCGGTCTCATCATTCAACACATCTTGTTTCCTTGATTGATAGATTGATTGATTGAATAGTGTGCTTCGTTAGTCAATGATGGGATGGCCCCACATGTGTACATACCTCTTCTTGTTGGCGGCAATGTCTTTGAGGAGTTTGTCAAGCATTAAAATGATGCGGGTATGTCCTTGGTCATAGGCAACGTGTAGAATTGCAGTGATCGTGCGATGACTGTTCAGTTTGGTCATGTTGGCAAAGGTAGATGCGGATGGGTTTGTCACAAAGATGTACTCGAGTGAATGATATGCATTAGCCTGGGAGGCATTCTCCAGGATGCTGAGGAAAGGCATGGGCAAGGCGCGGTTGATGCGTCGATGAAGTGACATCAATATCAGATGTCTGTCCATCTCACATGCTCGGTTGACCATTGATTGTAACAAGTCGGAAGCAGTGGTGTAGTCGTAGCGCAGTCGTTGCTCGATGTTGTCAATGATGAACTCGAATACATCTGATGATGGGTTATCGATTGCTTTGATGAGGGTGTTAGGCACGTCTTCAGCACTCAACTCTCTGTATTTGAACAGAACCTTGATTGCCTGGAGTGATCCTTTGGTGATGAGCTCATCGATTGAATCTTGAGAATCAACAATCCAGGTTTGATGCAATTGATAGAGATGTTCCATAATGTCGGCTTGACCATAGCGAATGGCCTCGACCAGAATGCTTGGAGTGTATGAGCATCCAAGAGTACTGTGTAGGAACTCCAGGAGCGACAAGGACACGCGTGTCGCTTGCCTCATCATAATATTGTGATAGTGTGATGATTTGATGTTACATGATTGTATGATCAGTTTGACGGCCTCCTCTGTGATGGCATTGCCAGGCCGATTGATACCATGAATCATGTTTGATATGTCCTGCTCAGTGATTTGCAAGGAGCATGATTCGTGACCAACGAGGAGCTCCACCATGCGCAGGGACAACTTGGGATGTGTCTCTAGCCGAAGATATACCTTGACTTTTTTTTGACCATGGCCATCAAGGATCTGGCGAACCTTGTCGACATCTTCATTGGCCAATGCAATGTACATTGGATCGTCTACCCTTGTGCCAAGATTCTGTTGCCTCCTAATATTCAATGCCTCATCAATATAACTGGTGTATCTCTGTATGTAATAAGGTGTGCTTAGGCCAGGGACGAATAATTGCTTGATGCGCTCGACAAAGTCTACGTGGCCATTGGCTATTGATCTTGAGAATACGGGACTGCCCCAGTGATGATCATCAAATACATTGCTCATACCTGGCAGCGCAGTGAGATATTCAAACATATCGGAGAAACCGCCCTCGATACTTATCTTGAGTAAGTTCTTGGGGATATTGTTCGCCATCGTCATGGCAGCTGGGAGGCTGTCCATCATGTACCTCACGCAGTCGATCATGTTGTTGTTTGCCGCGTTATTTAGGACTGTGAGCAGGCAACCAGATTGATTGAGTATGTTGTACTGGTGGAGCAAGCGCACAACTTCCAGGCGGATGCCAGGCTTGTTGAGCACGAGCACTGCCTCGCCCTCAATGTCAAAGTGCTGCAATGCCAGCTCAATGAACGAGAGTGAATCCCTGCCTAGTGCCGGACACAGGTCTTTGAATTCGGCGGTCAAGTAACCATTGCCATTCATCGCGATGTAGCCCTGGAGGATATCAAGGTTGCATGAGCGGAGTGCCAAGATGGTCGAGGCTTCATTGAATGAAGCCATGTTCGTATTGCTCACCAATAGATTGAATGCCACTGTGTTGTTATACTTGATTGCCGACGATAACAATGTTTCGTTGGGTGGGTACAAGTCGCCTTGCTGTCCGAGTTGTCCGACTGTTTGATTGAATGTTTGTACAAAGTATTGAGTGGCATGATATTTAAGCATTTGTATTAGACTGCCATTGTCCAGTAGTTGTCTACCTTTGATCTGTGACTTGTAGACAGTGTCAACACCACTTGGCAAACTGATCACTATTGCCTTATCAATCAAATATCGATTGATCATATTGACATGTTTGAATATTCGTTCACATAGTTCATTATGTTGAAACACCTTATGTACAACAATATGAAGTTGTTGTTGTTGTAACATCCACTGATACAGATAGATATAGATACAGATAAAGATAGAGATAATGATTGAACAACAATGTTGTGACACATCACACTTTCATTCTTGTAAACTTCCCTTCAAGTCCAATTTAGAATTTATCTAGATTCTTGTTAAAGAGACAATGTTGGGTGGGGGTTGTTTGAATGACTTTGACGTTCTATTATCTCTATCTCTATCTCTATCTGTAGTAATAACAATAACAATACATACAGAAATAATGGACAACAACAATCATGATCACAAGGAAATCGAAGAGGAATGGAAAAGGTATTATTGATCGATCAATCAATCAACTCAATCAGACGAGGCCCATGGATGATCAATCAAACCTAACGCACTTTATACAATGAATATAGAATACAGAATGAACTGAAGCAGAGACATTGTGAAACAGACAGAGTCGACTTTATTATACCAGGTACATCTGAGTTGCCTCAAACACAACCAGATTCAGACGCCAACTCAACTATAACAACATCTACAGCCACAACAACGACTTCAACATCCACAACACAATCGACAACAGAGACAACCACCACCACACAACAACAACGTCCATTGAGATATGTGGCAGGTGTAGATATTAGCTTTGTAAAGGACAATGTAGAGGATGCTTGTGCATCCATTGTGATATTGGAATTGCCAGGATTGAAGGTGATTCACGAGGAGATGATGTTTGTTAAACTGGACCTGCCGTATATTCCCGGTTTCCTGGCGTTTAGGGAGTGTCCATCACTGATCCATTTGATCGAGAAGGTGCGCACTGAGCGCCCGGAAATCTTCCCTCAAGTGATTCTGGTCGATGGCAATGGTTTGTTGCATCCCCGCGCCTTTGGTCTGGCCTGCCAGCTGGGCGTGCTGACCGACCTGCCCACGATCGGCATTGGCAAGACGTTCTTCTGTGTCGATGGCATGCTCACCAAGCAGGTCAAGGCCGACGTGGCCGCCACCTGCAAGCAAGGCGGCGATCATCTTTTGTTGCGTGGCGACAGTGGCAAGGTATGGGGAGCAGCCGTCATCAGTCACAGCAACAGTACAAACGCAATCTTTGTCTCGATTGGACATCGTCTCTCGCTGGACAGCTGTCTGAAGGTGGTGGCAGCGTGCACCACTACCAATCGCATCCCCGAGCCAGTGCGCCAGGCTGACCTTCGTTCTCGAGACTTTATCCGAATAAACTACAAACCGACCGCAGTCGCTGGCGAGGCATCCGCCTCAACGACTATTGCGGACGCAGCAGTTGACGACTAGTATTGTATAGTCGTCAGCGCCAAGATGTACATTTTAGCCTCATGCCATTGGTTGGCATTGCCTTTGTTTATTAATACTTTGAGGAGGGGAAGGATGACAGAGAGAAGGATAGAGGATGGTGTGGGATGGGATGGGGAAGGTAAGGGTCAGGGTCGGCTGAGTGAGTGCCCTCCCCTCCCTAACGCGGGCGTCTTGTCGACAACATTTAAATGTCGCTGAACGACTTGACAGCAGGCTCTCCAATGCCCCAGTTGAATGTATCCAACTCGATTGGCTCTGTAATCTCCAAACCAGTGGCGTTGGCAATAGAGAGTTGGATCTAGATATAATGAGGACGATGTGTTAGTGGCATGCCTGAGGCAGAAAAGTCTGTCAGCGACCAAACATACTCTCTTTGATGATCTGGCATCACGGTAGAAGAGAACACGCAGACAGTCTTGGATCAACTTCATGGCGTCGTCGAGGGTGAGGTCCTCTCTGTAGGCCTTGCGGAGCAGTGGCAGTGCCATGTGTTGTCCGTAACCGGTGCAAATGAAGTCATCGACAAAGGAAGTACCGACGAGATCGACCTTGCCCAAGAAGCTCTTGTTGTTGTTGTGTCCAATGATGATGAGGTTGTTCCACAATGGATCGCCATTGTTTCTTCTATTATACATAACACGTGCCAAGTAGCTGTAGACCTCGCTTGGGCTAAGCTTTGATCCATCATCTATACAAGAGTCCTCAATACTAATTGAATATAATGTAATAGTTAGTGTCATTCAATCATTCAATCAGACATGTTTGATCAATCAATCAATCAATCAAAGTGATGATACGTACACCAAGTCATCGAGTGTTTGAGACAATGATTGGAAGTCACTGTATTCGCCACCAAAGCCAACGATTACATTGGAGCCAAACTTCCTCATTCTAGGTATATTGTTGAATCTAGCCAGAGAGCCATAGGAGCAAAGTGTATCGGTACCCATAACAACTCCACCATTATATTTAATAGCGATCACTGATGTACCTGTAACGATTGGGTCCCTATATTATATATATTAATATATATTAATAAATCGTTCGTTCAATCAATCAATAAATCAAATATTAACTTAACATACTGTGTCTTCTTCTTGGCATCCTCTGGGCTGTGCACTGGCTCAGCGTGATAGGATGGTTGCTGTCTGCTGAAGTAGTCGACCTGTCCAAACACTGGGTATCTGAAATGCTTTGATTGATTTATTGACATAATGTATATATATTATATTATTATTATTAGTATATTGAGTATTTGTTTGAATGAATGAATGTGTGATTGATTAAGTTTGGTGTGTTGATCATCAACTTTGTGAACATCGCACTTCTCCATTTAATTTTATTTTGGAATGAACTTCACTACAACGAACTTCGTAAATTTGATTTGATTCAAACTTCGCGCCAAATTGAAGTTATTGAGAACAAAGAGATACTTCATTCATTCATTCAATCAATCATATACTTGTACAATAATATATAACATATAACAAACAAACAGACATTCAAACAAACAATGATTGATATTAATAATACCTCAACACAAATGAATGATTCATCAACTATGATGATTGAATCAACAACATCATCAACAATATCACTTCCATTCGATATTACAAAGTACCAAACGTAAGTCATTATAATGATTGAATGATTGTATGAATGAACATATAATGTTAACTAACACTTAATAATAATAGTATTATAAATGATGTACACAAGAATCTATTTAATTATTTGAATGATATTGATAAGAAGAAGTTGTCAAATGTAGAGAGAGACTTGGCAAATATACAGGAATGCTTTGTTCAATTAAAGTTCAATTATATAGAGACTGGTAGTAAACAGCAGTTCATTCAATCAATCATGGCATTGGACTCCCAACAACTCACATCGCCATCACAACAGGCTGTCACACAGCTCGAGTCGTCAATAGCCAAGGGCAAGAAGGAGTTCAAAGAGCTCAAAGATACAACAAACAAGTTAATGACTGAAGTTGTTCTATTCATTAATTTGGTCGCTGAAGGTAACCAATCCATTCATTCATTCAATCAATATTGGAATAATCCCACTCTAACCATCCCCGTACCCTCCCCGTACCCTACCCTTAGCCGATGGCAAGCTTCAAAAGGAAAGAGAGAACTTACAACATTTGGTATCGGATGCCAATGAACAACTTGCCAAGATGTTTGAGATTGAACAGTCGATACAGGAGTTGGAGCGAAAGAATGGAGAGGTCATCTCGATCAATGACAAGCTGGCATCATCAATTGAGTGGTATCAACCTTATATCAGGATGGTGGAGAAGTTGCAGGCCGTACGTCTGAGGGACATGACTGCCAACGAGGTGACATTCGACCTGAGCGTGGCCAATGTCACACACGCCGTGTCTCTGAGACTGGACCCCGCACGCAAGTCCATCACGAGCATCCAAATCAATCCGGCTCCAGTCCAGCTGGAACACCTTGCACAGGACATGTCAGAGGCGCGCGAGATGGCGTCGTTGGTCGAAGAGATGACATTTGCACTGACCAATCATTACAAGCGCGAACGAGAGATCAAGGAAGTCTCACAACACTACCAGATCAGACGGATGGCCGGTGTGCCGTCATCACTCACAATCGAAGTATCACTGAGCACTGGCCACGTCTGCACAATCAAGTTTGACAACGACTATCCACTGCATCCAACTGGCGCCATCAGACTGATCAGTGTACAAAGGCAAGGTCAGGCCATTGGCAGCGATCAACTCACTTCTATACACACTCAAGTACATCGACCTGATTGTAAATACGACTTGGCACAACTTATACAACACTTGATAGGTCTGCTTCAGAACTCATAAAGCATAATTCATTCAATCATTCATTCATTATTTCATTCGATAAGATGGCGCGAGCACTACTACTACGCACCCAATGATTGGTGGTGCGTTGGGAACCATGAACCTACTTGATTCTTGTTGCCCAACATTGAACTCACGTCCATCTTTAGCTTGGTTCGTGCCATCTTGACGAAGTACCCCAGGGACAATCACTTGTCCAGGTGGACCCCAACAAATGCCCATGGGTCGATCACATTAGATGTGATCCAATGATGGATCAATATTTGCACCTTCACCTCAAAGTGGACTCGTTCATTCTTCTACTCGGACCGACACACACACTAAAGCAAGCGAAGATACTTGACTTCACCTTAAGGTGAGGGCACACACCTACCTCTAGCCTGTTCACTCACAAATCGCCCCTTTGCAGGATGCGCGCAAAGCTACCAAACCGAGTGGAAGGGTGGGTTTGAGCGGGCACGTGGAGTGATGAAGATATTTGTGCAAATTGCTGATTCCCACAAGTTCTCATGAATAAGCACGGATCCCACGCGTGATCTTGGTAATCGAACTGGCATAGGTCGCCAGAGACGAGGGGGTGCCATGGCCTAGGATATTATTTGGCAAAAATGCCCCACTACTGTACCCTAACTTGTGTTTACGCAATCATTCATTCAAGACAATCTTGGGTGCACGGAACAGAGAGAACGGATTGATGGAAAGACAGGAGTGGAGGTCCACTCTTTAGGCCAATGGGAGGCAACAGGAGGTAATAAGAGGGTATGCCCAACATCCATCTGGTTTAACCTTACTTCTTCTTCTTGATGCTGTTTGTTGACATTGATTACCTCCTGCTCCTTCTTCTAGGATGAATGATTGGACTGTCTGAACATGACTGATTGAGGGATGTGAAAGTTGTTGTTAATAATGAGGTGGTTCATGTTAACATCCAAACACCATATTAATATTATTTGGTGTAATCAATATCACCTCATAGCAAGTTTACATTATTATTATTAGATAGCAACAACAACACAAACGATCTTTACTTCTAACGTCAACATATCTCAATATCAAGCTGTTGTTGATTTGAACTCTTCTCCACATCTTCCACAAAGTAATCAATCTTACAAATATATTACATAAATCTTATACTCAAGAAATAGACTTAAACAAAAGGTAAACAAATACACACAATCAATCAAACAATCAATCAATGAATCACCCACACACCATAGCCCAACCCCAAGCCCAACCAAACCCAAATCTATCCAACAATCAGTCCATCAATCATTTATTGTCAAAGTAGGGTAACCCTATGTCAACACTATAAATGGGGAGGGGGGGTCACAGAGTGTCATCGATTATGATTTGCGAGCCGACTGTCCACATCGGGAGGTGTAGAATGATAGTCGCAAGGTGGTGCCAAGGGTAGGTCAAGAGAGATACAGTTAATGTGGCCCGCATGTGATGTCGTTGCTTATGCTCCCGACCACCTGCAGACCTGTTGGCACCAACACCAACTACAAACCAACCATCAACCATCTAGAATAGATGGTATGTACCATCTATTATTTACCCCCCTCTCTTCATAACGCGATATTGATGGATCACGGGACCCGCGACCCTAGCCTGGTCCGTCCACACACTTCGAAATCATACTAGATATTAGATATTTTTTTGTAGGGTTTGATAGTTTTTCTCGAGATGGATGACTTTATTCGTTTCGTTTCATGGAGTGTGGAGTGAGTGATCACCTCCGTCTCCAACTCATGGATGCGGAGATATTTTGTTTCTTCCACATCCATCAATAATAGCTTAAGTGCACTATTATATCTTCCAAACATACATTATTGTTGTTAAGTTAAATTATTGATTCACAATATTCACTGTTTCTCCAACATTAACTTTAATCGATCAATCAATCAAATAATTAATTAACAATTATATCCATACTTAGTCAAATATATATAACAATACATTAAAAGATGGGCTGTAATGGTAGTACTATGAGCAAATCCAGTCAGCTGATTGACAAGGAGATTGCGGTGGACCGTAGGAATCAAGATAGAGAGATCAAGTTGTTGATACTTGGTGCTGGTGATTCTGGAAAGTCAACTATTGCCAAACAAATGCGATTCATTCATACCAAAGGCTTTGATGACGAGGAGCTGAGAACCTTCAAAGACATCATGCAATCAAACGTCCTACAATGTCTCCAACTATTACTACGCAATCTAGAGAACTACCAACTTCGAGTTTCCTCTGATCTAACAGTATGTACAAGTATCCAAGACTTGAATTGGACTGTCCACATACTAATCAATAATCTTCATTCATTAATGAACTCATTCTTTAGGACAAGGCCAACTTCTATTCCAACTGTAATCCATATGAACTGCCATTAACTGAGAATATGTGTAATGATATTACCAGTTTATGGCTTGATTCATCAGTTAGAGATGCTTTCAACAATTATAGACATGAGTTCAACTTACCAGAGGTAGCTTCATTGTAAGTACAATTATCCTATAGCCATATTAATTTTATATGGAAAGCGGTCATGTGACCAATCACGTGACAATCCAAATCAGTCACGTGATCCAAAAAAATATTAATATTTATTAACTCTTATATTCATCCAATCTATTATTCCAACTAAATAGTGCACTGGATAATGTACAGAGAATAGCTGGAGAACTATATGTTCCAACACAAGAGGATATTTTGAAGTGCCGCCAGAGAACTACTGGAATGAAGGAGACTGTCTTTAGTGTGGACAGTGTCAGGTTCCGTTTGCTGGATGTGGGCGGTCAGAAGAACGAGCGAAAGAAATGGATCCACTACTTTGAGGACGTCAAGACTATAATATACTGCGTGGCCCTTGGAGACTACAATATGAACCTAATAGAGGATGGCGCTACCAACAGAATGCACGACAGCGTCAAGCTGTGGACCGAGATTGTCAACAACAAGTACTTTGTCAACACGTCCTTCATCCTGTTCCTCAACAAGAATGATATCTTCCGTGAGAAGATCACCAAGGAGCCACTGTCCAACTACTTCCCCGAGTACACTGGTGGCCTCAACTATGAGCACAGTCTGGAATTCATCCGCAACCAATTCCTACGTCCAGTACCAGTAGGCAAGACCGTTGTAGCACATGTGACCACAGCAACTGACACTCAGAATATATCCGTCGTCTTTGATACTGTTAGACACTCCATCGTCACACAGTTGCTCAAGACTCACTTCTAATCATACGCTCAATCATACCAACAATCAATCACACACACACAAACCATCAATCAATCAATCATAATTCATCCTACGTCCGACACAACTGACAACATTCCAAAATGGAATAGTTCCATTGTATTGTAATTACATGTACCTCCTCCCCAACTCAATCAATCCATTCTCTCAAGTCATGCGACACCATGCCATTCACTCCCAATCAATCATCCACTCAATCAATCCAACAACATCATACAATATCGATTGCAACTTAATGGTTCCAATAAGGTCATCTTCCAACCACAACTCATTCCTCTTCCTACACAAGTGTTCCTTCCTAACACTCTATTCAATAATAAACTATTCATTACCATGCCTTCCAAACTGTTTATCCATTATCCATTATCCAAAGGTTAACACAACAACAAATGATGAGATGATTACAATGTTTGGTTACGAAACTATCGCCTTTATTATTGTATGTCTCTGGCACTGGAATGCAGGAGATTAATACGCTTAGTCGAAGAGACCCATTCCCATATCGTCATCAGACTCCTCCTTCTTCTCCTCCTTCTTTGGAGCAGCAGCAGCAGCAGCTGGGGCAGCGGCGGCGGCGGCGGCAACTGGGGCAGCAGCGGCAGCGGCGGCTGGGGCAGATCCGATCTTGCCTCTTCCGGCGGCAATCACGGCGTTGATGTCCTTACCAGCGAGCTGGGCAACGACGGCCTCAACACGGGCGGCATCAGTGACGGCACCGACGGAGGCGAGAACCTTGGTGACATCAGAGGCAGATGGGGTGGCGTTACCACCGAGAACGCACAAAAGGTAAGCAGACAAGTACTTCATCTGTTGGTTTTATGTTTGTCAAAGAGTTATGTTTGTTAGATATTGGTTCATCCTTGGTGTTGTCATCCCATTCATTCATCCATTCATTCGATCTCTCTTCTTTATCATGTATCCTGTATCTATGTTTGATCGCGATGCTGTTTCATTCATTCATTCATTCTTTCATTCTTGTCGCATTGATCGATGGCGATGGGATTGAGATGGATGATTGATATATACTTTAGAGGGAGATGTTGATGCAGGTGGCCTAAGCTATAGATGATAGTAAAGGAGACAGAGTAGAGTCGTTTTAACACAAAGCCTGAATGAAGACAACCCTGCAGCCACTTAGTGTCTCGCATCCTCCATCCAAACATCATCAAAAAATCAAAAATAAATTCAAAACAAATCTTTTCAATCTCTTCCTTTCCCTTTCATTCGAACTTCCAAACCATCTTAGTTAAAGCCTCAAGATTGTTTGTTTCATTGATTGAATGGTCATTCATTCATTTACTTATTATATATATATGTATATGTTATATATATTACAAATAAAGTAGATTAAAGTAGAAAGATGGATCGTAATGGTGGAGGTTATGTTAATAATCCAAGTCTGTTAAAGGTTCAACAACAACAACTACGTGGAAAGATATCTGAGGAGTTGAGTGATGATGATGGTTTGGATATTGACGATACTGCATCAACTGCATCAACTTTATCACAAAATGATCATGATCATCAACAACAACTACTACAAACACAAGTGCTTGATGATGATGATGCCAACTCTGATGAGATTGCACCAACACAGCCTGTCGCCGACGACTTTGAACTAGATCGTTCAGACACAATGTTGATTAGCAATGAGGATATGGGAGATGACATCACAAAAGACAACAACAACAACAATGTCAATGTCAGTGGCAATGGCAATCACTATCACAATCTTGTTCGCTTAAAGTCCACACTGAGGGACCACGAAATACCATTCAGCGAACTGGTCGTCGAGCGTGAGATTGGCAAAGGATTCTTTGGCAAGGTGTACAAGGCAACCTGGCGCGGCAAGAGTGTGGCACTCAAGAAGATCACGATATCCCGCTTCAGGGACCGCTCTGACTCTGACCTGTTCACCAAGGAGTTGTCCATCATCAGCAGACTCTGCCATCCAACCTGTGTCATGTTCATTGGCGCCTGCTCGACCGACCCCAGCAACCGCTACATAGTCATGGAGTACATGGCCGGCGGGTCGCTGCGCAAGTTCCTGGACGAACGTGCCTACCTCATCACACCCAACCTGCAACTGGCAATCGCACGCGACATTGCCGATGGAATGTGCTATCTACACACCAACTTTGATGAGCCAATCATACATCGCGACCTCACCTCGTCCAATGTGTTGCTCAACGGTGACTATTCAGTGGCCAAGATCAATGACTTTGGCCTGTCAAAGGAGATGAAGTCTGGCCACAACGAGATGACTGCGGCCATGGGTTCGATGGCCTGGATGGCACCCGAGAGTTTCCGTGGCGAGAAGTACACCGAGAAGGTGGATATCTACTCGTTTGCCATCTTGCTCTGGGAGTTGATCACATTGAAGGACCCTTACTGCGGTATGGAGCCGCTCAGGATGGCATTCTTGGCCAACATGTACGATTATAGACCACCACTCAATCAGATACCATCACAATGGCAACAGTTGATCTCAAGGTGTTGGCATCCCAAACCAGAGCAACGACCATCATTCAAAGAGATCTTGGTATTGATTGATCAGATTGAGCAAAACAGCGCAGCGTCCTCTATATTTATGATGCCGCCAACACTGAACATCAAGCCATCACTGTCATCAGCATCACCATCATCTTCACAACAATCGAATTCATCATCTTTTACTCCTCCCGCGAATGTGACGCCCAACTCATCATTCATTCAGCAACCACAGCAGATGGCACAGCCTCCACTCAATCGATCAGTCACAATGTCAGACTATAGTGGCAGTGGCGGTGGATCTGGTTCAGGCAACAAGGGATACTACGCGTCACAGGGCATGGAGTACGAGACAGTGCCCACGACATTGACCAAACAACAGTCTTCAAACCTATCACTCATCAACAACGAACCAGTCCGACTGTTTGGACAACCCACTCATTCATCCGCTGGCATCATATCATGTCTAGACAGCACAACAGATCAACAACACCAATACCTAATGGTTGGCTACAGAGATGGAGCATTCATTAGGTCATATGATCTTGGCACAGAAGTATGCAACAACACATTTGTCACAAGGCCACCACTGCAATCACAACAACAGATACAGACCACAACAAGTCTACTGGATTGCACTACTACATTGGTGAACAATAGGAGGTTCATGGCAGGTGCAGGTGGCGCAGTCAATGGTATGACGGGAAGTGGATACATCAGTTTGTGGAGTGTTGATGGTGGTCAACAGGAGGAGTACACCGCGCCAATCAAGACATTATATACACCTGGCAGCGCAATCGAGAGGGTCAAGTGGAGTTTCCAAAACCTGGTGACATCATCATCACAGGAGAATACCATCAGGATATGGGATGTGGAGAAAGGCGTCTGTGTTAGTACGTTGGATGCCGGCGCTGCACAACTCTCAATAGACACACTACCCTACCAACCATTGATCGTGTGTGGAGGTGTAGACAAGCGTGCCAGGCTCTGGGACACCCGAGCCAACTACTTTTTCCGAACATTCACCGAGAGTGGACCCATCCAACAAGTCAAGTTTAGATCTCCCAACAATGATCCAGTGCTCATGGTATGTGTAAACAAACTGGAGTCGAAAGGAGCACGCACTAACATTGGTATTCCATCAATCAATCCAATCAGATTGGAACACAAGAAGGAGTGTTCAAGGTTTGGAACATGTATATATCACAATGCGTCAACTCGATGTTGTCACATTCAGCGCCAATCATTGGAATACACAGCAACTATGACGTCAAGGAGGTGCTTAGTCTAGCATCAAACAACACTATGGTGCGATACAAGTATGAAGACACCAGTCAGGACCAGATGAAACATGTCCGTCGATATCCCTCCAAAGGAGAAGTGTTGGGCGACCCAACCATTGGCGCACCTCCACTGACAGCCGCGCACTTGATCTCCTCCAACAACATTGTCTATGTACAAGCCGATAAACTGTACGTAATGGCCACCTGATGATGATGCCGTGTTGGCATCACATCGTCAGGAGATAGCTCGAGCATGTATTCTTTATGTTTGTTGTTGTTGTTGTTATAAGGTTTATTATTGGTCGAGAGGGATGTTGGTTACTTGTGCTTCTTGGATGTCGATGATGCACTCTTGCTAGACATGATAATGATGGCAATGACCACCACTAGCGAGCCTACACCGGTCACAAACAGGGTGGCATCACTGATGAATTTTTGTAATGACAGCTGGCCAACGGGCACCTCGATGCGTAGCGACTCGACATATGTTGCCAAGTCAAGACGCTGCCACTCATCCGACTGGCACTTAATATAGACTATTGGTGGTGATACCACGGACACACGATAGTTTGATGTGTTTGGGTTCTGGTAGCGCAGATGGAATGGCAATGACACGTTGACCTCAACGTGACCAGCCTGTGGCGTGAAGCTGACTGATGTGGCCACGTAGTTCTGTGTGGAATTGTAGGATGGCTTCTCGAGGTCGATCAGTTGATAGAGATGGACGTTGGGTCCGCCGAAGCGTTGAATCTCGCTGACCTCGTATTGGTCCACGAATGCGCCCTGATCAAAGTTGTCCAGAATAGTGAGGAAGCAGTGTGCGCTTGACACCTTGGTGTCCAATGTTGGGTGGATCGACAACTGAGTGAACAGCTCTCTGTGGAAGCCCTGCTTGCGTGCCTCTCTCAGGTTGACCTTGGCCGTCCAGCTTGGGACAGCCTGCTTTGGCGCCACGTTGGCGACTGCCGCAGTAGCACTGCCATCGGACCCCAGTTTGATGTCCTGGCTGCTCTCGCCTTGAAGCAGACTAATCGATGATGTGACCAGAGGTTGAGGGTTGTACGTCAACTTGACACTTTGTGAGCCGATCGAGATGACCTCGTTGAAGACCATTTGCAATCGTCCGCTATTATCCTGTCGTCTGAGCTTGATGCTCTTGCCAATCGATTGAACGGCGGCTGAGGATGAGGCCAGGATGATGGGTGTGATTGGTGACCTGTTGTCCTGCTGAGGCTGGCGAGTGCTCGACAGTGCAGACATCCATCCAGTGGGCGCAAAGTCGATGTGCTGCTGGAGGAACCTCTGTTTGGCACCTGGTGTCTTGATGATCGACGGGTCGCTCGTCTGATCAAACAGTGGCAGGCTTAGTTCGCGTGGCACCAAGCCCATAAACACAAGACTGGCGATTGGTGACTGACGTGAGAGTGGCAACAGAGGATGACCGATCAGTGCCTCGATCGTGCGACAGACGAGAGCGCTGTCGTTCAGCGACATCTGCTTGACGGTGGAGTAGTGCTCCATGTGTATCTTGCTCGACGTGTCTTTGTAGTCCACAGTTATTGAGAGTTGAGGAGACTCGGTGCTCAGCTGTGGGTAGTAACGGTTCAACTGTGCTCTTGTTGGGTTGGTGCTGGCGGCAATGGCAGTATCAGTGGCAGTGGCAATGTGTTGGTTGTAATGTACGTTGATCTCTGTGATGTCATCGTCATAGATTTGAACATTGTTGGTGTATTGATCAATGTTGTCAAAGACCAATGTATGTGACATATATATAGTTGTTGGGTTTGTCGATGATTTGATCAGAATAGAGTTGGTATTCGTTGTTGTTGTTGTTGTTGGTAATGTTTTAAACTCTAGTTCATCATCATTCTCTGACCAAAACAATAGAGTCTCACTTGCTGCTGTTGTTGTTGTGGTTGTTGATGTAACAGCTGCTATTAATATTAGCAGACACAGCTGCAGCAACACTGTTTGCTTCAAAGCTGACATGTTGTAATTATAAGTATGAATGTATGTATGATTGTCGACAAAAGTAAGTTTGATGTTCACCAAGTCCTCAAAAACACACTAATTTTTGACTTTAGAATTTTTTTGATTATCTGATTGTCTTTGATTGCCTTCCATTTATTTCAATGACAGACTCGATGTTATAATTAAACGTTATCAATTGATACATCCAAACCATTGTGATCGGGCTTGGCTAAGTTGACTCTTGGACCTGGTATGATTGGTGCTGAGACTGGAGCTTGAGGTGCGGCAACTGCAGCAGGATGAGGTTGAACTGGGACCGGAGCAGGAGGAGTTGGATGATGAACTGGATAAGGTTGAATTGGATGCAATTCTCTTTCTCTCTCGGCAACCATACGAATCCTTCTTAGTTTTTCTTCTCTAAGTGCTTCTTCGGCATTTTTGCGTCTGTTGGCTCTTGATACTTTATAAATAGCAGCTCCCATTAATACCAATACTGCAACTGGTATCATAATAACAAGTAGAATTGTCCTCCTTTTAGTACGTTCTTCATCAGCTTCTTCCATTTTTGATTTAGGTGGACTTTTTGGACTACACAATTGACATATCTCAGTGTCAATGTAGGTTGATGAACTACCATAAGGTACTACACAATCATATTGACTTCCATAATAGTTAACACAATCTCCTCTATTTTCAATTCTTGTACAACAATTTGTAGCAGACTCTGCTGCTACTATATTATTTAAATATAATATTATTATTGATATAATTAAAATAAAGTTATATATTTTCATTATATATTAATACTTTGTAATTATATTATTATTTGTATAAGTATTAGTAATAGATAAGATAGTAGGTATGATATCATTGATGATGGACCAGACTGGCGAGTCGTATTTATTCATGAGTCTAATCACTGGTCAAATCTAAGATGAGGGAAATTAGGTACCCTAGGTTTGCGAATGTCAGTTTATTTTTTTATGATCCGGAAACCGTGTCAAACCAAAATAGGAACTCATCTGATTTCATGTCGATATGATATTTGACATTGTCCCGATTTAGTAATAATTATAAATATATATATATATTATGAACGGTTTATTCCTATTCATTGTCGATTGGGACAACTACATAATCATTCTTTTTTGCCAGGTTTACTCTAGGTCCTATATTATTATTATTATTATTATTATTATTATTATTATTATTATTATTATTATTATTATTATTATTATTATTGTTATTATTATTATTGTTATTATTATTATTATTAACTGATGGAGCCCTATCTGGACCTGGATTAATATTGATGACAACCTCATTCAATCTTGTTGGAGGTCTGTTTGGTCTTTGTTGTTGTTGTTGACGAGCACGCAACTCTACAGCTGCAGCCGCCTCTTTCTTTTTTTGTTTGGCATCCTTCCTAAACGACCTTACAATCATTGCTATTATAAATATTACACAACCAACAATTATTGGAACTATATAAGTTACTGGATCGACTTTCTCGTTATTATCATCTTGATTATTTGAGTTGGAGGTTGTGAAATAGGTGGTGTAATATGAGGTGTAATATGAGGTGTAGGTGTAGGATGAGGAATAGGGCGATGGTGTTCCACTTGTGAATGCTGAATATGTTGTTTGAAATGCGAAAGGAGTGCAGTATTTACATATAATTGTACCTGGGTATACTACTGAGGTATACTCTGTTTTGGTTGTACATGCACCATTCGGAATAGGTGCATTTAAACAATCATTTGTCAAATAATTAATTGAACAACAGGATCTTGTTGTGGATGTTGTGGATGTTGTTGTCGATGTTGTAGATGTTGTTGAATTTGTAGATGTTGTTATGTTTGACGAAGTTGTTGATGTAGTTGATAATGTAGTTGAATTATCTATTGATGTTGTTGGAGTTGTAGTAGTAGTAGTAGTTGTTGTTGTTGTGGAATTATCTGTTGAAGTCGTTGGAGTATCTGTAGTAGTAGTTGATGTGGTATTTGATGTTGTAGATGATGAAGTTGATGTTGTTGATGTTGTTGATGTTGATGTTGTTGTTGTTGTTGTTGGAGTTGTAGTAGTAGATGTTGTTGAATTATCTGTTGAATCAATAGCCAGAACAACATTATTTGGTTGCCATGATAATAATAATAATAATACAAATAATGTGGAGATAATTATAATTGATCTATTTAAATACATTCTTGAATATATATATATAAGTTTTATATCTTTGTTTTATTAGAGTACAGTAACACTTATGTTTGATCGGCTGATCAGTTCTGTTGATTATTCTTATCCTATTGGTCATCCACAGTTTGAAGGGATGAATGAAGGGTTAGATATGAAATTGAGGGGAATCACTTTTCTTGCATTGCCAAGCGAGTGGGTTTTGATTAACGCCAAACTCCAAATTAGGAAAGTGAATGCATTCATTCGGTTTTGGGCTTAGGCCTGGTGGAGGGTATTGGTTAAAGGAATGCAATCACACATTCCTAGGGATCATCAATCACGACGACGGCTCAGCTGGTGAAGGGTCGTCATGTTTATTCGTTGCACTCAAGTGTGTTACTGTCAAAGGGGGAACACCTGATTGTGTTATTCTTGATCAGGACTTGAGATCTTGATACCTAGTAGTTTGAGGTAATGTGGCGCCTTATCTTGTATGAGTTGCTGATGTGAGCCTTGATGTACAATCCTACCATGATCCAATACAAAGATGTGATCGACAAAACTCTGCAATGAAACAATGTCATGAGAGACAATGATCAGAGTGATGTTGTTGTTCTCTGCAAACTGGAATAGCTTTGGGAAGATCACCTCGCGCTTCTTGAACGCGTCCATCTGAGACATGGCCTCGTCGAGGATAACAATCTTGGCCTCAGTCCTCACAAAGATTCTGGCGAGCGCGATCGACTGCGCAAAGCCGCCACTGATGTTCTTGCCACCGAGCTCGACGACCTGGTCCAGCACAGGGTTGTTCTGATGGTCGTGTGACTCGGGCACGATGGGGGGTGGCTCCTGCTCGACCTCATTGTCCGAGTCGTTGTCATTGTCCATCGAAGCCAAGTTGATGACGGACCACACTCTCTGCACCAGCTTGTTGGACTCAAGGTCCTCGCCCTTTAGACAGGCCTCAATGTTGCTCTTGTCGTCGCTGCCGTCCATCCTCGAGCTCTTGGACGTGTCCGAGTCCAGTCCATCAGTGTAGCCCTTGGATCGCTTGAGCATCGACTGTTGTTGACTCTGTTGTAGTATCGTCTCGCACACAGTATGATCGATACAAGTAGTGGTAGTGGTACTCTTTCTCAGATTGATCGAAGACGACGATGATCCCAGTGGTGTACCAAATGGCTTCATCTCGTCCAAGTTGTCATTGCTATAGTCCAATGAGTGCTTCATGTTATTGTCAGAGGCAAATGCAAACACTCCTGCTGCTGACGCTGCCTCAATGACTAAGTGATTGTGTGTTTGAGTGAGTAGATCGGACATGGACGTGGACGTGGCGATGTTACTTACTCTGCTCCTCTGTAGCGTTGGGATTGCCAACACGGATGTTGTCGCGGACTGTACCATGGAAGATAAAGGGACGTTGTGATACGTAGGATATCAGACGTCTGATGGATGACCTTGAGATCTCCCTGTAGGGTATGCCATTCATGAGCAATTCGCCTTCCTTTGGCGAGAAGATTTTACAAAGTATGTGATTGAGCGTTGACTTGCCTGCTCTGTTCTGTCCAACCAAAGCATATTTCTTGCCTGGAAGTATCTATATTTGATTGATTGATTGTTAGAATGAGCATGAGGCATGTATCATTGATTGATTCGAATGTACTTACAGACATCTCACCCTGTAGGTCGAGAACAGGGAGTGGAGGCAGCAGGGAGAACTTGTTCTCATAGGAGTATTTTACATTACGTATCGTTAGTTCCTCGAATCTATATACACTGTGGATGATGGAGGTGGAAGTGGAATGGAGTGGAATGGATTGGATTGTTAGTGGACAGTCCATGGACGACAACGATCATGGGCAATGACACATACCTTTTAAGGTTTCCATCCTCCTCGATAAAGGTTGGAATATCCAACAGCTCCTTAACCTTCTTCTGGTGTTTGTATATATGCTTGAAGCTACTCAGTGAGTGAAGTACCTTCTTTGCCAGACGACTTTGATTGATTGATTGAGTATGAGTGAGTGAGTGAATGAGTGATGGACCTGGCTCGTTCAAAGATATACATATACATACAGTACTCGATTGATCTCCAACAACATTGTCCTGTACTCTTCGTTGTTGATACGCTGTCGCAACATGACTTTGTGAGCCACCCATACCTCGGTGGCAAACTCAAAGACTGAGCGGTTGTGGATGGATCGCCATACTTTACTGACCAACGATGAGAAGGACTGGGCATGCTCCAGCTCCTTGTCGATGAGGTTGTCAAAGAGCGACAGTTGTGTCTCTTGCAGATTGTTGACCTGGATGTCGGACAGGCCCTCGAGCGTGTTGGTGACCATCTTGCTCATGGCCACCTGATAGGTGTCGCGGAACTTGATCTCGTTGTTCTCGACCAAGTGCTGTCGCAGTCGCTGACTGACCTTCTGGTAGATGGCGATCAGTATCGGATGGAGGATGATGAGTGGGTCGATCTTCTTGCGACGGCTAAACAGATCGGAGCCCTCGACCAGCAGTGCGTACATTGCTGCAAAGAACTCGGGCAGTGTGTACGTGAAGAATGAGATGGTCGTATTGATCGAAGATGATATCTTGAACTCTAACTCCAATGGTCCAATGTTATTCTTCTTCCTCAGGAAGTCAAATGCTCCAATCTCAGAGTATAATAGCTTCTCCATAACCATTCTTCGAATGAATAACTGATTCTCTGTTGCCTGTTATGATGTGGATTGATCAGTCAGTGATTGATTGAATGAATGAATCAGATGAGATGAGATACATACTACAAGCTTGATGAGATGACTGTTGATATTGTCAAGAATGGCATAGTATATGGTAAGTAGTACGTACTTGACCACGATGGAGTGTCCATATTCGCTGTTGGTCGACATCCTATGTGTGATATCCACTCGCAATGACCTCAGGTAGTTGCCAATCTTTCTCTTTGATGTATACCATGGCAGTATCTAGTGATTGAGAGAGTATGTGTAAGTATCCCATCATTCAATAATGATGTATAGATCATCATCATCATATCATTCATTACCTCTAGTATAATAGGTATGATATAATGCGCAGTGACAGTCTTTAACAATAGTTTCTTGTTGCTGTTCCACAAGTATCGATAGAACACATAGATAGGCATGGCTCTGAGCAGTGCCCAAAGCCGCAGTAGCCTATCACGTATCCAGCTGTGGTAATACAGCATCTCTATCTCTCTCCTCTTCTTCTTCTTCTTCCTCTGCTATACTATATATAAGTCTTAAGATTGTCGCGTCCTTTTGTTGTCAATTCAATAAATAACAAACATCTATATATGTTAATAATAAGTGCTAATGTATATTAATTAATATAATAGAATGAATGACTGATACAGGTTGAATGAATGAGGAATAGGATGATGCTATAACATGAGTTTAATGTGATTGACTGAAACTCAGACCCTCTTTAGGATCATCGCCACTCTTCCACATCTTGACCAAACACAAAACAAACACACAACCTGCAAGGGATCGCTTCACCCCAGATATCTGTTTGTTGGTTTGCTTGAGATTCGTCGTCGACAACACTCCACTTAGTGTGTTGTTGTAGATTGAATTGAACATCCACAATTAAGATGGATGCATTGTGTGCTTTGTCATTGACTGGAGTCTCACAATTGAATCTAGAGTATGATGTATCATGTTGTTGATATTGAGATCATGATGATGTCCACGAATGTGAAGGGTCGTTCATTTATTTACAAGTTCATCGGTGAATGATCGATTCATTTCTTGAACTGGATTGGTTGATTGATTCGGTGTTAACCAAGATGTATCATTGATCAAGGGGACAGAGGACTGCCACTTACCTTGATTCTATTTTGATAAAAGTCCAACAACTTCTGTGGATCATTCTTTCTCAGTTCAATGTTGGTAACATAAGAATGAGTGTTCTTTCCTTTCCTGGATTATTCGATTGATTGATTGAAGGAATTAGAATGAATGGACTTGAAGTTTGGATATTGTGAACTTACCATTTTACGTAGAAACAAAGTTGTCCAAGATATGAACAACCAACGATGCGATCCACTTTGTCACCTTTACTGAATCCAGAATTCTAGTCGTGGATTGTGTCTGGCGATATAAGATTGGTGTTGAAATGCTTGGGTGGTCTGCCACGCTTCTTTGGTAATGATATCAATGATGCTGATCCACTATCACCATTGGCATCTGGTCTGCTTGCTCTTGCCTTTATCTTCTTATTATCCTTCTTTTCTTGTTTCTTTAAATCCTTTATGCTCGTGCCACTACTTCCACTTGTGCTCGTGCTCTTTGTGGATGTACCTGTAGTTGTACTAGTACTTGGGTTGGTACTTGTATTCATTGGGTCATCATTATCGGAGGAGGAGGATGAATCTGAGTCGCTATCACTATCATTGTCACTGTCGCTATCGCTATCATTGTCACCAGATGATGATGAGCCACTGTTATCGTCAGAGACAGGGACAATGTTGGTGTTGTGGCCACTCGATTGATGAAGAGAAGATGAGGAGTCTGCAGAGTTGACCAATTGATTACGAGGTGATGGTAATGATGATGAATTGTTGATGTTGTTGTTCTTGCCCAGGCTTGCCATGATCTTTGAAGAGTATACAGATTGATTTGGAGCAAATGGGAATTCCTCCAATATCAATAATGATAGTTGTTGTCTAAAATTGCTGGACAGTTCTAGACAGTACTCATCGATCAACTCCTGAGTGAGTACATCTGATGCTTTCTCCCATGTTGACTTGGAACGATCCTCATCTTTCCAGAAAACCAAGAAGTACAATTCATTGTTCTATTGTTTATTTGTTAGTTAGTTAGTTGTTTGTCAGTCTGTGTATAACTCCATTCCGATCCATCAATCCATCCATCAATCTATCCATCCACATTACATACATAAAAATGTTGTGATAATATATGTTTGATGTATTCCTTTGCCTCTTTCCTTGTGCTTAACATACTTTGTAAAGTGTATTTGTATGTTATATATGTATATTATATGTATGACGTAGTCCAAAGGAAAGAAGAAAGAATGAATGAATGGAATTGAATGCGGGTCAATCAAAGTGTTCATGTCACTTTGGTTCGTTTAGTCGACACAAACACCCACACTGTTTGGATAGACGGCAGACAATCGGTCAAACAAAGGTGTTGGCACTTCAGCAAAAGACGAAAGATTGGGTTTCGGGTAAGTTTGATTGATGACCCATCGCACTGTCATCCTATCAATCATAAATACATACATACATACCATACAAACATACATTATACTCATAAATATACATATTCATATAATAATAATAATGTCATCAAGAATTATAAAGGAGAATAGAAGATTGGTGTTGAGTCTTTATAGAAGGTGTATGAGGTCATGTCTAGAGTGTCCAAAGTTCTCAAACAGAGAGATGATGACATTCTATACAAGACAGAAGTTTAAGTATGTGTCTATATTGATTGGTTGTTAGTTTGATGAATATGGATACTGACCCAATAATAGTGATAACAAAGTAATCAATCCTAAGGATATAGAGACGATAGAGTCATTGTTGAAACAGGGTGAAGAGGAACTAGCATCAATGAATCAATATCATGAACGTATGATATCATCATGAATGAGTGGATGGATAGAAAGATGATCGATACTAACTAACGACACAAACTATATGAACGAACGAATATAGTGCGGAATAAGAATAAGAAAGGTGAAGAGATACTTGATGATGAGCTGTTTGGAATAGATATGAACGATGATATTGATAACATTGATGTAAAGTCAACAACGACAACAACATCTATAGGGTCAACATTGGACAAACATTGATTACCCGCCGGATCGATCGGTAGGGTTGTATGGATTGATTGAAGATAGTGTAGCGAGTGGAGTGCCGATGCCCCTCCTCCATCTTCTCCCATTCCATCCTACCCTCCACACACATATTCTGTAAATACACATATGCTAGATAACCAGAGAGAATGGCAGAGCCAATCTTTATTCTATCTTTAACCTTTGGATGATCCAGCACTTGGTCACTCACAGGTCATTAATTGGAACGCCATTCATTCATTCATTGGGATGGTTACTACTCAAAGATGGATGGATGGTTGAATGGATGGTTAGGTTATGTCTCTTTCGTCTGTACAGCAGAGAGCGTTTGAACTACTTTACCATTTAGCAGCAGCAGCAGCACAGGGACTTGAACTTCTTCTTCAAGTAGACCATCATCATCTTTGATTTGACTGACATTGTTTTACAGATAATGTATTTGTATAATAAGTATTATTATATTTGGTTTGGTTTGATTGATTGATTGATTGAATGAATGACGTTGGTCCAACGCCCTTTTGTGGATTCTGTCCTGTATGTGGTCCAGTTTGGACCTCCATTCATTCATTCTCAAAGTCGGCTGTTTCATTCATCACACAAAAATGGGGGTGTGATTTGATGGGATCGTTTTCTTTCTTCAGACTCGACTAAATCAAGTGCCGAGATGGTACGAATAGTCCATCACTAACACAACACAGTGCACAATCCTATCTTATATCTCTTTTTTTAGACTCAATCAATTATCTTTGAATTAATGTGGTCCACATTGATCATTTTGGTAATTGTATACAAATAAAGACACAATCTATAAATGTCTACTTTTAGATTATCGGTCCAATCAATCAATCAATTAATAATGTTAATACAAATTGGTTACCAATGATCCTTGAACATTCGTTCGTTTTTTTGGACCCAACTGACAAACAATCACGTGTTTTGCAATTTATGAATGAACAAGACGAGTCATGAGTGTTGTTGTAATTTATTGGGAAGTTTAGTTGTCATTGTAGATAGACAGATACACAGGTAGTAATATGTATAGATATATATCATCATCTACTATTGGTAGTGGTGGTTACTTAACATCATTGACAAGAGGATGGTGTATAGGTACTTCATCGTCAACATCATCATCATTGTCACTTCATTTTGGAACAAGATCAATCAAACATTATTATTGTACAATCAATCAAACAAGTAACATTACAAATAATAACAAGGCGTCATCATCATCATCATCATCAATCATTGGCAACAACAACAACAACAACAATGGCATTGACAGCAAGAAAGCATTGGATGCATTATTGGGCAATCGTTCAAGACTTGATGAATCAACAACTACATCATCATCGACATCATCGACATCATCGACATCATCGACAGATACAAAGTTTATTATAAAGTATAATGGATTACTGTATAAGGTCGATGCACCATATGGACCGGATACATCTGTAAAGACATTCATCGCAGCACTTCAACAATCAAAGTTGCTCAAAGAGAAGATCGAAGAGACAAAGGACAAAAAGATATCATTGTTGGGTAGTCGACAAGTCACTGCGCCATCATACTCCCACGAGCTATTCCTGCCCAATGGCCAAGTATGTCTGCCCAACACCAGCATCGGCAAATACCCTCGCGATACCCAGTTCGAGCTGAGAGAGTTTGGTATGTTCATAACTGCGACGACCAAGCCATGACACGACACGACACGCTAACCAACGAGCCACTTTCAATGAATGATTGATTGATTGATTTAGACCCAAAGCATTACGCCAATCATATAACATACGATAGCGCTTATGATGCTCTGTTTCATGTGGCCAGCAGAAATAACTTCATGGAGAGGTACAGCCTCGATGAGGAGGGACTTGACAAGTACATTCGTGCATTCGAGCATGAGTTGGCCATCGGCAATCCCAAAGAACTACGCGAGCTACAGATTAACAAAAGTAAGTTGATTGATTCATTGATGTGATTGATGTGATTGATGTGATTGACTGACTCATCCGCCAATCCTCCATCCATTCGTTTACAACAGACACCAAGTTCGAATTGATCGATACGTTGATGGAGTTTATTGAAGAAAAGATTAGAGCAGAGATCAAGGCAAAGAAGAATAGAAAATCAGCAAGTGATGATGTCATTACATTGACTGGATCATTGAAGGAGTTGGCCGATCTCAAACATCCACACAACTGGTTTACGCATGCCAGACGCTTGAAGCGCAGGTTCGTGCTGCACGTCGGCCCCACCAACAGTGGCAAGACGTACAACGCACTCAAGGCGCTCAAGGAGGCAGAGAGCGGTGTGTACTGCGGCCCCCTCCGTCTGCTGGCCAACGAGGTCTATGGACGTTTGAACAATGATGGCGTCAAATGCAACCTGCTCACTGGACAACAGCGCATCGAGGTACAGGACTCCAATCACATTGCCTGTACAATTGAGATGGTCTCCACCAATGCCATCATCGACTGTGCCGTCATTGATGAGTTCCAAATGATTGGCGACCTGCAGCGTGGATGGGCGTGGACACGTGCCATCCTTGGAATCCCCGCCCGCGAGCTACACTTGTGCGGCGACAACACATCGGTCAAGCTCGTTCAGAGTCTGTGCGAGCTCACTGGCGACTCATTCGAGGTCAAGTACTACGAGCGACTGGCGCCACTAAAGCTGGAGGAGAAGTCGGTCAACTGGCGCACGAACGCCAAGAAGGGTGACTGCATCATTGCTTTCAGTCGCCGCGAGATCCTCGACATCAAGGCAGCGGTCGAGCGCAGAGGCCTCAAGTGCGCCGTAGTCTATGGCGCGCTGCCACCCGACACTCGTGCCAACCAGGCGAAGCTGTTCAACACTGCCGACTCTGGCTACGACATCTTGGTGGCATCAGACGCCGTGGGCATGGGTCTCAATCTCAACATTGCCCGCGTGATCTTCTCGTCGTTGGAGAAGTTTGACGGCATCAAGATACGCGAGCTGGCTCACTCAGAAGTCAAGCAGATCGCCGGACGTGCCGGCCGTTTCAGCTCGGGCCACAGCACGGGCTTGGTCACGTCGGTCAACCGCAAGCTCAATCGTCGCATCCAGATCCTGTTGGGCATGCCAAACAATGTGACTGAGCGTGCCGCAATCTTCCCGCAAGACGAGCAGCTGGAGGCGTTCGCCAAGCTGTCCAAGAACAGGCTGTTCTCCGATCTGCTCAAAACATTCATCCAGTTCACCAACCTGGACAAACACTACTTCATGGAGATGTGCGACGAGAAGGTCAACATCGCCATGTTGATCGATCACATTCACATGCCCATCAAGGACAAGTATAACTTTGTCCTGGCACCCATGAGGATCAAGACATCACAGGACACGCAGCCATTGATCGAGAAGTTGTTCATAAGATATGCCAACAAGTTTGCCGCCGACCAACAAGTCGACCACGGCGTCAACATGCCATTTTGCGAGGACAATGAGAACCCATTGGAGCTACAGCGCTATCTCCAGTATTTGGAGGATGCCTACTCCATCCTGGACATGTATCTGTGGCTGGCGTCCAAGTATCCAAGTCAGTTTGTACAGCGTAGACAAGGCTTTGACCTCAGTGTCAAGGTGAACCAAGCCATCACCGACACACTGATACGTCTCTCCGAGTTGAGGACCAGGCACAGACAAGAGCGCATTCAAAAGAGAGTAGAGGTCAAGAATTATGAATCAAAGTTGTGGGAGATTGCACAGGCAGGTGATCGATATACAGGTGACCAATAAACTATGATTCCAATAATGAATTGATTGATTGATTGAGTGAGTGAGTGTGGAATAGTTCCTGATTCTTGATTGGTTGATGCTGTGCCAAGTTTGGTATTAACAAAGACACTTAGTCAAATTGAACGATTTACTTTAATAATTCAAAATTAAATAAATAAAATTGATGAACCGAACGAATGTGATGGTGTGAGAGGTGGGGTGTATGATCACGAATGACCCCCCTTGAACTCAGCTGACACACCATCAATCCCCCCACTCGTCAAAATTACAAAACAAAAAATCGATTATAAATCAAATCAAATAAAGTGATGCAATACGAACGAAGATTTCGACTCTGATTCAAAATTAAACACAAGCACTGCTTGGAACTCTCACTCTAAAGTGCGCGCACCAATACATCCTTCCGTCCATCCATCCACCAAGTTGAGTTGAGTGTGCAAGTGACCCTACCCTTACTTTACCTCAACCAATGCTAAACATACAAGCACACACCTAACATCAACCAATCAATCACATACACACCTCTACAACTAACATCAAGAGTCTATTTATTAATTAATTAATACATACATATCATTATTATTACATCAACATTAATAATAACATCATCCAACAACTTGCTTCTCAACATCATTCATTCATTCATTCATTCAATCACATCACATCACATAACATCAAACATAGCTCAATCAATCAATCACATAACATCAGTCGCAGACACAATCAATAGATCTAAATTAGTTCAAGAAGCAGGTACAGACACAAGGCTAACCGTAGCACCATATAACACCCCTTTCGATGATGGTGTCTTCGGTTGAGCTTGGTCGACGCAGTAGCTCCAGCCGGAGACGCACTCAGAGTCAACCGGAACAACCGGGGCAGCAACAACAACAGCAACAACAGCAACATCAACAACAGAGCCCATTGTCCAAAAAGAAACAACAGCAGCAGCAACAGCAGCAACAGCAGATTCAAAAGGTCGATGAGGAGGATGAGGAGATTGATATCATCAACGACAGTGACAATGATGAGCACGAGCGCCTAAAGATGACCAGCGCAACAAGTGGCATCATTGGCTCACCTCCCAAAAAGTCATTATCAGCCCGCAGGAGCAGTTCCGCGCGAGCTCGTGCCGTCTCACTCAAGACCACAGCGGCGGCGGCAGCAGCATCATCAAGTAGTCACACTACCGATGACATGGATCTTGCCGACGATGATGATCGAGACGATCAGATTGTGACTCAGGCTCCAATCACTATCAAGAGGTATGGGTCATATTCATTCATCATCCATTCACTCCAACTCAACTAACATCGCCCCCATCATAGTAGCAGCTCCAATGGAAACAGCGATAAGATGACAGAGTTGGACGAGGGCGACCAACAAGTCAATAGCAGTGGCATCATTGGTAATGGCAAGAATAAGAAGGGCAAGTCGTCATCAGACTCACCTTCAAAGAAGAAGAAGCAGCAACAGAGCATGGTGGACACTCAATCAAGTGGCGCGACACAAAGCCACGACCATGAACTTGGAAACATGCTAAAGATTGGTGGACCATCACTCACTGGCAGTGGACTGATCAAGATCAACAGCATACTCACAAAGTCATTGCATGAACACATGATGTCCGATTGCAACACGAATGGTGGTGGCAGTGGCGGTATCCTGCTGGGCAGGCCAGCAATGGCATTTCATCACATGGACATTGCCTCTGGCGACTCAGACTCACAGACCTCCTCCGACGAGATGATCATCATGCCACATTCGTCTTCTTCATCGTCGTCATCGGCTCACAAGCGCCGACACAGACACGCAGATGGCAATGGCGGCGACATCAATATCACAGATGACGACAGCAGTGGCGACAGCAGTGATGAGCTGGGGACTGCCGTGGCGGCCACAAGCACCACCACTACCACAGCCATGTCCGACGACGATGTCGATGAACTGTCTGACGACTTTTACAAGATCAAGCAGCAGCCACAACAACAGCAGGACGCGAACAACAATAAGCCTCGAAGCGGCCACAACAAGACCGTCCCAAAGAGTCGCTCGCGAAGCAAGAAGAGGGACGATGAGGAGCGCCGCAAGGCCCGCAACAGGAAGCTGCAGAGGCGCCAGCTGATACAGCAACAGCAGGTCATGCAGCTGCAGCAGATGCAGCAGCACCACTTGGACACCAACAGACACTCGAACTTTGTACACATCATCAACGACCACCCCGACAACCACCCCTTCCTCGAGCCCTATTCTGTTGCGCCCAAGCTGCAGCCGCAGCCATCGGCCAGCATGGCTCAGTTAGATCACGTGGTGTCGCTGTCATTCATGGCGCCCTTCTCGCCCATGTCCTTCCCCGTGCCATTGGCATCGCCAATATCGCCGGGCGTGATGGACCTGTCGCCGCTGTCACCATTGTGTCCGCTCTCGCCTCTCTCGCCGCTATCGCCAATCATGTCGCCCGTATCGCCCTCACTGGCCAACAATCACATCAAGTCAGAGGAGAATGGCGGGAACACGCGCACCGAGCGACATGTCAATAGCATATTCAACAGTATGCTGATCAAGAAGGAGACACACTCACATGGCATGACATCAGCGCCGCGCAGTTTGTCCATTGGCCCAGACAACCCTTCGATCGCCATGCACTCAATCATCTCTGCGGCCACAAGCAAAGTGGCAGTAACAGGCGGCGATCACAAAGGCAATCATCCAGATGGACAGAGCACGATCACATCGGCACCCAGATCGCTGGAGTTGCCCATGTCCATCCCGCTGCCGTACAACTCGCTACAGGGCGCAGCACAACAGACATTAATGATGAACACGGTCGCAGCCAACACCAATGCCAAGCGATCCAAGCGATTCACGATGGACCCACATGTACACAAGCACTTCCAAGCCACGATATGGTACGACGAGGAGAAGCTATTCTTCCGCGAGTTGTTCTGTGCGTATGGTCGCGAGTGGTACATCATCTCCACATTGATGTGTGGCACCAAGTCGCCAACCCAGATAAAGAACTTCTACTACGACGTGCGACTCACACTCTTGGCTCCACTGTTTGGTCTTGGTCAAGATGAGACACGCTCACGCATCACGCTGCCCAATCAAACAATCATCCAACAAGCGCCTGGCGACGAGATGTCCATGAGACTGTCCTCATCCTCTTCCAGCGTCTCCCCAAACAAGCGTCTGGCCATGTCCGATGACGACCTCCGTCTTCGCAAGAAGCCCAAGTCTACATCATCCAAACGAGTAAGTGTTGAGCGATGATAGTGACGACAGACCATCCAATCAATCAATCAATGATTAACACTCGCTTCGCCGCACATCAATCAGTCATTCAGATTCAACAGGATAACGACGGCACTGACAAAGCAGCCAAAGAACTCGATGAAGGCTAGCAAGAAGTTGCAGTTTGAGAACAGTATGTCTAGTGTCAAGTACCCAGTGGCATCGGCTTTGTTCTTCTTCTATCAGCATTCGGAACACTTTACGCCAGGCAAATGGTTTGAGGTGCGTGTGCTAGAGACTGGCGACTCATCCACACCAAAGCCATCGTCCAACAACATGCTACCCGTCGAGATCAAGCTGGACAACAATGGTGGCACCAAGTACAAGGTGGTCATGTTCAACATGAACAAAACTAAAGGCTTCTGGGTCAATGAGGAGGACCTGCGAACAGAGATGGACATTGGCCAAGAGGTTTGGGAGTTCACTGCCGACCCCGCTCAGGCTGACGATGACGCTCAACAAGCCCAGACTCAGACTCAATCATCACAGACGACTCAGCAGCAACAGCAGCAACAACATCATCATCAACACAATCATCATCATCACCTGCAGACGGGCTCGGCACAACAGCCAGTCATTCAGGTGCAGTCGATGATGTCACCATCGACGCACAACCCTGTGGAGATACTGGTCGATTCAGTCCTGCCATCGACCGACGTGATCAAGCTACAGCAGTGGCTCGAGGCCAAGATCGACGCGATGACGCCCAACCCCAACACCAAGTTCCCAACGGTGGTTGACCCATCGGCTTGCCATGACTTGCTGCTCTTCTCGACAGACTTCCTCAACAATGGCTCGCTGTCGATCGTGGCCAAGCAGAAGAGTTTCTTCGAGACAATGACCTCAGTGTTTGAGGAGAAGGACTTCATTGCCATCAACTTCACGTCGATCTTTGGCAGCTGTCAGTACATTCCCGACATCAACAATCGTGTCTACATCGAGCAGCTCTTTGACAATGTGTTGCGCTCATCCGATCTCTCCATTGGCTCCATCATCTCCAAGCACAATCCCGCCTTGGCAAGGTCTGAACATTCGTTACTCAAGTTGGAGTCAGTGTCCAATGCAGCGGCGGCAGCGGCGTCAATGACATTGTCATCATCGTCACAATCTACACCAACTGCATCACCTAGCCCAATGGCGGCACAGTCACCTCTTGCAACTCCCCCTCATACACCTTTATCATCTTGCACACAAATCACGCCACAACAAAGACAGCTGCAGATCGCACCAACCACGACATCATCCTCCACCACACCAGTTCAAGCGACAAGAGTTGTGCAGCAACAACAGCCTGCTGCACCACCTCAAACCAAACCAATGGCCAAGCATCCCCCAATGACAACTGCCTCAAAGCCAGCGCCAGCCCAGCCTAGCTCAAAGCCAGCTCCATCACAGACGCCAACAACAACAACCACTACCACACAGACATCATCCAAGCCTGCTGCCACAACATCATCATCATCGGTAGCGGCCACAGCATCAACAGCGGCAACAGCCTCTGTACAACTTGCGCCAAAGGTGTCGCCGTCGTCGACGATAGCACCACCATTGACGCCAACAGTATCAACCACCCCTAAGCCATTAGCGCCCCACGCCACTGTCGCCAAGAAGCTTGCACCCATGGCTCCTACGTCCACTGCATCATACAAGCCAGCTACTGGTGGCGCACCCGCTGCACCCAACGCAGCCAACTCCAAGCCTCCACCACCCGGCGCACCCATGACCAAACCAGCGTCCACCAACACAACCAACCCTCCACCAAAGACATCCTCCACGCCTCAGTTCATCATCAACGCCGCAGGTCAGAAGATATACACATGTGCATGTTGCATTTCAAAGAATCCACCTCTTTCAACACGCTCGCAGGTGGTCGCCTCCAAGCCCGCTGCCCCAGCCCATGCCTCAGCATCCAAATTGGCTGCTACACCAGGAGGACCACCAGTCACAGCGTCCAAGCCACCAGCTCCAGTTGTTCCAACCAATGGTCCAACAACTTCAAGCACACAGCAGCCTATCAAGCCTGGACCTGTTGTTGCCTCAAAGCCACCTGCCGTGCCAGCCAAGGCAAGTGTGCCATTGACCAACACATCTAATGCGCCATCAACAACAAGCACTTCCACGTCTACAACCTCAACAACTACCACCACTTCAACATCAACAACTTCCACATCACCTGTTTCCAAATCCTTACCTCCATCCACAGTGGCCAAACCATCACCTTCGCCATCACCATCACCATCACAATCACAAACATCAAACATTTCACCAGCGATTAATTCAGCTATTTCACAACCATCACCCTCACTATCACAATCACAGCCGGTAACACCAACATCAACACCAACACCAACGACATCATCACATCACCATCACCATTCAACCTCGTATTCAACTTCGAACACGCCAGTGTCCACATCCAGCTTCAATCTACTTTTCAATCCAGACAAAAGTAGCATTCCTTACAAACTATTCATTGGCAAGAGAGAACTCCTGCTCGAGTGTCGACGTCTATTGCGTCTACAGTGCTCCCGCATCAGTGACCTGAACAAGCATAGTAAGTCAATCCATTCATTCATCCATCCTTCCATTCATTCTAACATTATTATTACACTTCCACCAGACATTGAGAGTGGCAGAGAAACAACGGACGTCATTCACAAGATGAACGACCTGATCAAAGAGCTCTCAACGTATAAGTTCCTCTTGCTAGAGATAGCTTCAGATAGGTATTCGGCCTACAAACTGTCAATGGGTATCAGCTACTGAGTGGAGTGAGTGATCCAATACCATCGACTATGTTTGCAAACTCCGGATAACCTAATCTGGTTTCAATCGATCAATCAATCAATCAATCAATACCCATTGAATAATCAAGTTCAATCACCTCCGATATTTAAATAAATAACGACGATGTATATTAATTTAATTAATGATGGACCATCCATCATGATGACGCCAAACAATTGGTTGTTTGGTACCTTGGCGTCGGATCCTTTTATTTGAAAGGGTCCTGATGGTCTTGATCTGGGTGGAATGAATGGTGTTGTGGTTGTTGTTGTAGCTGTTGTTCTTGTTGTTCTTGTTGTTGATGAGGTTGATGAAGTTGATACTGTTGATTCAATTGAGGAATATACATGGTATTGTTATCGAATGAGGGGAATGACATAACATTGTTGTTGTGAGGAGCATGAAGAGGAGGAGGTGATGTCGGTGGAAGTGAAGTTGTGCTGGTAGATAAATTATGATGATGATGATGAGGATGTTGATGAGAATGATGATGGAGCACTGTCATGGGCGAGGGAGATGGCGGGGATGTGTTGGGCATCGGCTGCCCTAGGAAAGATTGGAGGTCCACATTGGGAAAAAATATGTCTGTTGCTCCTGGCAACATATACTGGTTGTCTTGTATCCATGGTTGTTGTTGACTTGGTTGTTGGTGTTGTTGGAAATGATCACCTTCTACATGATGTTGATTTTGTTGGTTTGTAGAGCTTCCGTATGGAAGGGGATTGTGAATGATTGGTGGCTGGTAGTTATAATATGGAGGTGTAGGTGGTGATGTGTTGGGTAGTTGATAATGATGTATTAATGGTAGGTTGTTTGATTGGAGATTGTCCAGGGAAAATGGTGGCGGGAGGTATAAATTAGTCGGTTGTTGTAATGTTTGTACGCTGCTGTTGTTTGTTGGTGTAGATGTAGTAGATGTAGATGTAGTGGATGTTGTAGATGTAGTAGATGTTGTAATATTCTTATATGGTGTAATCGGTTGATGATGAATATTATAATGTGACGGATGACTATTGCCAGTTAGTAATGGAGACGAATGTCTGTCGCCACCGTCTGGCGATTGGATGGCCAGAGGTGAGAGGACTGGCGGAGAGGATGATTGAATTGTCGAGTCGGGCGATGAGAATGAATATAAATCTAAGGATGATGAGCCGGATCCACCAGGATGGTCGGAATAAGTCTGTCTTGCTTTCTTGCCGTCCTCAGTGTCTGTCGAGCTCCTCGGATAGGCCGACAGTTTGCGCTTGGCCGCGATGGTCTGACGAATGGTCTTGCTGTCCCAGTTGCCTTTCTTCTTTGGCTTGTCTGGTGGTGGCGGAAGAGCGGCGTCGTCTTCCGGGGCCGTGTTGTTATCTGGAAAGGGCAGCACGTCCACCAGACGAGGTGAGGCGAACCGCAGTTTCATCAGCTCGTCCCAGAGCAGCTCAATACGGCGTCTATTATAATTGGGAAATGCGCTCATTATTGAAACCATTGAATCTAACTCTTCCCCAGACTGTTGTAGCACAACACCAAACTCCCTAATGTTGCGCAACGATTGCAGTAGCCATTCTTGTTGGTTTTCGTCCAACACCGTACCTATTCTCCACTGTTGTAGCTATAAATTATTGTTGAGGTGTGACAACTTGTTAGCATACATAGTAATTGTAGGCCTAAACGACCTGTCACCCCATCAATCAATCGAATGTGGCCACACGTGTGCTCCTGGGTGAGTGATTGCTTACCATCATTATTTTAACCAACCAGTTGGCGGTAGTTGTGGGGTCTGTTGGCGTCTGTGAATGTTGGTTGGCTGCTCCATGGTGCGAGGCCATGGAGAGGTGGGACTACGATCCTTCAATCAATCGGTCGTTCTGCGTTGTATACAAGCAGAGAGACTCTTTTGAAGGTAGGGTAATAAGTTATATGATGGTATTGAGTATTAAGTAATGTAAGGGTATTTGAGTAGTGAGGGAGATTTAAGGTTTGTTAGGTCGAGTACTAGAGTAGTTGTAGAGAGAGAGATGGAGGGAGGGAGACTAATGGACGGGGCTAGAGGTAGAGAGAGGTGTCGTCAAGGTAGGGTAGGTGCAGCAAGATGCAATGAGTGAATATGTGGATGGATTAGAGTGTTGTTATATAGTGGAATTGGGACGAATGAATTGGATGGGGCGTTGGGGACGATGGGTCCCCTTAGACTTGGGGGATGCCAGCTGAAGACGGTCATCATCAATCAGTCAGTCAGTCTTCAAGTATGCGTAAGTTAGTCAGTCAGAGGAGAGAGAGTCCGGGAGGCTTATGGCGAAGGCAACAACAAGAAACAGCATGACACATGTCTCCTCATCGTTGCAACAACCAAGAATGCGCACCTGAATTATTATTCATTATTCCCCCCTCGCGCCCACTCAACAATCAGAATCAGCAGAAGCCTGGCAGGCGATTTTCCATCACCAAGATCCACGACTCGACTCACTTTACTTCTCCAGCGTGGTCAAAGCAAATTAGATATTTGCCAAATAAGGTGTTTTGATCATTGTGAACGAGGTGACGTTATAGCCAAAACCGACCAGTTGTCGATCAATTGGATGGCAGCTTTGAACTGGTCGACGCGCTCCCCTCCGATGTCCATACTATCTAGACGAGATAGGGCCTTATTTTATGTCCAAGCAAGGTCATGTCCATAAACCGTCGTAATTGAATAAAAGACTATATTAAGGTGAGTGCTCCGCGTCCCCTGGCCAAACTATTTGATTTAATCGTAATCGTAATTATTAGGAACCATCGCCCAACTGGTAAATACTCTTAGTTGCGGGAAGGACAATTTATCTTGACTTGCCCTTGCCCTTCCCTACCCTGCACCGGGGCTCATGGTACCTGTCCTCGAACAACCCTTCTCGGGATGGTCAAACGGGCCTTCACCCGCTGATCTGTTCCCATCCTACCATCATTGTTGGTCAAACGTTGAAACCCACAAAGTGAGTGGTGACTACTCACTCGCTGGCCAATGCTACGCCACACACTCTCGTACACACTCGTGGTCATTGAATCACTCGTCTTTGACGATCATTCACCCCCATTCATGATTGAATGCGTTCGATTTGAGGTTACCTCACACATCACTATTCAGTTTAACCTTCAAGATAAGTTAGGTGTTCATTACATACTTAGGTGGTACGAATACAACAGGAGCAGTAAAGCAGTAGGAGGAGATACCTACGACCTAACTTACGAAGATACAACAACGAAGTACACCAACACGTACACGTACACGTACCTACACAAATTAGACATTCTACAATGACAGAGACCTTTGGTGTTGTGTTTGACATTGACGGCGTGCTGATGAAGGATGGCGTCGTCATACCACGCGCGGCGGAAGCTCTGAGTTTGCTACACGACCAGGCCACAGGCCAACCGATCGTCCCCTATGTCTTTGTCACGAATAACGGCGGTTTCACCGAAAGAGAAAAGGCAGACAAGATCTCATCAGTCTTGGGATTCAAGGTACGATGTGCAAATCAAACATGATTCATCGAATGATCTTTCGAGCGACCCTTCGGATTGATTGGATTGATTGATTGATCAATTGATTGATTCATCGAATCATCAGTGAATGATCATTGAACGAATTAATGAATGGTTGAATGGTCGATTGAATGTTCAAATGAAGACTAACTTACATCATCATCATGATGTTAGATTGAGGAGGACAGGGTTATGGTGGCACATACACCAATGAGACCTTTGGCAGAGAGGTATGCAGATGGCAATGTATTGATCGTGGCAAGGAATCATCAGACAGCATTGAACTTGGCCAAATGGTATGGATTCAAGAATTGTACCTCTATCTATGAGTATGTCGAGAAGAGACCCTATTTGAACCCTGGCAGGCGATGCACCTTCTGGACTACTGGCGTCCAGACTGACTACAAAATAGATGAGCCGCAAGAAAAGGAGCAGTTGCCCTTCAAGGCCATCATCTTCTTTGAGAATCCCGAAGGTATTGTTATGTTGAGTTAGATGAGTGAAGGAGGTCCTGCAGTATCTGTATTACCTTACTAACGCTCTGATCACCTGATCACGTGACATCGATCACGTGACACTTTACAATCACATGATCAAACCATAATTCGAACATCATACAGACTGGGGAGAAAGCATCCAGGTGATGTCAGATATACTTCAGAGCAAGGATGGATTAATATCAATGAATCACATTGATCGCTCTGAGACCCAGGTGATTGATCTTCACGTTGCCAATCCAGACTTCTCATATGGTGGCGAGTTTGTACTGCCTCGCTACACCACCGGTGCCTTGATCACATGTCTGTCCACACTTTTCAAGGTATGTATGATTGTCGGGCAGGCCGTCGTTTGTTGGAACCATCCCATACTGACCCCTCCCATCACTTCCAGATCGAGACAGGCAATGATCTAAAGGTAACATTCTATGGAAAGCCAGAGGCAACGACTTATCAATATGCAAAGGTGTTGATGGATGCTCAGTTGAAGAAGTTGAACCTGGCAGCACCAAAACATATATATGCAATTGGCGATAATCCTCAATCCGATATCATGGGTGCCAATCGATTGGAACATGAAGGTTGGGTGAGCATCCTTGTTCGCACTGGTGTCTTCAAGGGTGACAACGATGCCAAGAACCCTGCCAAACACGTCGTGGACAATGTATACGAAGCCATCCAATTAATCCGAAAGCAACATTAACATTAACAGTAACAGTACCAGAAGCGACAACAACGATATATAAACAGTAATAATACATTACTTTACATTACCAGACCTGAACTATCGGAGTCTTTTGCCTTACCTTGACCTAGATCCCCAGGCCCCAAAGGTTTGACCACCACAACACCCCTTTGCTTCTTCTGTTTGAGGTCAAAAACAAACAAACAAGCCAACTTGTTCGCAAACAAACAAACACAAACACTCTCACTTCAAAGTTTGATCAATCAAAGTCTTCGCATCCATCCTCCTTTTTCAATTCACTTTTCCTTTGTATATCTTCAAAGTTGTAATATTATCTACATCTACTACATATACTTATATATATATATATCCTTACACTTTGATTGAGAAGACAAGACAAGATAAGACAGGATTGCGATCAATAGATCGAAAGATACACAACTCCAACTTTGTATATAGTCATGAACTTCTTGAGAAATACCTTGAGTGGCAGTGGCAATGGAAGTGGCAATGGAGGTGGCATTGGAAGTCCCAATAATAATATTAGTATTAATGGTCCAATGGGAGTCAATAGTAATGCAATTGGTAGTCCTTCATATGTACCTACATCACCAACAACAACTACAACAACTACTACTACTTCTACTTCTACATCTGCGAATGGAGTCCAGAAGAAGAATAAGAAGGACTTTGAACTTGATGAGTTTGATCCATATGCCAGACATTCTACATCTCCTCCCTCTACATCATCAACAACAAACAACAACACAACATCATCAAACATATTCAACTCTCCATTCTCAATGGCCTCAGAGTATCAAGAGTTGGAAGAAGATGATTACATGTCACCACAACAACAATCACAACAATCACAATCACAACAACAAGATAGTATTGAGGATGACTTGCAGAGTCTTGACTTGGGAGGTGATAAACACCAAGCTGGTGAACAACTACGTCCAATGCAGAAGTTCAAGCCAATGGTGGTGAGCGATCCTCAACAACAGCAACAACAACACAGTCAGTCTGTCGACGACATGTTCCAGAGTATCGACCTGTTCAGTGCCAGTCGCAATACACAACCAACCAACGCGTTTGAACAGTTGTTCATGTATGGCAACAGGGACTACCTTCTGGCCAAGCAGAAGCAGGAACAGCAAGAGCAAGAGCTACAACAAAAGATGTCACCGCAGCAGTCAGAACAACAACAACAGCAACAACTTCAACCAATCTCCGTCCCAAAGATTGAGAAGCAAGACTTGATCGCGCCAAAGCCATTCGATATGAAGGCCATCGAGCGTATTATCAACGGCTTGAAGGAGACGACGATGTTGCATCATGAGACGCAGTCAGAGAAGACGATAAACGAGGAGGCGATCAGGAGTCTGTACAGACGTCTGTGGTCCGTGGTCGAGGAGCCAATCACAGTCAACGACCACTGTCCCTGCGGCAACCTCTGCACCCACAAGTACAAGAACCAGGTCAATCGACTCAACATTGATGCGGCCAAGCAGCTAGAGACGCTGCTCAAACAGAACCATCACTACAACACGACACAGTTCATCGGCAGTCTGTTCCAGCAGACGCTCAACGAGCTGCGTTTGGCCGTCGCAGTCTACTCTAACATCGCCACTGGCGACACACACCCAGCCAGTGTCATTTCGCAGATGTTGGTGCATCTCACGGCTGCTTTCAAGGACACCAAGCCACCACAATCAGTCATCACTCTGCTGATGCATCTGCACCAGACTCTTGTGACCAAGCTTGAGAACTCACCCGCTCGCAGGCCCGTCCACAAGGTTGTGGAGATCGACTTCTTTGAGGAGGGCGAGCCAGAGACACCGGGCGAACGAGCCAGTGAAGACGACATCAAGGGTGTCGAGATCCTCTCGACGTTGAACCGCGAGATGACCTTCAACTTCAACGAGGAGTTCCTGTCGTGGGGATACATGCTGGTGCATCCAAGTGCAGAGGATCTCTTCCAGAATGACTGGATGCTCAAGCTGTTCCACGTTGAGCAGCTGGCCGCTGGTAGACAGCAGGAGATTGCTTATCTCAAGGAAGAGACATATGTCAACCTGCTGCTACAGATCGACTTCTCCAACTTCCGCAACCTCATCAACTACTCCAACCTCAACATCCAAGACAAGTTATTACTGCCCCTCCAGAAGGGTCTCGAGATGTCCATCCAGCTCAAGATGACCAAGCTCTCAATTGCCATCGGCAAGATCGTCTGTGTAAGTGTCCCAACTCAATCTTTCAATCAATCAATCAATCAATCACACTCACTCACACTCAAACTCATTCGATCAAACGATGACAGTTGATTGGATTCTACTTCCCAAGCGAAGTGGAGAACTGTATAACGATACTTTACAAGACTATATGGCCATCACAGTTGATCAGTTGTACGATGATGCCATTCTTTAATTGGAGCGCACTCAATGGACCATGCTTGACCAACCTCTTCACCGACTTGTATCAGTTGACAATGACACCGCTCGAGTACTCCAAGCTGCAGGACTCAGCAAAGTACCAGTCGCGATACCAATTTGTATACACACTCTTCTCGTACCAGCCCGTGGTCACCACGATCTACGTGGCCGACCCCGCCGTCTCAACGGCCAACTCCAACGGCATCAAGTTCCCACAGCTGCTGGCGCTGCGCCGCATCGCCCAGCACGCATCCACCGACAAGAGCGGCCTGCTGTTGGACGGCGGAACGATCTACCATTTGTCGCGTCTCATCATGGACGAGCTGTTCTACTTTGCCTTCATCTTCAAGGTGCCCGCCAACATGGTGGTCGACGCCACGCTCTTCCAGAACTTCAAGTCAGAGATCTATACACACATCTTTACACTGATGCAGACGATGCCGCACCTGGTCAACCGCTTCATGTACAACATCGCACAACAGCTGCTCTACATTGATGCCGAGTCGTTCACGGCATTCATCGAGCCGCGCGCCAACTCACCCCTCTACTTCTGGGACATGAGCGGCGACGGCATCTCGTGGCTGGGCTTTGTGCTCTGTCAGCGACTGTTACCCATCATCGATGAGGCCGAGTTCATCGAGCAGCATCAATCGATCATACAGCAGTTCATCATCGACCCGCCCCCCTACGAGATCGCACCCAACCACATGCAGCACGCCACAAACATCGTGTTCAAGGTGCTGCTCAATGTCAACTGGGACAAGGTCACGCCGCTGGCGCGTCTCAAGACCATTCTCGTGCTGATTGGCGCGCGCAAGTACGTTGGCAACATGTGGATCTCATTCTTCCTCAATCACAGTCGTCTGCTACTCTGTCGCGAACTTAACAAGACATTCATTCGTGCCATCCTCAATGTGAACCCGCGCACAATCTTCCACTTCAACGACAACATGATGTTTGTGTACATTCAGGTCATGCTCACGCTCAATCAATGCATGTGTGAGCCTGTCCACTCGATTGGCTCGAGTGCGCAGCTGGCCGAGCAGTTTGTTCGCATTCAATCACTACCAGTCAACTACGAGATGTTGTCATCATTGATGTGCTTCTTGGTGTTCATACTCAAGGATGAGCCGGGTCGCTTCGATCGCGAGCTCCTCACCCTCTACTCCAACATCACACAGAACCGCAACCAATACACGGCCAACCTCAACGTCATCCTACTCTTCCTCAAGCCCTGGTTCACCACCTCCATGGACTGGCACCCTCAGCTGCTCGCTCATTGGGTACATATACTCAAACAGAACGTAAGTTACGACGTCCTCCCTCTTCATCCTACAATGACTCTCATTAACACTTTGATGACTACTACCTCAGATGACTGACGAGGAGAATGTGACCATTCTCAACTACCTTGCATGTGGATCATTCCTCAAGAACTATGGCACTGAGTTTGAGGACTTGTTCGCAACACAGACATCCTACAACCTCAAGGGAATCCAGAAGTTGTCCATAAAGAGTATGTCCCCGTTCACTCAATCAATCATGTACATCGCCACTAACTCACTCACTTCCTTTAGGACCATGGATCGCATACTTCTTGGCAGTCAATCAGATAAAGACAAAGAAGGGTACTCAATCCAAGTTGAAGGAGTCGATGCAGTTCTTTAAAGAGTTGGCAATGGATCTTAAAGGCGACCCCGTCTCACTGATCTTTTGGGAGCAATTCTGGATACTCTACTATGACCTGGTCATGGGCTACCAGACCGACCCTCTCTCACAAGAGGCAAAGAACGAGATATATCAATGTGTCAGCATCTACAACGTCAAACAGCAGATGCCACCTGTGGTCAAGCGCATCTACGAGACATTCACCACCTGGAACAAGGAGAGCATCCTGCCGATCAACGGCCGCATGCTCAGTCTAGAGAACCACGAGTTGTGGCGCGTCTACTCGTCGACGGCCATGTGGATCTTCAAGAAGACCGAGGACAAGCTCTACTATGAGAACAACCAGCGCAACTGGCTCAACAGCCTCACGAGCGACATTAACCCCGAGGTGCTTGTCAAGCAGTTGGCGATCGCGCCACGTCAGCTCGAGCTGTACACCACCGAGCAGAAGAAGTACCAGAGCTACGAGGACTACTTTAACGAGGCGGCGCACGCCATCCTCAAATCCACGGTGGTCGAGTCGATCAAGATGTTCAACGACCTCAAGATTTACCTGGGCCACAGCAAGCGCCTGTCACAGGATATCATGGAGGACGACCGTCTGTTCCTCGAGCTCAGCCAGACGATGCACGCCACCAAGCAGACCAAGAGCAGCGTGGTACTCAAGTGCAAGGCCAGCCGCTGTCTGGGCATCACTGTGCCACTCGAGCTTAAGAAGTCAGCGCCCAACAACCAGGTGACCGATCTGATCAAGGAGAACCGTCGTCGGTTCAACGAGCACTTCTACGCTCTGTTTGAGCGTGTCTACCAGATGGCCATCCTGGCGCTCACCCTCGAGGACAGCCGTCTGCACGACCTCTACTTCCGCAAGGAGGACCTCTTCGCCACGATCGTTCAGATCTCGGCTGAGCACGGAGCTGAGACAGTCACCGAGACGATCATCTACGCGCTCACTGAGATCGCCTACAGGATTGGCTGCGACATCCTCGAGAAAGACCCCTCGAACCAGGCATTCCTGCTCAATATCTTCCTGCCACAGTTTCACGAGCCGCTCAGCGCCGATCCATCCGAGGAGCGTGGCCAGCGTCGCGCCCTCATCACAGACTACTCATTGTTCCTTCGTCTGTTCTCACCAACGACCGTTGTCGACCTTGGCAAGTACCTGGAGTACCTCGAACAATGTGTGTCCAACACAAACATCATCGTGCAACAGCGAAGATCATTGTTTGAGTCGTTCAAGATTGAACAGCGCATCCAGCCCATCGTGCAGATGCCCGGAGGCAAGGAGCGCCTGTTTGCTCTGCTGCCCGCCATCGTGTCGACTAACGCTCTCGAGCCTGCCGCCGTTGTCATCAACTCGCTACTCTTTGTTGACTCAACCTACCTGATCAACACGACAATGACCCTGGTCAAGGGCTACGCAAGCAATGAGCTGGCCGAGCGCATCTATGGCAAGGGCAAGCAGTTCTACGAGTTCCTCAAATCCATCAAACCAGAGCAACAACAGCTGATCGTGCAGACCCTGGTCGAGAAGGTGTCAGACATCAAGTCGCCCACGGGCCTGGCCATTGTGTCTCACTTGGTCTTCTACGAGTTCCTCACCAAGCCATTTGTCCAGTCACTCCTGGCCAAGATCCGATTGATCTACATCCAGGCCGTGCGTCCAAATGAGCGTGGCATTCTCCTTACCGACAGCGAGTTTGAACAGTCGATCCGCTTCTTCACTGAGCTCATCGCGCTGATCCCTCGCAGCATCAACATGGTGTGGGAGGTGTTCTTCTATGGCTACATCCCATTGTTGGACAAGTATCGCAAGCAGGGCGTCAAGAAGGACTACTCGGCCAACATCGTCGCGATGATGGGTGAGCTCGTGGCCGAGGGACACCTCGAATTCGCCACCTTCCACATCCAACCCAACGACATTCTCGAGCAGATGTGCAATGTGATCACTCAGACAGAGTATGGCGAGATCGTCGTGGCACTATTCTCCATCCTCGACTGGGAGATCCTGCGAACGATGCCCAAGATACCCGACCACATCGCGCTACACTATCTCAAGCTATGCATCTATATCACAATACTCAATGGCACATCGATCTTGGCACCCGAACTCGGTCTGTCTCTGGCCAATGAGGGCTCACTTGACTGGTTCAAGTGTGGCGATCTCAGTGATGCGAGCATAGTATTTGATGGCTTGGCACTTGTCAACATGATCAAGTGTCCATCACTCAATCGCAATCCAACCACACAGATCATTGACGCACTATCTTTGGTCAAGGACATCACGCTCTATTTGGACAACTACAACCTGGCCGTTGCACTATCATTGGAGATTAGATCATTATTATATCTCACAGCAATCAATCAGAATGGCAGATGTAAGTATCGACCACCCTTGAATCATTCCAATCAACACACTCTCACATTCTCTCCCCAACAGACTGGTACATGCCCCATCAACAACAGTTCCAATTGGTTCAGACTATGTTGTTGCCATTGATCAGATCACTGGCTGAGAACAAGGACGCCAAGGACACTGAGCAGTCGGGTACACAGCAGAGAATGAAGAACATATTGAAGACTATGTTGTCTTGTCTGGACTATGACCCATCGAGCAAGGCCATCAGCTGTAAAGCACTTGGCTTTGCAACTGACCCATTGCCACAGGAGAATCTGAACAAGGATCTCTACAACAAGGTGCAGACCCTCATACTCAATTTCTGCTCGACGCTCACCAGCAACCTCTGTATCCAGCTGATGCCCATCACTCACATTGCACTGCAAGGTAGCAGTTTCTGTCTTGTCCTCGAGGCCATCCTACACTCATTCCTACAAGATGAGAACACTCAAGTGTCCACACTCATCAACAAGTATCTAGTGTTCACTGATGCCGAGTCCATCATAACCGTATGTTCACAACTCCATCTCACTCATTCAATCACCATAACATGCTAACTAACAAACTCGTCGTAAATAGAAATCAATCCAGAACAACTGTCCATTGACACTGTACATTGTAGTCCTGCAACAAATCAAGTCGAAGACACTGGACTCCAATCAGTTGCTGGAGCTCATATCAAACATTAACTTCCAACACAACAGGGAGTATGAGTTGTGGATTGTTTGGATACTGATCATCAAGATGGTCAGGAACAATGATATCAATCTCAAGAACAAGCCCACCGTCCAGAAGCTTGCCGTCGTCAAATCCTGGATTCAATCATTCAATGGTACCACCAACCCAATCGTGTCTCTATTCTCCAAGAACAAGAGCATCATTCCCCAGACACATCTCGCCTCCCGAGCCTGTCTAGTATTCCTTCAGAAGGTCATTGTACAGCAACAAGGTGTAAGTATCCACACCACGATTGATCAATCAACATACATGTCACTAACTCATTCATTCGATCAATCAGAAATCAAAGGAAGATGAACAACTGTTATCATCAACATTGGAGGGACTTGTGGATTTGAGGAAGAAGACGGATAACTACAAGTCGTTCGATTCATTCTTTGTCCAGATCGACAACTTTATGTCACCAATATGTGAGGTGGATGACTTCTGTCTGATACTCATCCAGACACTTGTACCATTCGCTTCATATCTCTCCAACCTTATGAAATACGAACCATAATTAATTTAAATATATATATATAAACTTATTGTTTTAACTCTTTTGTACATGTCGAATTACCTCCAAGAGTTTATTCATATGCCTTTGCAAATTGATTAGAGATGGCAGAGAGCTTCTCCTTCAACTTGGCCTTGCGCATTCTGTTGCGAACAAAGAATCCAAGACCAATTGCCAATGATGCTCCCATTGCACCGGCCACACTGGCTACCACGATGGTCATTGGGAATTTGGTCTCCTTGCAATTGAACTCACTGTCCAGTGTTGTGAGAACGACGGAGAAATCTGGATCAATTGTACAGTTGTTCTCGAAGCTTGGCACGGTGACACCAAACATGATCTGATCTGTATCCCACGATATCAATGTGTTCTGCACCTTGAGAATCCTTCCATCAACTATGCCAATGTTGGCGAATCTTGAGTTGATCACTACACCATCTGGTGAAGTAAATGTTGAGTACTGAAGGGATCTTTGATTGAGAGAGCTGTTACTGGTAGACTGTGAGCCTGGGAAACAAGAGTTGGCATTCGGCTTGGTAGTGGTGACCTTGTGTCCGGTTGATACTAGCCCAGCAGAGTAAAGGATACGTAGATAGTTCAAATTGCTTGTCCAGTTCCAGTTGGAGATTGAGAATGAGAACTTGGCCGTGTTTGGACTCATCAAGAAGCTCTCTGTTCCAAATGTGTAGTTGGTGAACTGTGAGAAGGACTCGATAGTGGCCTGCAGCTTGGTATCATTTCCAACTTGTCCATTATACTCTGACTTTGAACCAACTGAACTACTTGTCCAAACACTATCCAATGATACATTCTTGATAATAGAACTGTCGATATAAGACATCTCCTGTATCGCCACCATTCTAATGACAATATTAAATCCAGATACATTGGATGTTATACTTGGCATCAACTCTCCTGGAACATTCAATGTTGGCAGCTCCAAGATCACTATGATTATAATTAATTCATATTGGTTAATTAATTGTTTGAATAGATCAATGGAAGCATTCAAATCCAAACTTACATATACTACAATTGACTCCGGTGTATGTATCAATACATTTACATTGTCCGTTAATACATTGTCCATGACCTGAGCAGTTGTTTGGACAACCAATGTCAATATCTAAATTCATACATAAGTTAGTATCTGTATACTGTTGGAGAAATATTTGTACTACAACATACCATTGAATAAATAGAATGGAATAGTGTCACCTTGGAATGACTTGACTCCATCAAAGAAGTAAACTTTGACATTGGCAATTGGTGATGATGCATTGGGGAATGGAGGTAGTAGTCCGACGATCTGTGCGGTGCCAGCGCTATACAATGAGTATAGTTTGATATCGATTGGAACTCCTTCAACTAGAACATAGACATAGTTCTTATTGAGTGGGAAGTTGTATCCAAACACTGTGATCAAACTTGCTGACTTTGAATTGATCCTGGATACATTGAATATGAATGGCTCTTCCATATACATTGTGAATGGTGTGAAGTCTCTGCTGTAGTATATCGTTTGTAGTCCATTCAAAGTCTGTTCATAAGAGTTGTATAAACACCTGAGGAAGGAGAATTTTTGTTAGATGGGACGGATACGTTGTATGTCTTTTGGAGGTTATAAACTTACTTTGTTGATACAGTCCCATCATCATTATAATATGGAGAACATTGTAACGAATTATTATGTTGATCAAATAATGGAATGGAAGAACAATACCTGGTTCCAAGGATGAAGCTTGTTCCAGAGCTTGGGAATGCCAAAGGTGATGTAATATTCAGCTCGGGCTCTAGTTTGGGTAAGGCATTAATTAGAATGACGATGAGTCCCATCATCATCAAAAATGACATGATACATACGACACTTGAGATTGACAGATTCGTTGTATACTGGATTGTTATCCATCTTGAAGATTGAGGTATAGGGTAATTGACATACTGCATCCATTGAGACTGGTCCTGATAAGTTGTTGGAACTCAGTTGAACAAATCCTCTCCTAGTTCCATTCCTAAAGTACAATAGATCGAATAAATTCGAAGGAAGATTTCCACTGAATCCATTATTGCTTATTTGACTATAATCATGGTTGGAAGGATTGATAAGTATGTATTTTCCACAACTTCTATATTAGAGGTAATCTTACATTTTAAGTGTTGTCTCGCCTTTGCCAAACTTTGGAAGATCGCCCACCATCTTTGAGTTTAGGTTAATGTTAACTTGGTTCAAAGAGGTACAATTTGAAAAGTCCACATCAGCCATCGATGAAAATGATGTATTGTAAAGGAATCTGATTGAGTAGGAGTATGTTAATATGATTGAGCTATTAATTAATTAATTGATAAACTTACAATGATACTAGATTGGAAGTGGCTACTGAGCCATCGATGGGACCTAAGAATGATGTACTTGACATCACACTAGGATATATATAAATTAGTAAAATTGATTCAGGGTATCAATGTAGGTCAACATACATATTCTGTAATGAATCTGGAAATATTGGACTGAGTTGATCATTTCCAATATTAACACCGTATAGTGTCAAAGTCTGTAGATACTTGAGATCCCTCAGATCATTAACAAATGCACCTTTATAATCTGTTGTTAGACTTATACCCAATACTCTAGTTTCCAATGTATCCTGGTCTGTTATACATCTAACTCCATTGATTGCACAATACTCTATACTACTATTTGACCATTGATTAAATGTATCTGCTGCCTGTGATATCCTATAAAGTACATTAACTATTTTGGACATAATTATTAATTAGTAAGGAATTGATTGATTGAGTAAGGGAGAGTATCATACATACATTGAGGTGATCCATTTGGAATATAATGTGAAAATGTACATAAAGGTAGAGTTATCAATAATATATAAATAATATAATATTTTGATATTGATATTGATCTTGTATCCATTGTGTTTGTTAAATATTACAATATAGTATTGCTACAAATAGTTATAATAATAATTTATATATATATGTTTGATCGATGATGGATGGGTGCGGAATATAATTGATCTCTAAAATTATAATTAGTTTGGAGTAAGTAGGTCGGGAAGTTGATTAATATTAAATGGTAAGTTAGGATTGAATGGATGGATCCTTCTAAGGTTGTTACAAGAAGCAGTGGTGGTGAGGGAGGGGAGAGTGGGGAGATTGATTGATTACTTGTCCGACCGATAATTAATTGTTTGATGATGATAATCTTGTATAGTTGTTGTTGTTGCTATTGATAGTGTATGTCTGTCGTCAGTTAACTGCCGATAGTGATGATGAATCACAATCAATTTCAAGTCATGTGGTCCAGTCCAACCCATCCAATGGTCCTTTGAGAACCAACGAAAAAACAAACAAAAAATCAAAAAGAATGAACTTGCCAAAAGAGGACTTTGTGGGTCTTGTTGATGTCCAACCTCCAAACACACACTTAGACACATTTGAGTAGTTGGTTTTTGGTTGGTCTTAGAATAATCATACCGGTTGCCATGCTATTGATCCATCTGATCGAGGTCGCATGACACTGCCCTATCAAGGTCACGATCGCTGATCATAAAGGATGTGGTGTGTGTGTGCGAGTGGAAGTGTGTGAGTGAAGGTTGGAATGATCCATTCATTCAATCAATCAATCATGTGACAGTGAATGATAGGGAGTGACAGCGTGTACGCCACTTGACATTCCAATAATGAACCAAGGTTGGATGGTGATGTTGTTTGTTTGTTTGTTTGTTGTTTGTTTGATGATGCGCCACCTGCTGCTGCCAATGCAGCCAGCTGATAGAAGGAAGGAACTTTTCATTCTGGATTGATAATACAATGAAGTTATGTGGGGACTTGACGAACTTGAATGGATGCTGATGCTAATGTTGATGTTGATGTTGATGTTTGTTGGTTGTTGTTGTACCTCGCACAAGTGAGTGTGTGTGTTGTTTGTCGTCTAGTTGGTAATTGATTGATGCCATGCGCTGTGTTGTGATGTGTCGTGTCGATCGATTATGGCAAGCACTCTTTGATCTTCTTTAGTGCCTGTACGAGACTGACGACTAAGGGTGGCTCAGATGTGTTGGGCATCAATTGGTAAAGATGGTCGAGAACAATGTCTGTGTCGTCGATTGATGCCACAACCAAATCCTTCAATGTCTCCAGTTTGTCATTGCCAGAATGTATCTTTCCAGCTGTACCTGATGGTGGAACACCTGGTGGTGGTGATGTCTTTGCGATCAACTTCTTGATGTTGTCAACCTCCTGAATATATGTTTGATTGATTGATTGATTGAATGAGTGAGCGAGTGAATATATAATGAATGTAATGATGCAATAACTTACAGGCTTCATAGTCTTCATCATGTTAGCGATGGATATACCCTCCTGAATATTTACACAACGGAGGATTTGAGTCTTGATCTTGCCAATCTTTGGTCTCAGTTCACCTCTGATCGTGGCAACAGACCAGTTCTTGAGCGCGATGGTCTTGGTGATGAGGTCCTGCTGGGCGGCAGCGGCCTGCTGCTCGGCTGGTGTTGGTTGTGGCCTCGCTGGCTGTGTTGGCTGTTGTTGTTGCTGCTGAAGATATTGCTGAGCCTGTCTCGCTTGCTCTGCTGCCTGCTTCGATACACCTGGTGGTACATTAGTTCCAGCTGCTGGCAGTGCATTAGCCAAGTTCTTATATGAAGATATCTGTTTAGGTTGATCCGGTAACTTATATCCTTGCACTATTGATCATGGAGTTAGTGTATGATTGTGTGTGATTGCGATGATCAGTGACAGACAGACTTACTCGTCATTCTCTTCTCGAGGAAGTCCATTAGATGATCATTTCCAATCTTGTACTTAGACATGATCTCATCAGAGACGATTGGGTTTCCTTCAATGTTGATACCTGCTCCAATCTTGCCCAGACCATAACAATGACCAATCGACAATGGCAAGTCTGCCAACTTGTTGTCCATTATATTCAACACTACAAGTCTTGTCATTCTTCCAATGAGGTTTGGTAACTCTACAAGCTGTTATCCAAGATGTTAGTATCTACCTGGATGTGGGTATACCCTTGATGGATGGAACTTACCTTGTTATTACCAAGGTTCAACTCCAACAATCTGGTCATCTGAGGGAATTCCTCGGGCAGCTTGACGAGCTGACATCCGTTGGCATCAAGGACCTCGAGTGAGTTGAGTCCAGTGAACGATGTTGGCAAAGCCTGCAATGGGTTACCAGAGATGATCAACTCCTCCAGTCTAGTCAGATTGCCAATCTCATCGCACAGTATTGATATCTTGTTGTTGGCAATGTCCAACTTCTCCAAGTTGGTAAGTCTACCAATCTCTGACTGTTTGTTTGTTGGTTGGTTCACGCGGGGGCAGGTCCAGTTCGTCAGTATATGCGTCTAGATTTGAAGGTGATCACATGATCGCATGTCACGTGATCCAACATCCTGTCACGTGATCACAAAGTACTTACAGGTAGTGCAATCAATTGATTACCATTGATGGTTAGTGTCTTGAGAGATGGGAGTGTGATTAGCTCGCCTGGGATGGTCATGATGGCATTGCCACTCAGTGACAGACTCTGTAGGTTGCCAAAGGGCTTGAGCATTGGGAACATCTTGAACTGGTTGAAACCAAGGTCGAGGTTGACCAGGTTTGGCACATGCTCCTGGAGGAACTCGGGGAATGTCTCGAGGCCAATGCCCGTGAGATCGAGCAGCTCGCCATTCTCCTCGTACGCCGTCACTCTGTTGTTGACCTCTGTGAGCATGGTGGGGGCGATCTTGTCACGCACGACATTCGAAGCGTTGACGATGCGCGCCTTGATCAGCACGTCGCCCTTGACAAAGTCGTCGGGATGTGTTGGACGCGGCTGCAGTGGATACCATGTGGCCTGGTCGGACAGGTCGTCCAAGTCGATATAGACCTCACCGAGGAAGTCATCCGATGACATTGCATCCCAATCAGACAATACAACATGCAGTCTCTGATCCACAGGTGACACACGCATCAAGAATGTCTCTCCCCACTTTGGATTCAATGTCTTCTTAATAATCTTTGTCTTCTTCTTTTGAAGTCCAAGGTTCAATACACAATATCTATGTGATATCATTCATTCATTCATTCATTCATTCATTCATTCATTGATTGATTCGATTCATTCATTGGATTGATTAGTCAGTTGAATGATATTGCATTGCGTTGTTGTCGTTGTTCTACATACGGGTCACTGAATCCATTGGTATCTGCTGCTATCAGATCTCTTGCCTCGAGCACTATATAAATATGTCAATCAATCAATCAAGTCAGTGAGTGCTTGGTTCATCATGATCATCATATCTTGCTTCATATTACCATTGACCTGTAATATATTCATTTCGGATTGGTCTTATTCTTATTATTATATAATATATATTTATAACTATGTATTGCTAAGCAATGAATGAATCAATGAATGAATGGGTGATATGATATTGAAGTATGTGTGAGAAGGGTGACGATGTTGTTGTTAATGTTAGTGATGGGGGTATGGGTCTGGAAGGAACGCGCTTTGATCATCGGAGGTCAACACCATCCACAATCTAACCCACCTGTAACATCAACACCTACACACAAGATGTTATGCCATGTTGTGAATGAACATGCATTCATGGGTCTCTGACACTTGCTGATTCAAGCAAAACAAACCCATCAATCAAAACTTGAAAAATATCTAAGTATTATTTGAATTGACGTCTCAAGTGAAGTGGATCGACGGTATTAGTGGATTTGGGAATTGGAACACTTGTGTAATGTATTCTATTGTTTAGGAACTAATTAATTAAAAAACTTGGTTGTAAAGTGTCCCAAGTTATTGTGGAAGTAATAAGTTGGATTGGCATTGAAGCGTCTGTCCTTGTCATGGTCGAACCAGGTCTCGGTACAACGCATGGTGGTAGGCTTTCCACGTATCTTGGTAATCTTGTTAGATGGAGATGAGGTGGAAGAGGATGAAGTGGTAGTGTTGATTGAGTTGTCATTGGATGACGACCCATCACCATCACCATCACAAACAACTTCAAAGTTATCCTTGTTCAAATCTGCCATAATAGATGACATGTCATTGTTCTGTTCAATCTTGTTGGCCAACTCTGACTCGAATTGTTTGAACTTCTCCTTTGAAGCCTCACGATAACAAATGGCCAAGAACATCTCAGTGATGAATGAGAAGTTCTTGAAATTGATGCAAACTCCACCAGTTCTCATTGCAATCTCCTCATAGAATGGTGAGTTGCCCAATGCCTTGACTCCATATATCTTGACTCCCATGTCATACAAGTCATCCTAACATATTGATTGCGTGAGTTAGTGAGTGAATGTGTGAAAGAGCGGCTGGGGCTGGAATGATTCCAGACTAGGTACTTACACATTCTTCGAACCAGTTGATGGATAGGTTGGTGTGTGATGGCTCGTGGGGGTTGGCATCACCGATCATAACGAAAGCTTTGGAAGTGTGGGTCGACCATGAGAGGGTCTTGGCCTTCCTGAGGGCCCATTCATAGGCCTCGGGAGCATCACCTCCAGAAGTCGCAGGTACATTCTTGATGAATTGTACCAACTCCTCCAAGTTCTGGGTTAGATCCAATGTGGTCAACACCTTGGCAGCATCACAATAATCACCCAAACCCATAATACCAATACGGATGTTTGGTATATCTTTGATCAAACGACTGACTGTTGACTCGACTTGGGTTCGGACATTCTGAATGATCGATGCCATTGATCCAGTTGTATCGAAACAAAAGACAATCTCGACATCTGATGATATTGAAGTCTCGGCAAAACTCTTCAACAATGCCTCCTGATCAAAGACATCCTCATCGGCACCAGCAGGCACAGGTGGAGCCTCGACCAACTCCATCTCCAACACCTCATTGTTTGACAAAGTCGAGTGGATCAACTGAGTCTTTGTCAACACCGTTGGATTTCCAGCCTTCTTCAACACCGAATCATGTGTAGCCAACAATGGTATGTCAGATTTAAGTTTGATCTTGATTTGACTATAACAGTGTGTGAGTGTTAGTGTGAGTTTGCGTGTGGAGTTGAGTTGTCTACTTTCCATTTTAGGTAAAGTTAGAATAAATGAATATGTGATACTTACGCTTGGAGAGTTGCTATGGTGATACCATCATTGTTTGGAATGGTTAGAGGATGTTCAAAGTTGTTGTAGAGAACAATGAAGGACATCTCTTTGATGACGGACATTTGGATTGTGGTCTCCTCCTTGATACCAGTTCTTGATATTGGTCTACCGACTTCAATCTTCTCATTTCTAAACAATAGTTCAAATTGGAATAACTTATACTCAGTCCTCTCAGCGACCTTATCATACAACACCTGTACATCATCCTCAGGTTGTACCTCAAGACTGAATGTAATAGTTGGTGATTTTATAAGTATTAGCATTAATTAATTAGTTAGTTAGTTTGTTTGTTTGATTGATTAGTAAGATTAATTGTATTATTGATGATGGATGGATACCTTGTCTATATATACATTGTGAAGAGACACTATGAGTGGATGTGAGTCATCATTAGACCTTTGGGGGTGTCTTTGGGTATTCCTCGGTCTTACTCGTTTTTATAAGTTTGTTTGAGAGTGCAGACAACTCTCTACCAAATTTCATTCAATAACAAATGAATGTTAGAGAACTAATACTTAAGGTTGATGACATAATAACCATATCATTCATTCATATGTTCATATGAATATCCGAACTTACTTACTTATTACTTTGTGTTCATTAACATGAAAATGAACTTAATCAAGTGTTTGAGTGAAATGACTTGTGAAATTCAATTAATCGACGAAAGTTCAAGGGCTGTTGAGTGAATGAATGCATATTGAGAGATACATCATTAAACATCTTTCATTGTATATATATATATATAAATAGAACAATGAAACTGACAGCAGACCTTATTACACGTGCACCAGAGCTAATTAATCCTTGTAGGGAAAGAGAACTTAATCTGAGAGGTATGTGATTGATGATGAGTTTGTTTGATTGATTGATTGATGAGATTGAATGAACGAACACTTAACCTAACACTTATATATGTAGGTAATAAGATATCGATACTTGAGAACTTGGGAGCGACAAAGGATCAGTTCGATACATTGGACTTCTCAGACAATGAAATAGCGCGACTAGAGAACTTCCCTCCACTGAAGCGTCTAAAGTCGTTGTACTTTTGCAACAATCACATCATCAAGATCACAGAGGAGTTTGGCGAATCACTGCCTTCGCTCACAACACTGATCCTGACCAACAATCGACTGCTCAATCTGAGTGACCTTGATCCGCTGGCCAAGCTACCCAGCCTCAAATACCTCTCGCTCATGGAGAACATATGTACAAAGAAGCAAAACTATAGACTGTATCTTATTCACATCGTACCGCATCTCAAGATCATAGACTTTAAGAAGGTCACTCAACAAGTATGTTCAAGTCAGCTCATTCATTCGTTCGTTCATTGAGACTGACACCCTCCTCGCTCAATCAATCATTCAATCAATCAATCATGAACAAACAGGAAAGAGACGAGTCCAAAGCGATATATGGACAATCAAAGAAATCGATCAAGCAATCAAAGACAGCGACAACGGGCAAAACATTCATTCCTGGCGAAGGAATCAATGGAGTGTAGAATGGATGGCACAACAATGGAGGAACCGAATAAACTCAACTAGCGCGAGTCCAACCACCCAATCACTCAATCACAATCGATCAAACACCTTGTTTGGAAGATGAATGGTTAGTTTATTGCTTCTTTCCCTTTGAAGCCAACATGTTGTAGATCCTCTTGGGGAAGGCGACAGTCATGCGAAGGAAGAACTTCTTGAAGAACTGATGACGACCAAACAAAGTTCCATAGAACAGCAATACGAATGGATAGCATGAGAACATCGTAATGAAGTATGCCGCAGTATACTGCCATGGTCCTCCAAACACAGTGCCATCCACTTGCCAAAGGTTCTTCAACAGGTATCTAATAAGTGTATCATTGTCATCGAGTGAGTGAGTGAGTGTGATTGAATGATTGATTGATTGAAAGTGGATGGTTGCCATACCTAACAACGATCAATGCTGATGAACCAGTCATACCAAAGATGACACATTGGTAAGCCTTCTCGAGTATCCACTTTGTGCTCCATGGTGGATACTCATAGGTGTTATTCATGAATCTGAAAAGTAGTGACTTGTTGCTCATGTCTATCTCGTTCTTATTGTTCTGTTGTTGTTGTTGATCACCTCCTGTTGTTGAATCTGTTATATTATTAGGTGTTGATGATGATGAAGATGGTGAAGATGAAGATGGTTGTTGTGTTGATGAACTGTATGATCTCAACGACAGCTGTTGTTGTTGTTGTTGCTTTGATGGTGATGAAGTAGTGAATATAATATAAGATGTACGATAATGACCAGATGCTCTTAACAATGGTGAAGTAGAAGTAGTAGTGCTATTATACAATGACCTTGTATTGTTCAAGGCCTTGAAGAATGAAGAAGCTGTTCGAATGGACATTGTGTTTGTTAATGGATTCACACAATCAATGATGGGGGTCTTGCTTGGTCTTGAACAACAAACAAAGATTGATTGATCGAATGAATGATTGAATGATTGAATGAATGTTCAACTAAGTAGGACGAATGTTCGAGATATGGTCGATGGACTCACAAACAACATGAGATTATAGTCGTGTCGTCGACATCTCATACTATATCTTCTTTGCATGCCACTATCCAAAATAATAATCATAATTTACTCAAGTCGGTAACAAGTCAAAGAGGTAATCATGACCAACATGGTTCCAATCAATGATGCACTGATGATGATGGTAATGATTGATCATTCATTCATTTCACCTTCTTGGACTTGGCTTCATCTCCACTCCCCACAATAGCATCTTTGATGTTCCAACAAGCTCATTGGCCTTCATACTCATTGATCACCTTTCTCAAGCGATTGATTGTTGGAATCATTCTCAATAATTAGGATATTCAATCATCAAACAGTAATGTCATCGACGACTTTGGTAATATCCTTGTGTTGTTGTAACTGAACCTGAACTGATGGTCTCAAGGACCAATGATGTGATACCTAACTTGGGCCCAATAATGTGGAACTCCTTAGAATAAAAAAAAAACAAATCAAAAATGGGATGGTGGATTTTTTGATGTGTGAGTGCACTCCACAATCAATCTGATCATCAATCAAAACTTTGCTGAAGTTATTAGCATTACCTGTAAACATACATACATACACAAAGAAACAAACAATGACAACACCAGACTTATCCGATCCAGAACTCATGAACCACGTCAAGGCCGTGCAGAACGGCACTGAGGAGTGGTGCGTCTTTGGTTATGTGCCAAAGTCAAACATCAAGATCAAGTTCTACGAGTCTGGCACCAGTGGCGGCCTCACCGCTCTGCGCGAGGAGCTGAGCGATTCTAGCATTCGTTACGCTTACATCCGTTTCCAGATCAACAACTTGACCAAGTTCTGCTACATTGCCTGGTGCGGTGATGGTGTGAACGGCCCAATCAAGGGATCATTCTCTGGCCACGCCATCGAGATCTCCAAGATCCTCAAGCCACTGCACCACCAGTTGAACGCCCGTAACGAGGACGATTTGGACGAGAAGCGCATCATTGGCGCCCTCACCAAGGCCACAGGCGCCTCCTACGACTCTGGCGCCAAGATCCAGGGAACTACCAAGACTGCTGTGCCCACATCTGTCGCTCAGGGCCGTGTGCAGGCCACACAGTCCAGCATCCAGCCAAAGGCATTCGACAAGTCTGACTACACCAAGAAGGACGAGAGCGCACTCTACTGGCAGCAGACCAACACCACCGCCACCACTGACAAGGCCAAGCCCGACCGTTCAGAGTACAACGTCACTTCGACAGATCGCGAGAAGTACTGGAACCAGGCCAACCAGCAACCCGAGCAGCCCGCCGCACCCAAGCCCGCCGCACCAGCACCAGGCCGCAATGTGGCCAGCCGCTTCCAAGAGGCCGCCGCACAGTCATCTACCCCAGTCAAGCCACCACCCCCCAAGCCAACCGGCAACGTCACCAGCCGCTTCCAGCAGATGAAGGTTCACGAGCCAGAGCCCGTCTATGAGGAGCCACAACAGACATATGAGGAGCAGAGTTATGAGGAGCCACAGCAACATTATGAGGAGCAGCAGGCATATGAGGAGCCAGAGCAGCATTATGAGGAGCAGCAGCATTACGAGGAGCCACAACAGCATTATGAGGAGCAACAGCATTACGAAGAGCCACAGCAGCACTATGAGGAGCAACAGCATTACGAAGAGCCACAGCAACATTATGAGGAGCCACAGCAGCACTACGAAGAGCAGGCTGCTGACCAAGGATATGTCAGGGTCAAGGCACTCTATGCCTACCAGGGAGAGAACGAGGGAGATCTTTCATTCGCGTAAGTCGTCCATCATATGATCACAACTTGTTCCATTCACTAACGCCATCATCAATCAATCAATCAATCAAACAGTGAGGGAGACATTATCAATGTGATGGATCAATCCGATCCAGCTGGATGGTGGCAAGGAGAGCTGAACGGAGTCACTGGTTACTTCCCAATGAACTTTGTCCAAGAGCTCTAATCATGCAATCAATCAATCATCACAAACATCATCATCATCATCACTCAACATGTTGTACTTCATTCATTCCCCATCCATTGAGCAGGAGCAAGCAAGCAATAAACGTTAGCAAAAGACACCTTTTTGTTCTTGACCATCCATTGGCAGGCCGGCCACGAACGTCCATGTATACGTCCATGCAGTCGGGTAAGCCGCCATCCAGCTTGCAAGACAGGAGGGTTGGATTGATTGTCAGTTTATAAATGATGGTTGGATGAGTTGGCGGTAGGAGGTGAGGTGGAGGTGGAGGTGAGAAAGAATGGTGGATGGTGAGATGGGGACGATCGATCAGGGAAAGCCGTTTAGCTGCCAAGTGATCCCATGTCAAAGTAACCAACGCCATCCTCGTGGCTCTCAGAGTCCGATTCCGTCTCTGAGTCGGACAAGTTGGGGTCGGCGGCACTGACGCTCTTCTCTCTGTTGAGCAGCTTCTCGGCCTTCCTCTTCTGCTCTTCCTCTTCCTCGTCGTCGCTGTTGAATGTCTCCTCTTCGGCCACAGACTGCACACCGACCTTCTTCTTTTGGATCAGCCTCAGCATACCCTTTGACGACCAGAACTGATGTTGAATCTGTTCGTATTGTTGATGTAATATGTCCAGTCTGAATGATTGAGTTATAAAGTGATGGTGTTAGAGTTGCGCTGCACTGCGTTGCTCTGTTATGGAACATACTGATTGGTCTCTGGGTTGTAGTATGACTCGTCATAGTATACTTTGCGCTTCAGACATGCAAAGATGGTACTGTGGATGGTGGCCAACGATCTGTCGATACTTGTGTTGTCGATTTGAGGGATCTAGAGGGACGGGAAGGGAGAGGTTAGGGAGGAGGGAGGCGGGGGACCAGTGGGCCACACGCTGGACCTGAACTTACCAGAGCAGAATCGGCACCTTGACACAGGTAGTCGTTGATGATTCTAATGTTCTTAAAGTATTTGGTGTATTTGTTCTGATGGGGATCCAGCGTCATGTACTTTGATCGAATGGCGAATCGCTCCTTGTGCTTGGCTTCGTTGGATATATACATAAGGAAAGGAATACAGGAAGGATGCTTCTTGACCAGTCGCAGAATGATCCTCGTGTCCAAGTGCACGCCCTCGACAATGAGCGACTCATTCCTCTTTTCATAGTGTTCGATGAGTACATCCAGTTTGTTGAAGATCATCTCGTTCTGGGCTTCGTATCCCTGAAGAATCTATTTGGTTGATTGATTGGGCGGTTGATTGATTGATTGTTAGGTGCGGAGCGGCAGGACAGGGGGCCCGCCAGCCAGGCGTACCTTCTCTTTGTGTGACAGGCTCGGGTCTGAGATGATCTCTCCGGCGTGGTAGGTGGACGCCCAGAGGATCGGCGACTCAGCCCTGCTGATGAACTTTCGCAGGATCTGTCTGATGTTGTCGGTGGATATCACGGCTGCAAAGCCAATGCGGCTGGCCAGCAGGGCGGTCAGCGTGCTCTTGCCGCAGCCAGAGGTGCCGCCCAGCAGGATGGTGAACGAGTGCTTCTTCTCCTGCACCTCGCAGGCCACGGGGAAGTCCGAGATGTGGTGCGGCTTTGAGTATTGATAGGTGGAGATAACATGACGGACGATATGATAGAACGTGCTCCTTAACAGGGACACGCAGAAGATTGGTCCATTTGTAATATCTTCTTCGCTGCTGTTGTTGTTCGTCGTCGTAGTCTTCTTGCGACGGAACTCCCAACCTGATGAATAGGCCAACTTGCGACATTTCTCCATCTGGTCAAACACCACAGAGGTGATCTGTCTGGCGTGCACCGACTTGCAGCACATAAACTTGAGTGTCAGGTTCAAGTGATAGCGTGAGTATCGCTTGATCCTAGTATTATGATGGAAGATAAACTCATCCTTTACATCAAAGAACTTGATGTATTCGAATATCTACTCATTCATTCATGTGTTAGTCAATGTTGTTGCTCGACTCAGTACCCAACGTTAACATAACATACCTCTTTGTTTGTGGACAAGTCTGTGTTGATGTCGTTGGGGAGAGGGAATGGATAGGCTAGGATGTTGTTGAGACGGTCTTTGTGGGGAGGCCGAGAGTACATTGAAGAGAGTGGCTTGAAGCTTGGAGGAACGGGTTCATTCTCGTGATTGAACGATGTGTCTTCAAACAGAGTCTCCTCCAATATATAGATATAGGTCAATGATGTATCATCTACACCATGTTGTTGTTGTTGTTGTTGTTGACCACCTTTGTTATGTGCATCTGATGCACTCCTCGTTGTTGTTGTTGTTGTTCTTGTTGTTGACATTCCGTTCATTCTATTTTAAATTGATTGTTTTGTTTGATTGTTTGATTACTTCTTATTAATGTACAACAACAACAACGAATAACTAAATGACTCTACCTAACTCACTAAAGTAAGTAAGAGAGAGTGTATATATATAAATTATAATATATTAAGGTATTATTTAAATATTAGATATGGTATTTAACTAAATGATTGTAATAACTGTATAACAATGTTCCATCTGTCTGCTCTATACTATATATATTATATTAAAGTTATATATCTATGTATTAGTTCAAATAATAATCACATCATGCATGTCAATGTAATGTCCACATTCATTCAGTCCCTTTCATTCATACACACAGACACGGGTTGTGTCCTTTCCTTCATCTCTTTCAAATTGAAGCTGTCACCCATTATTATTATTTTTAAAGTGAGTTCACCTCTTTTATCTTTAAGTAACGTTTATTATTTAAATTCATTTTTTTGAATTGTGGGGATCGAGCCGCGAATTGGATAACTCTGGTCCAAGGGCAAGCAAGGGCAATCAATCAAGACGATCAGGTCAGGTCATATACCAATACAGGACAGGACAGGTCAAGACACTTACACAACAACAACAAACAATGATGATGTCAACATTGCTTCGAAGGGTGTGCACTGTAGCCGCCACATCTGGAAGCAGATCAATCATTGTACATAACAGCATTAGCAGCAGCAGTAGACAGTTGGTCACAAGAAATATAATTGGATGTTCATCATCAATCAATACATTAAGATCATACGCGACTGCTACCGCAACAGCGACTGCAACAGATGCCGAGACAGAGACAGAGACACAATCAGAGAAGTCCAACATTCCATTCCAATTCCTCTCAATCACAAAGGATCAGTGGAAGTATGTATCATTGATCATTGTATGCATTACAACAGCGAGAGACTGACAAAGGAACAACAACAACAACAACACAACTACAGCACAAACATTGGAAAGGAATGCATTTCGAAAGAGTTGCAAGCACACTTTGATAGAATTGGCAAGGAGAAGGAGAGAGCCACTCTGTTGCGTCAGCCAGTGTTCAAGGTGATCGAGTGGATGAACAGAATGAGATTGCAACAGTTTGTCAAGACATCAAAGTCTGACTATGCCATGCTCATCGATGGAAAGAAGGGCGCTGGCAAATCCGTCGCACTCAGCCAGCTCGTCTTTTGGGCAAAGCAACAAGGCTGGTTCGTCTTTTACGTGCCAAGCTGTAAGTGGATCCATCCATCATCGTCATCATCTTGTACATACATTCATACTCACTCATACTAACTCATACATTCGTAGGCTTCAAGTTCATTCATACTGGAACATTGACACCATTCGTTGAGAACCCAATGTTGTTCGAACAACATGAGCTCTCTACATTGCTCCTCAATCAGATGCTCGAGGTCAATGGTGAGATGATGAAGCAGATCCCTCTCAAGACCAAGTTCAAGGTATGATCGCTCACTCATTCCCTCGCTCATACATCGTTGGCGCAACCATCTCTCCTCGCGCGCCCTCGCTCACTCACTCACTCACTCATTCATTCACCTCCACATCCACCTCCAACTCCAAACAGATACAATTCAACAACTTCAAGTCACAGGGCAAGACATTGTATGACCTGGCAGCTTCGTCGATGGTGGATTGCTCAAGCGAGGTGCTGTACCACTTTAAGCGCGAGTTGGATTGTGTCGTGGAGTTCCCAGTGCTCGTGGCACTGGACGGCTACAATCACTTCCATCGCAAGTCTGGCTACGGAGACATGTACGACGCCAAGACATTCATGGGCACGCTGCCCACCGATCGTCTGCTGGCATCCAATCTTTTCAAGCCACTGTTCAACCACTCGCTGTCCAACGGCATTGTCGTGGCGACCACCACCGACGACGTCAGAAAGGAGCAGTTACTCGGCGAGTTTGAAGAGAGCATGATCTCTCACATCCCCAAGTTCTCACTCTATGAGATGAGACTACTGATCAACTATCTGGTAGATATACAATACTTAGAGAAAAGTAAGTTCATCCATACCATCAATCATTCAATCATCACATCAAGTCACTAACATCCACTCACTCACTCACTCAATCAATCAATCAATCAATCAATCAATCAATCAAGTTCCATCACAAGAGACAGTACAATACCTTTGGCAATTGTCAAGTGGAAACGCAAGAGAGGTCTGGAGATTCGTATCACTGTTGTAGAGAGAAGAGACATGAACGACAACGAAACAACAACATCGATCAATCAATCAATCACATCATCCTCTTTTCAAATAAATCAAATCAAAACCACCAATATTCGTACTTTAAGATTATATATTATATCTGTCCATGTCTTTGAAATGATTGTGTAGATCACTGATTCACCGATCTAATTGCTTCGATCGACAACGACCATGGTCGTGACCTTGCCCCAATGCCCCACAATGGGCCCAACCCATAAACAAACTTTGATTGTTCACAACCCACACACTCTCCCATTGATCGATCACTCCCCACACTCACACTGATTGATGGTGAATGGTCATTGCCGTTCACACACACCCTACATCATTATAATAATAATCACAATCTATAAATAACTAAAGATATCACTTTTAAGTAATAATAATAATAATATATATTATAATACTAGAGTGTATTTGTTAGATCGGTGTGAACTGTTCAAGTCAACTCTTTACAACAAGTTGTTGACATCATCGACATTCATTCACCAATCAAACAAGAGAGATATTTTTGTGCGCGCCACATCCACCAACAAACAACCCTTCCCTTTTTGTTATTGTTAGTTTGTTTGATTGTTAGTTTGTTATTATTATTGTTATTATTATTGTTATAGTTGTAGTTGTAATATAAATATTATCTGTTTGTAGTAATAGTATTAGATATCGAACCAACAAAAGCAATAACAACAAATATAGAATGATGGAGTCATCAATGTTGAGGGAAGAAGAGGTACGATCACATCACATCACAACTCAATCCACTCACTCATACGTTCAATCAAACATATATATATATATAGGTCGAGATATTAGAGTTAAAGTTACGTGACCCTGTAACAGGTATAATTCCAAAGTTGAATGGAGAGGATATTATAAAGGCAGTGGACGTTGTGGATTGGTTGAGCAATGGAATGCAGGTCACAAAGGTCAAGGCAGAGGAATACGCACAGATGTTGTGGAATCGTGGAGTGTTTGATCATATCGCTCCGCCAAATGCATTTGCCGACGACAATCAATTGTTCCGTCTAAAGCTCAACGAGAACCTACTCAACAAGAAGATAACACCAGGCGATGAGCAACAATGGACACAACTCAAACAGGATGCTGCCTCAAAGGATTCATCCAATGCCGATCCAATTGTCAAGTACATAACTTACATGATTGATTGACCGCATTGAATGATTGATCGTCCTAACACTCACTCAATCACTCAATCACTCAATCACAGATTACACAAGTCTATTGAGAATGCCACCAAGGTATATCAGAGACTGCTTAGAGAGAAGAACCAGGCGGCCACGCCTAATACACAGCTGGCATTGAAGCTGCTGGATCAAACATTGGCATTGATCACATCGAGCTCGAGTGGCTCACACAATGCCTACTTCAATCATATTATGGGTCTGCTTCAGAACCCTTCGTCTTTCATAAATGGTGTGCCAGGCGACGATGACGACAAGTACATCTCGGTGCCCTACCCCAAGAAGCTGCCAGCCATCCCCGAAAACAAACAACATCAACAAGGACAGGATGGCGAGCAGGGCGCTGAGGTTGAGGACATTCTGGCCGTGTCTGAGCGCTTGGAGAGCGGACTGCTAGAGCAGTTGAACCTGGCGCATCAGCAGACTACCCTGTTGAAGCAGCTCAAGACGATGCGACTGGCCAACAGCCCGGCCAACGGCAGCGGCGACCCAACCAAACAGACTAGCGCACTCTACCCCAACGGCATTGACGAGTCGCCAATCTCTCTGGTGCGCCAGCGATCATCCAGCTACTTTGGCCCAGGTACACTCAAGAGTGTCGACCTGTCGCCAATTGTCATTGGCATCGTCGAGAACAAGTTCCCCAAGTTCCTGATCGCCGAGCCAAAGAGCGACTCGTTCAACTTCTCAGTCAACGGCCCAGGCGCCGACCAGGTCGAGTCCACAGTTCACTCGTGCTTCAACAACAACTTCTACGCCAAGACCGTGTCGACTTATCCCCACCTGCCTGGCCACCCCAAGCGCGAGGGAGATCCCATTTGTGATCACTTCTGCATCCAGGTGCAGAGCACCCGTGTGGTGGCCGCCGTGGCCGACGGTTGCAACTGGGGCTCGCGTCCCGCAGAGGCAGCCCTGAAGGCGTCGACCGCATTCGTCGACTTTATCTCAAAGGCACTGTCAAACAGCGAGATCAGAACGGTTCAGGATGCAGGCAATCAAATTCTCTCAGCCTTTAACTATGCTCATAACAGGATCATCGAGGGCAAGCCAGACATTTGGGAGGCTGGCACCACCACGCTGCTGGGCGGTGTGATGGTTGAGATGGTCGAGAGCAGCCAGACCACCAACGCATCAGTCACGCAGAGCGCCAACCTGAACAGGTCAATTCCCAACCCCAACGCGGGCGGCGCAGGTGCCAACAAGGACAAGTTGGCTGCAGCCAAGGACCCCAACACACCACCATCGCGATGGGGCTTCATCTGCGCAAGCGTTGGCGACTGCAAGGCGTTCCACTACAGCCATTCGACAAAGAAGTTTGCAGATATCACCAAGAACAATCGTGGCAATGTAGACGATGCAAAGGACCCGGGCGGTCGTCTCGGACCCTACGTGGACAATGGACAGCCCGACCTAAGGAACCTCTGTCTGCACTTCCTGCCATGTCAGGAGAACGACATCATCATTTTGATGTCTGATGGCGTGCACGACAACCTCGATCCACAGTCCATTGGCGTCACGCCACGCGAGCTCCAGCTGCCGCACGACAACTGGTCTGATATGGAGTTTGAGAAGATCCAAGAGAGCAAGAGCAAGTACATGCAAGAGTTCCTCAAGAAGAAGATCCGCGGTCTCCAAGTTGACGACCCACTGTCGGCCAAGCTGGTTGTGGACCGTCTGATCGATCACGTTGTGGAGACCACGCGCTCGAGTCGCGACTTCATGGTCAACTCACCCAGCAAGCCACTACCTGACGACCTGAAGGCTTATCCAGGAAAGATGGATCATTCCACATGTGTAGCATTCAAGGTTGGTGTACAGAGTCTCTAAGGAAACAGAAATGAATGAATGAATAATGGATATGCTCAAACGTAGTAGGATTAGCAATAAAGTTCAGATAGATAAGATATATTATTTGATTGATTGATCAGATGGTGGCTGGGTCAACGATGATGGGCTCAATTTGGTTGCCATCACCTGCAACAGGTATGTCTGGAGGCCATACCAACTTTAACTTGGTAACCAGGAAACGAGCGAATTGTTGACAATTGGATTGGTGGCTCCAGGTCGAACCCTTGGAAGCAACGAACTCTGGATACCAGTAATCTTGAACATCGTCGCTTAGTTGGTAAGCCCATTGACGAGGATGATAATTGAGGTTGTTTGTAATCTTTCCAAGTGGAATATAGTCAGATGGAGATTTGATAATCGAAGAGAGATGTCCAGTTGTGAATTGGACTGTCTTATCTTGAACATTGACAGCACTCAAATTGAGAATTTGACCTCTTGGAACATTTTGATCTGATTCTCCTGCAACATCTATGATCAAAGAGTAATGTAGGTGTTCAATACTCTGTGATTGTTGTTTTGAAACATGTTTGTTGACATTGATGCGGAGGAGATAGACATCACCAGCTCTAGACTGGTCACTAATGGTAGTGGGATAGAACATATTGTTGGAGAATGATCCATCATCTTGATACGGTCGATAGGAAGATAGTGATAAAGTTGAGCCCATTAGTGTATTCTCTCTCTTTGATTATTAATTAAATGAGTACCAAGGTTGTTGATTACTTGTGACCTGTGATGATGCCAATTAAATATATATATTTCCAGATTTGGTCATCAAAGAGGTGAACTGGAACAATCAGGCAATTATATAAGTTAAGTATATATAAATATAAATATATTGTATTGGTTGTACAAAGGGAGTGGCCACAATGTCCAACAAAAGAACAAACAATGACTGACTGCTACTACATGGATAAGGCGACGAGGAAGAAGATAGAGGGATGTGCGACTATGATGTCACCCTGAAGATGGTGACAACTCTGGTGATGGACTTGCGACATAGTGGACAGTTCTTAAGCTTCTCGGAGCATCGTGAGCAGCAACTGAGATGGCCACACTCAAGAAACACGGTGTTGATATGCTTGTCCATGCAAACGACGCACAGATCCTTGTCGGTCAGGTTGTTCTCCACGACGTCCTTTGATCTACGACGGTTCTTCTTCTTCTTTTCGGTGGTGCCACCTGTTGTGGAGGCAGTGTTTGTTGCGTCCTGTGGTCGCACAGGTGATCTCGACAGGAACACCTCATTCAAGAAGTTGACATTTGGCGAGCCCGATGGTGTTGTGACCACTGACTCATTGTATTCCAGGTCTGACTGTCCTTGTTGTTGTTGTTGTGGTTGTTGTCCTTGTTGTGGTTGGACGCTTATGATTGGTACCCGATCACCACTACTGCTGTTACTACTGTTGCTACTGTTGTTTCTTCTATGTTTGTCAGAGATTGGAGAGACTAGCAGTGAGGAGGCGCTGGGGTTGATGTTGTCCGAGGGTGGGAACATCATTGGGTCGACGGGACCAACAGCATGCTTCAGTTTGGACGAGAAGTTGAGAACGAATCCAGTGAGATTTGGGAAGATGTCAGGGGGCTGAAGCAATGTCAGTCCAGTGGCAACAGGGTAGAGCAAGCAATGTCGGATGTTGCTCGACTGCTCCACAAATGTAACGGCGAATGCGCCCGGGTAAGTTTTACTGAAGCGAATGATATAATGTCCAGCCGACTTTCTCTCGAGGAATCTTGATGCCTCTACTCCAGAGATGAATCCACTCATTATCCTGTTTAGAAGTTGTTGTTGTTAGTATAATGAGCGAGTGGAGGCAGCATGGCGAAGGACATACTTGGCATCGATTGTATCTACAACATTGTTGAATGATCTTGATAGTGGACCGAACCATTTCAGAAAGGTGGATAGCTTGAAAGGACTGACATAGCCATCCTGTGTGAAGTCGATAATATGTTTGAAGTTGTCCTCATACTTGAGAGCTCTAACATTGATATATGATTGAGTCCTATCAAAGAATATGGGCCAAGGGACTAGTAGTACCTAGAGTTGGAGTTCGATCGACACAATTAGATTGATTGATTGATGCGGGATTTTAGATCAACAATGACAACTTACATTTTCGCCAAACTTCTTCTTCCACATCTCTGCAGCATCTTGTGGAAGTAGTAGCAGTGGGTCATAGTCGCAGCCATTGCCATTGCCAGTGTTGTTGTTGTTGTTGCTGATGTTGCCACAAACAATGACTTGATCATTGTTGATTGTGAACATTGCCAATAGTTGATCAACTGATTGCTTCAACAATGAGTCTGTCTTGAGGATGGTTGTGATCAGTGTGGTCTGGCCCTCCTTTGGCGTGCTCTTGAGTTCAGTGAGTGAGCCTCGCAGTTGGCTGAGCAGTGTGTGTATGCGCTGAACGTTCATTTGGTAGCAGACTCGTTTGCTCGTGATCATCAGGTGCTGGCCAGGTGTGGGCGACGCGCCTTCGCTTGGGAACGAGTCGGACGTGTAAGACTTGTAGAGCACCAATGATGACTTTATAAACAGGTAGGTGTTGTTGAGCTCAGAGAACTCATTGTCGGCCAGCAATGCAATCGACTTGAAGTCACTCAGAAGTCTTCCAATGATCTCTGACAGTGTTATACAGTCAAGTATTGAAACTATTTGTTGTTGTTGTTGAACTATATGTTGTTGTTGCTGTTGTTGTTGTTGTTGTAGTAGTTGTTGTCGTTCAAACAAAGGTGCGGGTATTGAAAGGAATGAAGGTATATTGTTTGTTTGAAATGTTGTCGTGGTTGTTGTGGCTGTTGTTGTGGACGACATGCCACCAGTTGACAATGATCCTGAACTTGAGTTCATAGTGTATATATGTATAAATAATGAGCTTCACTCAGACTGCTGTCTGTCTGTCCTTCGTTGACTCGAGTTGTTAATGTGTTTGTTGTGAGTGCGCCAGCTTTGTTGATTGATTGACTGATTGAATGGCTGATAGGTTTGAACGGTATTAGTTTGAGTTGATTGATCTTTTAAACTGCTGCTGCTGCTTGATGATCAAGGTGAAAGATAGTCTGCTCGGTTGGACTTGGGATGTACGATGGCTCGGAAGGGTGGTGGATGGATCGATTGTGTGTGCTGATATCAGAAAGGTAGTTGGATAGATAGATAGATAGATACTATGTGTGTTGTTAATACTATTACAAGGTGAATGTTGTTGTTGGTAGTACAGATATGATGATGTTCTAGAAATTTGATGGAAGTGATAGTACAACTGTGTATTTGATTTGATGGAAGATTGGATAGTGAATGGAATGAATTGACTTTTTCAAATCAAATCAATTATTGGGTCTCTCTCTGGTCTTGATGTGATGTGGGAGATGACGAATAAGTTGGAGTTGTTGTGTTGTTGAAATGAAAACAAAACACGAATGACTGCGAGATCTGGAATGTGATTTCGAATGGTTGGATGGGATGGATGCACGAGTCTGAGCTGGCTTAATAATTAAAGAACATAGAATATATAAATAATAATTTTAAGATTACACTAGATTCGATTCGGTTGTTGTTTGAACTGAATAAAAGGTTGGATTGTACAAGTTATATATATCAATCGATTATTAATAATAAAAGAGAGAGAGAAAGGGATAACAAACAAACACACAAACAAAGAGTAACAAAACAGAACCATACCTAATAAACTCTGAATTGAATGACAATGAATTTGAGGCCTGTCAAACTATTGTGTTTGATTGATTGATTGATTGATTGATTGATTGATTGATTGATGAGTAGTCGTTATGTGTGTTATGTGTCTATGTTTGTCAATAACAAGTAGGTGAGTGAGTTTGATGATGATGATTGGTAGGATAGAGATGTCGAATGAGTTGGAACCATCATCAATGAGTGAGATAGATAGATAGGGTGCTAAATTAGGGGGTTTTGGTGATCTGTGATGAAATCAACCAATGTTGCACAAAAAAGTGATTCACACACTTTTTGGTTTGTTCAATCGCTCACCCATGAAAGACTCTTCGTTTAAATTTATCAAGATAGTTTATTGTTGCTTTTGCTATTGTTCTGTATCATACTTGATGTGATATGTGGATGGATAACAGTCAGACTGATTCCAAGAGTTTTGTAGGAACATTGGTTGTTTGAGAAATCACTCAAAACCAAACAAAAGAGATAATCACTTGATACTCATTTTCTTGTACAACGAATAATAATAATAGAAGATAGGATAGGATTATAGAACGAACAGATACAACATCACCCATTCACTCACCACTTTGATTGATGAACAAAGTGACCCAGCAGCCCAACAAACAGATGGATGGTGATATGATTCCCATTTTTGGATTTAAATTGATTCAAGAACATCACCTAGAATCATCATTATTGTTGGTTGTTGGTTGATGAACTTGTCGATCGAATAATAGACATCTTGGGTGGAGGTTTTGTGTGAGATACATAAGATCGTATTATCTCTTCTATACATCTCGCACCAAACTTAGGCTCCGACGACTCTAAGTTTCAATTTGCACACAACACAAGGAGATAGAGATAGAGATAGAGATAGATAATGGACTTGCAAGAGTTGGTCGTGGAGAGCCTCCTGCGTCCGTTCTTCTCGCACCAGTTGGTCGAGTTTGAATGTGCGCTCTATGATTTCGCAAGGGCAGATGTGCATAATCAGTTCTTCGACAGTCACTTGCAGTTGATAGTGGACTCGCAAACAGCTCTGTTTCATGCAATGCTCCGCCTCTCACTAGTATCATGGAGATGGTTTACACGCCTATCGCGACTCTTCAGCAATCACGTCTCGATATCAGTGTCGCCACACGGCAGCGGTGCCCCAGAGTGCACTCTCTACCTCTCCCAACCATTCCAGATGCATCACATCTATCACACGATGTGGAGCTTTCGGCCTCGTTTCGCCATCCCGTCATCCCTGGTGCGCGCCTCTGTGCCGCACAATCTGTACTCACTATTCCAGCCATCCTATACCAATCGCATCTCACTTGTGCTCAGACAGGAACACAGCGACATCCCGACACTCCTCGGTCTCTTCCCCAACGTCGCACGCGTCGATGTCTACGCCCTCTACCCCTGCATTGAGTCTGCCAGTCGCTACATCAAACAGCTCAGCTCCCCACCCATGGCGACACTCACCGCATTCTTTGACTGGGCATCGCAATACTCGATCTTGGAGGAGTGGAATTGGCAGCAGATACCGACACCGACACATCACAATGGCCGTCGGCAATTGGACGGCTCATCTCTGTATGGCCACACCCATCTCGTCCTTCCGAGTTGCTGCGCAGCCATCCCGTCATATGCACAGAATGCCTGCCAATCTGCATCACAGGTCTCAATCACATTGATCGAGCACCACGAGAGCCCATTCGAAGAATACATGCGACACCATTTACCCGGTCTGCTGCCGGACATTGCGAGCATTGGCGCATTCCTGCAAGAAGTGGACCTTGGCGATCATGCCGTGTCTCCAGCGCTGCTCGCCAACATTGTCAGAGGCGCCATCAACATCAAGTCAATCGTTGTCAAACTGGCCTTTGACGAGCAGCAGGAGGACCAGGCGCGCGAGCCTCAATACTGGGAGATGTGTAGTGCTCTGGCGACGTCGCCACATCTCGCCAAGCTGGCACTATCCCTACGTGTGCAGTTGGTCCATGGAACCGACCCCGATGATACACTGCTGCCCAAGGGCTTCTACAAACTGCAATCGATGTTTGCCGTGATCGTGGATAATCCCAGCCTGACATATCTCCATCTGGACCGCCTTCCTCTGGCCACCGAGCAACTCTTTCAAAGGAGCTGGGCCATCGGTCATCCATTCGCACTCTGCTTCTTTCGAGACCCATCACACAGACATTCACCTCTCTCTCTGCGTTGCAGAGTCTGCTCAGGGCCACGCAGACACTTCGTTCTCTATTCACATCCTTTACGAGTACGATGTGGAGGATGTCATCCTGGCCGCACTCTCCAACGACAATTCAATCGATCACTTCAAACTCACTGGCCCTGGAGATATGAATTGGAAGGAGGGCGGGAAGCATCGGTGTATTGCTGCCATCAAGGCAAACGATCACATCCAATCGCTGGAATGCGACGTGCTTGGCCGTGACTACATCAAGGCGAGGCAATTTCCATCGATCCAACGGATGGACTACTCATTCTTCCTCTAGCTCTAGCAGGCAGCAGCGAGACGATGCCCATTTGGAAGTACTGGCGTATTTAACACTTCTGCGAAGTCTCCTAGGATAATCTCCTTAATTAGTAATGTAAACCCAACAAATTTGATGATGAACTGAATGACCACCCTTTACTGGCAACATCAAGGACAAGATAATGAACCTCAAGAGCCTAGATGAGACTCTCGCCAAGCACCATGAACAATCCTCTGTATCAAGTACACCAATCATTGATAACGGTATTTCGCGCACAGAGGTTGTTCAGGTCGGCGATGAATCTCAACAACCACATGATCATCACAAGCATCAACCAGAACCATTCGACTGCAGAGGACATCTCTGTGTGTACAGTACCGAGAAGAGTCGAGTGGATGATTAGTCGAGATGTATGTTGCGAGATGACCGCCACTACCATTGGGATTGGAAGCAAGCACTGTGTCCACTGTGTTTGACGTTCTTTGACCGAGACACCAATGGAGCATCAAATATATTACTGCTTGTGTGCTATCAGGCCTTGACCTTATCCAGACCATGGATATTCAGAAGGCCAAGGTTGCCGATGGTTGCTCAAGGTGTGTCGACCGATGGATGGATGGATGTGGATGGATATGAGATTGAATGAATGCATTCAACAGACACTATCATAGTAATGACCTCTTTAAGGAAAGTGCGCAATTGTCGTTGTTGTCGGACCACACCCACCCACACATTCAACACACATAGATTGTCACTTCAAAGTGGTCCACTCTTCTGTCAATCCACCACAACCTACAATGGCACTCACATTCAGATAGATCTACACAACCGTCATCCACACACAACACAACACACAAACACAACACACAAACAACACCACAACACACACAACACTACCTTTAAATGAACAATATCTGACTCTTTGGCCTTGTTCTCGTGGTCCACTCTTCTCTCTCTGTCTCACTTGCTCTTACATTCACTCATTCAGTCATTCATTCAAATCCTTCCCTACTTCCTTACAACTACATACTACTTATAAGTTAAACAATATTACAAAGTATATACAGATAGACTCTACACATATGACAGGTACTCATTAGAACAGAACAGAACATAATATAGTAGTAATATATATTCAGATACAACACTCTATTTATTTATTTATATATATATATTCTATTTATTTATATCTTCCAATTGGAAGTTTTCCAGTCCAACAATATCATACTTGTATAAATATGTTAATCGAATGTAGATTTTGTTTGGAGGAGTTGGAGGTCCGAATACCACAACAAGACTGCACAGATATAGATTGTTTGAAACAATCAATCAACAATCCAACGGCTACAACGACTTGTGGATCAACACATCAAGACCACCAACATCAACACCAGCAACAACAGCTTGGACTATCATATACTGAGTTAAGACCATTACATCAATCAAAGAGAAAGAAGAAGGATATTGGATGTAGATTGGTACGACCTTGTGCCTGCAAAGGTACACAACAACATGTCCACGTCAAGTGTCTGTGCGAATGGATTGCCAAGTGCAACAAGTGGTACTGTACGATCTGCCAGCGCGTCTACAACCTCTCGCCCTCGCAGCTGCACTACTGCGTGGTCAAACTGCAAAGGAAGGGCGCGCTGAAGAACCTGCCGCCAATATACTCCAACTCGGACTTTTCCAGGTCGAGCTACTTCATCCTCCTGGTGTTCATGGGCACGCTGAGCATGCTGATGCTCCCTTCGACATTGCCCCCACACACCCTTCAGTCTACGTCACCGCCCTCGTCGTCGGCGTCTGGCTACTCATCGCTCATGGTGTCGGCAGCCTCCAACACCTACTACAATCCAAACCCGACGACGTCGTCGCCAATGTTGGGGCGTCAGCATCCGGTTCTGCCGCCGAGTATAGCAGAGCCAAACGGCTCACCCTACTACAACTCGCAGATATCGCTGTTCTTCTCGTCCAGCTGCAAGGTTGTACATCAATCATTGAGCAACAGCCTGCTGTTCAATCAGAGGATATCATCACTGTTATGCAAGGACAGTCAACAACAACATTCCCCTAGCATCAAGGGAGTGTCATTCACACAGGGTCCAATACCCAGCTTCTTCAATCGACTGACCACCGGTCAGCAGCAACATCCATCAATGTCTCAGCAACAACATCCTGGCAACTGTGGCAATGGAAGCAGTCGTGATGTATTTGGCGATATCATGGAGACATTGTGCAACATATTGCCAGTATGTGCCACATCACGAGACCACAACAACAATTGTATTCAACTGGATTCCAGGACAGCCCAATAAACAAGGATGGTGGTCGACATCCCATCTCCCTTCCCTTCCCTTCAAAGTTCGTTGTCCAAAGGTATCCTTTAATTATTAATTATTAATTATTATCTATCAATGTTGGACGACTAGCTTGGCGCGTCAACAGTTGAATCACCTTTGCTCGCTGCCGACCTGGCCTTCTTCTTTGGTTGTGTTTGTGGTGGCTGTTCGACAGGCTTGGCCTTCTTGCCGCCTCTGTTTCGCTTCGAGTTCTTTCTTTGATCTCTCTTCAACTTTGCATCCTTCTTCTTTTGAATCTCCAAATCCTCTCCTATCAATGGTTTGCTCAACACAACCTCCTGTCCCTTTGCAGACATCTCTCCAAACATCTCTGCTGATGTGAACGTCTTTACAACGGTGTCCAGGTCCTTGTTATCAATTGGGATCACTAATATTGATTGATTGATAGGGTTGGTCAGTGGGATGACGATGATGATGGTTTGTTGGACTGCTTGTGAACTTACATGTATTGGTATCTTGAGCATGTTTGAGTAGCTCATACCAGTCAGAGTTGACGCATAGTGCTCGGGAATTGCCAATGACTAGGAGCGATGATCGAGGTCTGGTAAGGGCCACATTCATACGTCTTACATCGGCAAGGAAACCAATGCCAGCACCCTTCTCAGCAGGTGCCCTGCAACACGAGAAGATGATGATCTCACGCTCTCGTCCCTGGAAACCGTCGACAGTGTCCACACTAATGTCGGGATAGTTCTTGAAGTACTCTCGCATCGATAGCACCTGCTGACGATATGGCGAGATGATGCCGATCCTGCCATTGAACACCTCATCCGGGTAGGTCTTGAGCAGGAGCTGGTAGAGATAGTATGCCATCCTGCACTCGTCCTCGTTGAAGACTGAGCCGCCGCCGGGCTTGGTCTCGACCGAGAACTGCAAGTCAAAGAATGTGAATGGGCCAAAGAATGGGTTGGCGTGGTAGTTGGTGGCGCGCGCTGGGATATTGGGACCGTCCTCGAGCAGGTCGTTGTAAAAGTGTCGCGAGGGGAATGTACGGATGGTCGAGTGCATACGATATTGAGTGGTGAGCATGTGTGGCTGCTTGCGTTCCTGCAGACGCTGGAACAATGATTGATCAAACTTCTGCTTGATAGCCAGTGGGGAGATGATAGTGGCGGGCAGCTGCTTGGGATCGCCGACCAGCACGATCTTCTTGCACTTGTGCTGCATGGGCACCAGTGTGGATGTCTCGACGGCCTGCGCCGCCTCATCAATGATCACAATGTCAAAGCCGCTCATCTTAGTCAGCAGCGTCGAGCCAGAGAATGAGAGCGTGGTGGCCACGATCTCGGCCTCCTCCAGGATCACTGTTCTGATGCTGTTTGTGTCCGTGTTGGACTTGGACGATGTGGTGGCCATGGCCGTCGACGCAGACGACGATGGGATCGCCGTGTTGGAGTTCATCAACTGCTGACGGCATCGTACCATATGTTCCAATGTGACTTCCTCGACATCGCGATGTGAACCAGGTCCAACACGAACAATGCTTGGTTTGTAAGCCTTGCCCTCGTGATTCAATATGCCGTCTCTGATGAGACGCGTGACAATCTCGTCCACGGCACCATTACTTGGTGCACATAGCAAGATCCTTCTCTTTCGCTCAACATTCTTTGTCGTTCCAGTCTCTCTCAACTTCCTCCACAAGTCCCTCTTCCTCTTCTCCTCTGTCTCTTCAAACGATCCAACAATCGCTGTAAAGTCGTCTCTTGCATGAGTGAATGTAGGACGTGTCCATGGCTGTGCGCTACATTAATGTGGATGTATGTTAGTCGACTATTGTGATCGCTTCGCCTCGCCTCGCATGGATCATGTAACATACATTTTCCAAAGATCATCCTTCTCGAATCTATATAACTCTCTGTTGTCGACCTCTTGATGTGCTGCCTCTGCTTCTTGTTTGGGTATCTCCACACTGTGCAGCAGGACACTGATCAAACCAACAATGACGTGAGTCTTACCCGTACCTGGTGGACCCTGGATCAATGTAATGTTTGATCCATCCAACGCTGATGTCAATGCGCCAAACTGTGATGAGTTATAGTTCGTCTCGAACTTCTCCTTCAATGCAGGAGGGATCTTCATTGGTTGTCCAATCTAAACATGTTGAGTGATTGAGTGATCGAGTCAGTGATCGAGTGAGTGATTGATCGATTGATGAACACAAACAAACATACCTCTTCCTCTGACAAGAGCAATGTCTTCATGAATGGTGTCTTGGCTGTGAGATAGAGTGCAAGGTACTCACGCTGAAGTGTTGAGCAGTTGCAGAGTTTGGTGGTCCACCAGTCCATCTCGTAACGGAGGAGAAGGTTCATTTGACGTCCACGATCGCCTGTGATGTTCTTGATGCAGAATCTGACCTTGATGCCACCCATCTCAAACTGCTCGACCGTGCCCACGAGATGCAGATATCTGTTCTCCTCGGTGACGGGCACCTTTGATGGCGGGATCGCCTTCTTCTTCTTTTTGCTGTCCAGCGTGAACACCTTCTCGGGGTCCTCGCCAGCGGCGGTTGACGCGCCATTCGCGTGCAAATTGGGCGAGGTCTCTTCGTCGTCGGTGACCTCCTCGTTCTCGTCTGCGCCAAACAGGATCATTGGATGATGTAAGGACACCATCATCAGATCGTTCTCGTGGAAGAAGTACATCTGGGCTTCCTTCTCCATCACCAATCCAACGTCCAAGAAGTCTTCATTCTCTGATATATAACGTACTCGGCTGTACACAGGCTCCGCCTCTATATCCTGTTTCTCGCCCTCATCAATCGCTCTCTCCAACTGTGCTCTACACTCTTCCAACAACAATGGTTCAAATGTATCTATATAATCTCTTCTTCCTTCAAATGCAACCTTTACATCTTTAAGGTTCTTGTCCTGATTGTTTGATTGATTGATTGATTGAATGATTGAATGAGTCGGTGATTGAGTTAGTGTTTGAATGATCGATCAATCATACATACAGTTGGCTTCAGATTAGAGACATCCCATGCAAGGATCTTTCGATAGAACTGTGCAATGATATCATCGTTTGTCATTGTGTCCAGTGTATCCTTGACATCATTCTGTGAGTCACCAGCATTTGTTGAACTGCTGGCCATATTATATTATCCTATCCTGTCCTATCCTGTACTGTCCTGTCTTGTAGTAGTATACGTATGTATATGTATATATTGAATGTAGATGTATGTATAACTACAAGATTGACATGAATGAATGAACAAGAATGAGCTCATTCTTCAAAGTGTTTGAGCGCGACTATGAGACCACATTTCAAAAGTTCAAGAAACAAACGCGAAGAGATACACACAAACAAACAAAGGGTCGCGATGTCCAATGAATGAATAGTATATGTATATACTTTATGTATTTGATACAGTACTTATAAGATGACGATGTATACTAGTTAGTGAAGTCTTGCTTAGGTCTGTGTTGAGGATCTCACCGGGATAGTAGGAGAATCCTATTAGACCATCGATACATGTAGTGCCTTTAAGATTGATGGATGGAACAGGTTGTAGCTCACCATACACTAGCACCATGAATAGGATCTTGCCATTGGGATACTCCTTTGTACGTAGATGTTGTAGAGTAGCGCGATACCTCTCCAACTCGATGCGAGTGTCCACCTTGACCATGAACAAACAGACGCCCTGTCTCTCCTCGGGCGCAAAGTCATTGTAGCCACTCGATGCAGCTTCCTTGGTGTTGATCACACGCACCTTAAGCATTGGTTGATGCGTGCCATCACCACCAACTTGGTCACCGAGCATGTTGGACATGGAGTCGGAGGAGTCAGTCGAGTTGACCAAGTTATTCAATGATGTGCTCAAGTACTCTCGGGTCGTCTCCATCATGTTGCTGTCGATCGGATCACCGTCGATGAGGTATACATTGACCAGCCTCTTCTTTGGTCGTGGAGGATGAGGCGCGACCAACTCTGTCAATGTCGTGGTCGATGTCGATGTCATGGTAGTGGTCGACGACTTTAAAGATGATGGATTGTTGTTGGACGTCGAAGAGGAGAATATTGAAGATGCTGCCGACTTGAAGTATTGAAATGAGGTCTGTGTCTTGGACAACTCCTTCAAAGACTTCAACTCATCCTGCATCTTTAGGAGAGCATCCTCAAGCATGGCAATCCTCTGAGAGTGCTCCACAACGATGGCATGGCAACCACATTCAAACAATGGCTTGGACACTACTACATGTTGTTGATTGGAGTACTTGCCATTCTGATTATTGTTGTTATTATTATGAGACTTTCCAAGTGTCATAATGTAAGTATATTATAAATATATATCTTTATAATGATTGATCAATCATACATATATTGACCATGACCATCATTACTATCCACCTTTAGGTTGACATTGCACATGTGTGTCTATCCACATGATCAAGAGTGAGTGATTGATTGAGTGTGTGGGTGAGTTGGAAACTGGATAACTTGGTTTGTCAAGTCGGAATCATTCTTTGTATCACGTGATTGGATAATGTGATGGATCTCAATTGCAATGTTGTTAATGCCAAGTTGCTAACATATCTACCACTATCTAGGAATTGTACATATAACTTGGATGATCAAGTTTGATCACACATTCAATTACACATTCAAATTCACTTGGTTGGAAATTATAAATACCAGTCAAGAGGATATCCATTTCCATCACCATCATCAATCACACATTTATATATATAATAATTATGCATATATCAACTCCAACTCCAACAACAATGGAATATAATTATGATAATGATATTATTAATCAATTCAAAGTTGTCCAACATTCAAATGAGAAACATTACTGGTTCCTTTTGGATACTACAATGCCCGAACCAAGCATTGAGGTAGTTCGTGACCACCTACGTATTATCAACTCTGCCGCCATGCAATCACATCTCATCCAAAGTGGCCAGAGTGCCGAGTATGCCGCCAACTTTGAACAATCAGTCCAAGGTATGTGCCTACCCAATCACTCAATCAATCGTTCAATCAATCATACTAACTCAATAATCAATCATATTAATAAGAGATGAGGATGTCCCCTGCACCTGGCAACATGAGCCTGGCCATCAATTTGTTCATTGACAAACATAGAAGGATGGACTTGAGGTCGGACACTAATACGGTCTTCATTATTACCAAGTCCTTGGACAACCCCATCGCGACGACCACCGACCAGGTCTGTATTGATACTGCAAATGCCATCCAGACCATTGTCCAACTGGGTGTGGAGGTGATTGCCGTTGAGTTGACCGACACCCCAAAGGCCGCCACAATACCAAATGTACCCAATGTCAACTACATCACAGTGGATGCATTCCGCCTGCGCATTGAATCAATCAAGCCCTCCACCAACCCACTGTGCATCCGAGTGTTCCCTGCCGAGGACAAGATCCAAATGATCAACGATGACGTCCGTCTCAAGATGTTGATTGAGTGTGATGATGGCCCACTGCCCGCCGACACCGTGATCGAATTCCCCGACAACTTCTTCTACCGCCGATTCAAATTCACTACGCCGCCACCCAAGGAAGGCGAGACCGTGACCATGGTCAACGTGCACCTTCGTGTGATCAGGAGATATGACTTTGCCATGCCACCACCTCGAACCTTCTTCACAGTTCACATGCCCAACAGCAACAATGTGATCAAGGGCTTCATTGAGATACCCGTGGCCCTGTTCACCAAGGAGTTCATGAATGACTATGGCATCTTCTTCCTGCTCGATGGCATCTATGGTGTTGGCAAATCAACCCTTCTCAATGGAATCTACAACATCTTCACAATGGGCAGGATTGTACATCATATTGTTGTAAGTATCTATTATGATCATGGAATGATCCCTACTCATAGGCTAACTCACACACTGATCATCTAGACCTCCAAGGACAGCTCACAACATTGTACATTATGTTATAATTATATATCCATTCGAGATTATTTGGAAGCAGAGGAGTATAAGCCAAGATTGATAATGGATATCATCAAGAATCTCAATGTTGTAATGGTGGATAAGGCTGGAATCAGTTTCAAAATGAATGGAGGCCGTGACAACTACATTGACATGGGCTCACAGATGAAGGGTTGTTGCTACGATGGAACAAACGTGGCCGATGACTCCCAGAAGCAAGACCCCAATCCAATGTTTGCCGTGGATGCCTGCGTGTTTGTGGCCACCATCACGTCGTTCAAGAGGGAGGAGGTCGAGTCCCAGGAGCTCAAGGCCATCAAAGACAAGCTGTGTGAGCCGACCAAGTATGGCCAACAATCAATCTTGGTTGTGACCAAGGGTGACCTCCAGACTGCACGTGGATTGGAGGAGCTCAAGCGAGGCGTGGCAGACTGCGCCGCACACAAGTACAACGTGTTCTACATCAACAACTACACGGACAACACTCCATATCGCGACATTGACAAGGACCACAGCCTGTTCCTGCTCCTACACAAAATCAAAGAGGTGGCCCGCAACAGAGTCACCAATAACACGATCAAGAAGAACACAAACAAGACACTGCAGGAGAGGCCAACTTGTACGACATCAAACACCACCACCTCGACGACCAGCACACGCAGCTACGCTCCACCACTGGCCGTCCACATGCCAGAGCCGGTACAGGCTGTTAATGTCCCGTCGGTCAGCCAGGCACCAGTCGGAGACAAAGTCACCATAACAGTGTTGATGGCCACTGATGAGGAGGACATCACAGTTACCAGCACTACAACACTCAAGCAGATCAAAGATATCATCTCGAGTAGATTTGGAATTGAGATCAACGACTATGTAATCAAACATGATCGTGAACTACTTTGGGATGACAATCACACCTTTGATCAAAGTTGTAGGATCACCGTTGCCAAGAAACTAACAAAGCCTGTCATTGCACCAGATGCAGAAGGTACTGCCAGTCTCTAATAATAATAAATCAATATTCCATTATTAATTAATAAATTATTATCAATTATTAATATTAATTTAATCTAATTCAATATTTAATCAAGTCTAGATAAATATTAATAAATAATTTAATATTTTTTGAACAATCATGACAAGTATATGATTTATTTGTTTAGTGTAAGGTGTTGTAATATGGAAGTTAAAGCTGATCTAGTAAGGGTGGTATCAAGTATCTCGCCAGGATAGTAGGACATGCCAATTAGACCATCAAGATTGTGACAAATGGTTGGTGCACCTTGTATCTCTCCATAGACCAAGCATGACAAGAGGATCTTTGCCAATGGGTAGGTCTCTCGCAGTTTTCTAAGAACAGGTCCATGTTTATCCAATTCTATACGTGTATCAACCTCTAATATATACAAGCAGACACTGGGATGCTCTTCTGGTTGAATATTGTAGTCACATTCATAGTCTCTCTTGTTCTTTGTGTTGACAACTTTCACCTGTAGAGTATAATTCCAATCCAATGATAGTTGATTATTGATGATTGATATTTGAGTTTGGAACCATTGCTCCAAGAATGACATCACCATGTTCATCTTGCTATCACTTATTCTCTCACCATCAATCAAGTAAATGGAAAGTATCTTGATATCCTTTGGCACTATAACAGTCTCTGTCACTAAATCCTTGTCTTTTTTGGATAGTTGGTCGGTGTCAATTGATTCATTTTGAGCATCTTGCTCACAAGTTTCCTGAGTCTTCCCCGAAAGGTCTTTAGTCTCCAAAGATGAACCATGCGTCAATTGAAAGGATAGTACATTCTTCTCAATATTACACCTTACGGCACCAGTTTGAAGTTGAAATTGGGGTTCTTCTGAGGTTGTATCATCAGTTATAGTTGGAGATAGTATTATAATATTCTTAACTTTGTTCTTTTCCTCATTAATAGAACCATTTGTATTTGAATCCACTAAGATCCCTTGATCTTTTGATTTGTTTCCAAAGTTAAGTAATTTATAAATAAAATCTTTTAAATCCTTAATAGTAATGGGAAATACTAATGAAACCATAATTGATCTTAATATATTTAAATCTATAAGAATTATAAGTGAATTTATATTTGATGATAATTGTAAGTATCTAACTATTGATTCTGATCTATATGTTCTAGGTATAATCATAAATATAAATATAAAGAAAATATAAAGGATTTTTTTGATTTAACCACTCAGATGGACTTTATTGTAGAATAAGTTGAATAGGAATATTATTAAGTCTTTGATCAAACTTGTGTACTCAAGTTAATAAGTATCAAAACTTGAACTGGTGAGTGTTGATCAAAAAGTGAGTGTGTGTTTGTGGGTTTGTATAGGAATCCAAACTTGGGAGTTTAAGTTGGGAGTTTGAGCACAATGTTTTGGATGAATATTGTCTAAACTTGAATTTCTAATTAACTATCCGATTCGAAAACAATTATATAAATACTCACCATGGTGAGTATTAATCCATCATAATGATATCAATCAATCAATCATTTTATCAAATATATTTATATTATTAATGGGACATATGGATCCTTCTAAACTCTCCAAACCTGCCAAGAATCGTGAGGATGATATCATTAATCAATTACCAGCATATTATTACTTTAATAATAGAATATATTTTTTTCTAGTTGATGTGACAACCTTAGGTGATAGCGGTCTTGAGTCCATCCGCTCATCCCTCTCACATATCAACCCATCCTCTCTCTGTGTCAATCTAATAGCATGTGGCGGTCAACCACATTATTGTAAAGACTTTGTTAAAGATCTCAAAGGTTGTATATATAATAATAATAGAGAAATCATCACATGACTTTGGCTAACATATGTGTAACTAAATTCTAGATCTAAAGTCAGAGGATTGCCCAGGCACCATCAGTCTTGGATTGATGATTTTGAATGAGAAGATCAAGAAGTTGAAGGAAACTCCTCCAGAATCAATCTCGGTCTACATTATTACCAGGTCTTTTGACAAAAGTAATAACGAGTCTACCATATTAGTGGAGGAACTAATCCAACAAGGAATAGAGGTCTTTGCAGTAGAGTTACCCGATATTGTTTCGACCAGGATTGACAAAGTGAAGTACGTCAACTTGAACAACTTCAGAACCAACATTGCCTCTATCAAACAAGTACCGATACCTATAAAGCCCAAGTTCTTTTTTGCAAAGAACAAGGTAATTAGGTTAAACCAAGATGTTAAGTTGAGGTTGGTGTTGGAGATGATGGCAGGTGGACCAATGCCCGAGGGTACGGTCATCCATTTCCCAGGCAACTCATTCTACAATGATTTCACCTACACAACAGAGAGTCCTGGACCCAGTGAAACCAAAACCACAGTCTTTGTTAGATTGCAAGTCATTCGCCAACTGTCTGATACGATGCCTCCACCTCGTACCTACTTCTCCATTCAGATTCCATCAATTTCATCAATCATATATGGAGTACTTGAGATTCCTGTTGCCCTCTTTGCTGGAGAGTTCACAGACAAAGCCTTCTTTTTTCAACTTGATGGACCAGCTGGCGCTGGAAAGTCAACAGTGATGAATGGATTGTTCAACATATTCACTATGAATGGTATTCTTTATCCATTTGTTGTAAGTAATATTATAAATGATTAATTGATTGATTTAAGAATGTATTATTAACTTCCCCCTTTATCCACCTACTAGTCGAGCAAGGACTTTACAGAACATTGCACTAAGGCCTATGGCTTCTTTCCCATCCACGTGCAGCTGGCTAATGAGGAGAATGGAAGAATGCCCTTACTCTACGAGGACATTATCAATAGGGTCAGAGTGACATTGGTGGATAAACCTGGCTTCAGAATAACCGACAAAGGTGAGAAACAGAACTATAATGACTTGGGAAGTGAGTTGGATGGTTGTTTTGGACAAGGATCTACCAAAGCTGGCAATATCAATCAAAACTATTCAATTGATACTGTAGTCTATGTATGTGAATTGTCATTATTCAGGGAGGAAGAAAATGAACTCTATCGCATGGTACGCAATAAGCTACAACAAGTCACCCCCTATGGTCAACAACCATTGTTGGTAGTAACAAAGATGGACCTTCAAACTGGAAGAGGTCTGGAGGATCTGAAAGCCCGAGCGTTGAGTTTCCTAGCCGACGAGAACAATATCCACTTCTTGACCAACTACATCAATGGAACCACCACCCCAGACATTGAGAAGAACCATCAGTACTTCAAACTATTGCTCAACATCAAGAAGGAGGCTCTCAAAAGAGTGAACAAGAAGACTCTGCTTGAACAAACAGCGGGATACATCAACAACAGATTTAACCTACCTGAGGAGATTAAATCGCCAGATCCATCTCCCCCTACTCCAACTCCACCCAATGATCACATAGTGGTGTTGACTGTGGAGATGCCTCTCGAGACAACCGAGTTGGAGATTAGCTCATCCATGAACCTAGCAAAAGTACTAACAAAGATTGGTGAAACTTTCAATCTCGACATGAATGACTACTTCATTAAGAGAAACAATAGAGTACTGACCATTCCTGAGATGACTTTCAAAGAGGACTGTTTGATCAAAATGGTAAGGAGACCATCAGCTGCCTAGTGGAGCCAACTAAATAGTTTGTCCAATAAATTTATTCAATATTATTTGTTTGACTATATCCTGAAGTCCACCTGTCTAGCAAATAGAATAGGTCAATCGATATTGGTCGGAGTGTTCACAAGGGTGTTGGTTGCACCATCATACCAAATGAGTTGGATTCTTGATAACATATAGTTCCATGTTTGGAGAAGTACATGGGAGATGGGATTGAGACATGAAATGACCAACTATTGGATTATTGTTTTCACTTTCATACCATTGATTGATTGTATCAATAGTTTGATTTGTGATTGGTGCTGTTCCAAATTAAATGATTATCTCTGGTAATATTTGATTGAATGATCTATTGTACACCAAGGCTACTGAGGGAATATGTCCAGGTTCTCCATTTCGATCAGTTGGGTAACGATTCCATAACTTGATTATAACAACTATTTGAATATCAGTTAAATTGTTGAGAAGTATCTTTGCCTTTGAATGAAGTTCATTCAATTCCTGGCTTCCAACATCATAAACAATTGATGGATATACTCTAGGGTATCCTGTCATTGTTGAGTTAGAACATTGAGAGGACGAGTGAATGGAGCTCTGTCTCTAGGTCGAACTCCTCCAAATGCTTGAATAATGTCATCTCCTATATAAATGTTTGAATTTCCTAAAGCTATATAAGATGAATTGACCAATTGAAGCTCCCACTTCCAGGAAGTAATATTTATTTCCAATAACTATATTTAATAATTCTAAAATTGTCTAAGACAGTTCAAGATTGTCTCACAAGCATTCTTTGTTAGGTCAGTGTCAATGACAGTGTCGTAATGAGAGAATCCTATTCTTCCACTGACATGGGGAGTGTCATGATTAATAACAGGTATACCTTGAATCTCTCCATGAACCCAGAATGCCATTAGTACCTTGGCTTTGGGATGTTCACGACATAGTCTCTCAAGATTATCTTGGTAGTTGAGATATTCAAATCGACTTCCTAGGTCTTTGAGCATGTACAGACACACTACCTCTAGGTCAGGGGGAAGCCTTTGGAAGTCAGAGTATTCTTCTGATGAATTGTTTGTGTTGATAACACGTATTTCCATTTGGTTGTCATCTAATCTTTCTTCAATCAACTTTATACTGAGATGCCCGGCTACCTTCTCAATCCAATCACCACACTCTGTTGATGATTCTCCATTGACCAGATAGACTCTAACTAATTTCTTATGACTCTTTTTGATTGAATTGATTGATAACTTAATAACACTTTTGAAGATATTATTATTATTGTTGTTGTTGTTTTGGGGGACAACTTTGTCATTAGCTACACTATCAAATACAATATCTTGATTGGGTCCTAATTGCAAAGGAGTATTATTTGTTCCATGTTTATTATTATTATTATTCTTATTAAGGATTGATAGGATCTCTACATTTTGGTGATATATTTGATTCAACCAAAATTCGGTCATATCTGGTTGGCTTTCCTTTTTACCTCTAAACCAAAGCATTATTGATTAATATAATAATATTTATATATATATCACGAAATAACTATTAAATATATTTACATCAATCTTATATGGAACTTAGATGTCTAATGATCATTGGATCAAAGTTAGTTCTCAAGTTTTATAAATGAATAATAATGTTCATCCAATCATTGGTTGATTGGTTATAAGACAAATTGAAATTTCAAACTCAAAGTAGTATTGGTATAGATTTATTAAATTCACTTCTAATTCTAGTTTATATTCTTCCATCCAGATTTATATTAATAAGACCTCACTATCGATCCATTATTATATAATCATGATCTCAGTTAAATATATATAATAATCCGATCTAAAATAAATATATATATATATTTAAAATGTTCAATAACAATAATAATAATATTCAATGTCCAAATGACATTGTAAATCAAATACCTGTAAATCTCTATCTTAAAAATAGAAATAATTATTTTATTTGTGATGTTACCGAGAAGTGTGGAAATGAGACTGTTGAGAAGATTAAATCCCAACTTTCTCTAATTGATCCATCTGGATCACCTAATGCTTATATCTGTTCATCTGGAGGTGTCCTCAACCTGGATAATTTTGAAAAGGGTCTCAAAAGTAAGTATAAATGATAAAACTATTTATAATAATTACAAATATTAATATATCAATTATTTAAAGCCATTAAATATATTCCGGCAAGTGTATCCAACCTTGGTCCAGTGTCTTTGAGTGTGATTGAAAAGTACAAGAAGTTGGGATTGAGCCCAAGTGATATTACCGTATACTTTATCACCAAGTCCTATGATGGTACCGATGTCAATGATAACAAAGCCTTGTATGCCTTGGTCCAAGCTGGTCTTGATGTAGTGATCGTCGAGTCCGTCAGTGCACCAAAGACTACAACACTTGAAGCCGTGAAATATATCCAGTTGGACCAACTCTTGGACCATGTCCGATCAACTTGTTCTGGTGTTCCAATTATTACCAAGGTGTTCCTCGAGGAAGACAAGATTCAAAAGGTCCATGATGATCTCAATCTCAAGATCTACATCAGATGTACCGGTTGCCGTTTGCTCAAGGGTACCCAGGTTGAGTTCTCGGACAACCCCTTCTACAGTCCGTTCTTGTGGACCCTTGATGAAGACTCCAATTCCACGTGGCAACTTATTCATGTGACTTTGGAAGCCAAGTCCAAGAAGTTTGACCTGCCACCTGCGTGTGTCAACTTCATCGTGAGGATGCCAAACTCCAAGATTGAGGTAAGTGGCTCCATTGAGGTACCACTTGCCCTGTTCACTGGAGAGCTTGTCACGCTATATGATATTTGTTTCATCTTGGAAGGACTTCAAGGTATTGGCAAGTCCACACTCCTGAACACTCTCTTCAATGTGTTTACGATTGGCAAAATCAGAAATCTTATTCAAGTAAGTATCGCATCACCATCATCCAACATCCAGTGATCACTTACTCATTCACTCACTCCATCACTATGTTAACATCTCCATTTCCATCAAATACATGTAGACATCCAAAGAGGCTGGCCAGTCCAACACAAAAACCTATAGCTACTATCCAATCCATAAGTTGTTGCAAGAGGAAGAGGATGCACCAAGACTGTACAAAGACATGATTGATAAGCTACGCTGGATTATGGGAGACAAGGCTGGTATGATGTTGTTAGCCAATGGCGAGCGTATCAACTACAGTGTCATGGCTCACCAGTTTGATGGTCGTTTTGCCAATGGAAGCGAGACGATGGGCGACAGTAACGCCAACTACAAGGTCCACTGCTGCATTATTGTGACGACACCAGCCGTGTTCTCTGAGCCCGAGACATCGCCTGCACTCAAACTGATCAAGGAGAAGATGGTGGAGTCCAATCAGAATGGCCAGCAGTCCATACTGGTCGTTACCAAGTGTGATTTACAGACTGCCGAGGGTCTGGAGAAGCTCAAGACTGCGCTGGCCCAGTGTCCCACTGAGAAGGGCAACATCTTCCTGGTCGACAGCTACATCGACAACTCCTTGGATCGCGTCTCTAGAAAGGATCGCACCAGCTTCCGCCTGCTGTTGAAGATAAAGGAGGAGGCCTCCAAGCGTGTCAAGAAGTTCAAGATGCAGCAAGAGATCGATGCGTACATGGCCAACGAGAGGAGGGACTATGGAGGTCCAGGTCCAGCTGGACTTGCAGGTGTTCGACCGAATCAACAGCAGCCAGATCAAGGCCAACAACAGAGACCGGTGATCGGCTTGAACACGCACATGCCAGTGGGCGTGCCATTCCTCAACAACAGGCCACCATTGCCAACTAGTGTGAAGGTCACGGTAGAGACACAGGACGCCGTGGACACATTCCAAGTGCCATTCAGATCGACCTTTGACAGTCTGTGCGAGACCATCGAGAGTGACCTCGGTCTCGATATGGAGACGATGACATGCAAGTTTAATGGTTGTCATCTTCGCGACCCCAACCATATGTTTGAAGAGGATTGTAAGATAGTCGTAATGCCAAAGATGCCTGCTACAGTCAACTCCAACTCCAAGACCAATTCCAAGACCAAGCCAACATCATCAACTTCTTCAACAACTACTTCATCATTATCATCATTGGCATCGTCGATGTTTTGACTACTACATGGCCATCTAGCTAGATTACAATCATAAAGATTAGATATTATTTGTTATGTTATTGTATATATCTGTATCAACTAGTTGTGGATTGATTGACTTTGAATGAATGAATCTTCAGAAGGGAACCCCCCTTTGAAAATGGCGCGAACATTCAAATTTGAATGTTCCAAGAAGTCATGACTTCTTGACTCGCTCATTCAACAATGAATGAATGGATGACAAAGAAGAGGAATAGTGATAATAATAACAAGACCATGGCAGTGAAGAAGAGAAAGGGTGTAGTTGTTATTGATGAGACAGAGTCATCAGCTGTTGCTGCTTTGGATGCATCTTCAACTCAATCAACTTCAAACTCAACAACAACAACAACAACAATGGCTCAACAAGTTGGACTCGCGATCAGCCCCGCATCGACACAAGGCAAACTGAAGAGACACAAGACAAGCCACAACAATGACAACGAAGACAACAAGAGTGTACAACCTGTATCATCATCATCAGCAACAACAATAACATCATCGAATACTACTATTGCCAATACTGCTGTTGCTGCAGCTGCAAGTGTGGCCACGCCAAAGAAAGACATGTCATCATTCTTTAAGAAGTTCACGCCACTAAAGTCTACAATGTCTGCAACATCACCATTCAAGAATGACTATAGCACCACTGTTGGACTATCACTCTTATCATCGACCAACAAGAAGAAGACGACTGCGGCCAGCAATGCAAGTGCGTCACAAGGACCCAAGATGGCGTTCAAACCACAGATTGACAATATCTTTGTACCAGAGTCACCGTTCAACATCAAGCTCAGGAGCAACAGTCACGCTCTCAAACCTTTGAACAAGCACTCGTCCAACCTGCTCAATCTATTCGAGGACGTCAAGGGTGGCAATGACGGCCGTTCATTCCTCTCGGCATCATCACCTCTAATCCTCACATCCTCGTCGACAAATGAACCCGTACGCAACAACGAGTCCACTGCGCAACAAGCCAAGGACAGAGAGAAACAACTACTCGACCATCTCATTCATGATATACAGTCCAATGGCAATGTTGATCGCAATGCCGTGTCCAAACTGTTGTACAATCAATTGCCCGATAGTGTGTCCAGCACCACTGTGCCAGTTGACCTGAGTCTAAAGACTCAGCTGGTGCTCACCTCCTCATCACTGGACTTCCAATGGTGTAGCGACCTCCTCAACGACACTGAACTCTTCTTCCAAGTTGTACAGCGTACATGTCGAAAGCTGCAACTTGTCGACAATCATAAGCAGACACAGCCACATGGTGAAGTGTCCCAGACTGACCGAGAGATCATCCTACAATCACTCATCCACTACATTGCACCGGCCACATCCATGCCGTGGGACGTCGCCACTGAGCCAGTCTACAAGTGTCCAACCAAACTCAAATGGGTGGAGCAGCGATGGAAAGAATGGTAGGTGCTTGCATGGGCCGGCCGAGTCCAAGGACATCATCTAACTCATTCAATCAACAGGGAGACAAGCTTTACAGGACTAGTTGGAGCATTCACGACAAACTCAATCAATAGCTTCTATTTGGTACATCAGGAATGGTCATGTCTGTTCATTCACGAGGATGGCAACGCCATCGCCAAGATCAATCCATCGACAAAGAAAATGAGAGACCTACTCATGGACGAGGGCATCGAATGGGACACACCATACCTTAAGAATGAGCGACAGACCAACAGCAATAGTAGCACTACTACTGGCGATGGACAACCAGCAACAGTCATGAGCATAGAGGACAATGAACGTCTGCTACGAGATCTAAAGGAGTTGGCAAAGTTGAAAAAGACGATGAACAACAACAACAACGCGGACAACATTAAGAAGTTGGACCCGTCATACTATCAAACGCCAAGATCATCAACCATTGTGTTGGTCAAGGGCGTGGAGCAGATTATGTTGTTGAGCGACTTTTTCAAGAGGCGACTGATATGGTCCAACAAGCTGCATGTGGCAGTCAGCGAACGAGGTGGCAAGAAGGACATATTCGCCGAGTCGTCGATGAACCAGACAACATTGTCCCGCTCGTCCAACACACTGCTACCATTCACCCCCAAGAAGAAGAGACAGGCGCAGGACCAGAGCGCCAACTATGACGACGACTATGAGGCCGATGAACTATCGGCCAACGACACACAACAGTTCATCCTGTGCAAGGACACGCCTACGCTGCTGTCTCGCCAGCCATTCCCCAGCAGCACACTCAAACTCAATCAGATTGTGTCGAATGGATCGTACACAAAGTTAGCGGCATCATGCTCGCAGTCCAGCTCGCTTCAGGACCACCAAGACAACGAACGATTATATCGCATCGAGATCGATGGTCCTCTCCAACCGGGCAGTTGTCATGACATTCTGGAGGTGATGGCTAGGCAAGGACAACCATTCACATGCAAGCAATTCACCAATGAGACAACATTTGGATTCAACACGACCAAGACCTCAGCTCCATCCTCCATCGAGTCATTACTTGGACGCAATGTTATTCAACAGATACAATACGAGCCAGTCATTGTCAATGGCAATGACAACGCATCAACCAAACCATTCATTATAGCGCCAATAGGATAAGACCAATGGCGCCATTCATCCATGTCAACTTAATAATATAATATTGATGCAACCAATATGTCCACCACTTCTGTCTTTCTTCCTATCTCTCTTTATTAACTCATGAGTTATAAATATAACAATGGACAGGTCAATCAATCATTCATTCGTTCATTTCCTGTTAATGTGGTCACATGATGAGTTAACATCGATCGAGTCCAGCCTTTATTGGTCGATAGAACTCTCTCGCCAATGCCGCCCTCCAACACACACACACCACGGCAACACCACAAGGTTGAGTTATAACTACAACGTCTACAACAACTTTAAATGGAATGGTTGGATGTAGCAAGGATTAGGAATTAGGGTACCTTCTCTATGTATGAGCCAGGCATCTCCTGGTTGAAGGGGTAGGAAGGACCTGGCATGGAAGGGAAAAGGTTACAGATACCTCCATCTTCCACATTCAAGCACATACTACGAATCAATTCCCCTTTAGGACTTTGAATCATGAATTCAACCCAACCAACAAGATGCAACCGAAAATCAAACCCCACTCACCTCTGGTGAAGTGACAAACAGTATTAATAGCTATTTTGGTGTGGTTGTGAAGTGGGGCATGCATGCCTTGA